CAGATGAAAACAACACTGAGATTCCACCTCACCCCAGAAAGAATGGCTGCTATCAAGAAATCAACCAATAACAAATGCTGGCAGGGGTGTGGAGAGAAAGGAACCACTCTCCACTGTTGGTGAGAGTGCAGACTGGTGCAACCACTGTGGAAATCAGTGTGGAGATGCCTCAAAGAACTAGGACTAGAAGTCCCATTTGACCCAGCTATTCCTCTGCAGGGTATCTTCCCAAAAGAATTAAAAGAATCATACCACAGTGATATATGCTCACCCATGTTTATAGCAGCACAGTTTGTAATAGCTAAAACTCAGAAACAGCCCAATTGGAGCCCATCAACTGGAGACTGGGTAAAGAAGATGTGGTTTTTTTATAAAATGAAGTACTACTCAGCCATAAAGAACAAGAAACTAGAGACATTTATAGCTAAATGGATGCACATTGAGGTGATACTCTTAAGTGAAATAAATAGGGACACACACATGTAAATACCGAATAGTTTCTCTGGTGTGAAAAACTAAAAGTGTAAATAAAGATCAAAATGTATAATTGATATTGTGTAATAGGAAGAAAAGGTCTAAAGGAGTAGGGGAAGTGGGAGGGGTAGGAGAAAGGAAAGAAGGTAAAAGAAAAAATGAGAAAAGGAAAAAAATGAAAACAAAGTTTTTATAAATAGGGAAGGGTGGAGGGGGTGAAGAGAGGGCAGGGGAATTGGGATAAAATAAGAACCAAGATATGTCATGTAAAGATACAAGATCCCAACAATGAACGTAACTGTATTGTATACCTAAAATGTACCAATAAACTTAATGGAAAAAAATTAAATTCAATTTAAAAAGTTAATCTTGGAATCCAGAACTCTGCTGGCAAATAAAGGTATTCTTGATATAGTAAAGAATCTTGCCCTGAGTGCTCTCCCAAACCTTCTCATGGCACACACAGAATACCGGAAATGGTAGCATTTATGTGACACACTGGGGTCAGCAGGGGTGGTTGTTGGGGCCAGGGCAAGCCAAGCTCTGCTGAGCTGCACTAGCAGCTAAGCATACCGCTCCTGGGCCCCAGTGAACTCAAGCTCCCAGGTGAGCAGCAGAGCACTCTGGCCAGGAAGACAGGACAAGCGAGAGGGAGATGTACGGCAAGATTACCTTCCAACCCAGTCCACTGCTAATCCATCTGGCTGCATGACATAGTTCAGGCCCAGGTCAACTTCATGCGTGGGATTATTGCTGCCAGATTCAAAATTAGGGATGTAGGCACGTTTGATAGCACCAAACCTGGGGCTCTGAGCGAGCACAGTGTAATAGACAACACCTGGAGAGAAGGACACAAGGCCAGTTTCGTGTTAAGAGCATCAGGTGAGGAAGGAACCAGAGTCTAACTAATCAAGTGACATAATGTTCTTTTACTGACCTCTCTTCCTCTTCATTGTCCTTACATTAATAATTATATTAATATGATCAAACCTTACAACTCATCAAATTTGAGCTATTAGGTACAAATGCTTCACTTGAGAGCTTCTTGATATTTTCTTAGTAATCTCTATTTGAAAGTAATTCATTAAAATATATTTTGGCCACAAACCTACTTATTCTCGTTAGGATTAAGGTCTAGTGTCAGAACCAGAATACACAGATAAACTAGGTCAGGCAGTTGAAAATTTAAGGTTATACTCAATATGAGTGGAAATAAATGATCCATCCAGATGAGTTCTTTTTTATGTACACACTAAAGGATGGTATACGGGGGTGTTTTAAAAGCCTACATGACTCTGATTTTTTAAGCATTCTTCATTTCACACTTCATGAATGTGTGAAAATACAGTGATAAATCTGAAATTATTATTAGTAGTAGTTTTCAAGGTATTACACATCAATTATCTCATTCAGTCTTCAAAACAACCATCAACGGTGGGCAGGAAGAATAAAATTACCATTTGTATTTTACAGACAAAAAGAAATGAAGATCCAGGAAATTGTTATAACTAAGGTCATAAATCTAGTAGATGAGGACACAAGGCTAGAAGACAAGTTTATACAGACAGATGCTAAGTTTTCTGACTCCTACCCTACTATCACCTCCCCCATACCATACAGTCACCACAGGCTTGACAATAGGCATTACTCATTTTTCCTTTTATCCATCTACGTTTTTTGAGCACCTACGACACACATTGCTAGATGTTAGGTCAGGTTCCAGGCAGGTAGAGATGAAGTAGATTCAATCTCTGTCTCCCAAGAGCAAATGATTAGCAGATAGGGAGAAAAATATATGGACAACTAGCTCCACAGCTCAAGGTAGCATGTGCTCCAGTAGAAGAATGCACAAAATGCTACAGGCTCATGCGTGAGCATCCATGAAACTGCCAGGAGGGTTACAGGTGTCATAGAGGAGGTGACACTGGAACTGGGAGTTTGAAGTCTCAGTAGACATTTCCCAAACAGATAATGGCAAAGCAGAACAGAAGCTGCCTGAGCAAGGACAAGGAGATAATAAAATACATGGAAATGTGGGAAGAAGATTTGGAGAAAACTCAGGAAAGTTAGCAGGAACACAAGGCCACTGTAAGGCATCTAGAGCATGCTGGATAGGAGGAGCTTCCTTTTCCACTCATGCAACAAAACCCACCAATTAAAAAATAAATTACCTCCATGCATGCCTGTAATCCCAGCACTTGGGAGGCTGAAGCAGGAGGATCACTGTGAGTTCAAGGCCAGCCTGGGCTACACGGTGAGTTTAAGGCCAGCCTGAACTACATAGTGAGACCTTGTCTCAAAAAAGAAAAAAAACTCCTCCAAACTCAACATCTAAAATCTCAATAAAGTCAATTTACCACCAACAACACATGCCAAACTTGATACTCACTGAGGCCTGTGCCCTCAGGATCCCAATCAAAATCAATAGTTTGGATATGTTCCTCGTCTTCAAGATACTCTGAGAACCTCTCAGATGAAACATTATATTTTCGGATTCGAACATTCTCAGGCAATAGCAACAAAGGTGAGTTTCCTGTAAACGAAGAAAGGGTTACTTTATCTGTTTCAACTGTACTTGAACTTTACAAACACAAAGTAGGATATAAAGTGAACAGCAGGTACTCCCCCTCCTTAAAAAACATGAGGTTTGCTGGGAATCAGACGTCTCTGTTAATAAATAAAGCTGCTTATCCACCTGAATTGCAAAACCCCTGGCTGTGGACATTCTTGTCCCTATTTCAGGTGGCGAGCTGACATTTCTCTCTGGATATTATCAACTCTTCAATATTTGTCCCAAATGGGGATTTAGGCAAGGTTGAGGCTGATACACAGAATCCTCATTTCCATTGCATTTTCCCCCATTATTCACTGACATCAAAACAGACAAAAGAAATTCAACATTCACAGACTCATTAAAAGTTTACTAAAAAATTCTCTTTCCTTACTCTTTATTGACAGGTTTTAGGATTCTTTTAGCAGGTAATCATCTCCATGACCCAACATAGATTCCAGCTAATGAGGAAAAACCCAGCCCTTTTTTCTTGATGTTGTAAAAGTTCTCTTTACCTAAAGCAGTTCTTTCAATCATAAGTCATTCCAAGATGAGTGTCGAGAATTTTTTTAATTTACTTGCATAATGTCAATGAAGTATAATTTAAGTAACTTTTAAAATTTCATTTTATATATTTTCCCCATCTTGATATTGTTTTATATGAATATTCTACTTTCAGTCCTCTTCTTAGTTAAAAGATTTAAACATTTTAAAATTTGCAGTTTAATTAGCAGACCAACTATTCAAATGCCTTCACTTCAGTTTTTATTCACTGTCAAAAATGTTGAAGGATAAAATATTTAAAGTATGCTAGTCGAATGTATGCTTTAAAAGCTCAATTTATATGAATATGTTAAAGAGTCATTTTGGCCCACTTTGCCCTTAATTTATACAATAAAAGGCTATTTTCTTACCTAGTATCTTACACTCCAGTACAAACTTCAAATTCAAAATAAAGGTCCAGCCCCCTTTAGTTAGGATATGCTGATTTACATCAGACCTCTGAAATTTAGAATATAATACTTCCGACTCACGTTCTTTTTCTGTTTTTTGGTCTTTTCTGTCTAGTATTCACTGCTGCTTTTTATCTGGCCTGATTCTCAGGTACTGACACTGACCTAAAATGTGAAACTAATGAACTGATCACTCAAGTTCTGAAACACCAGGCTCCTTTCTGTCTGTGATCAGCAGTCCATGAACACTAACAGAGGGACACAGCAGCACAGAGTCCTTGATTTGCTCCAGTTCAATGTATTTTTTGTCTGTCTTGGGTCCCTTGGCTTCAGATCTTGACCTCAGTGGAGTGGGAGCCAGAGGACCTTGTCATGCTCCATGTGTTGGTCACCACCCCACTGCCAAGCTTCCGGAGGTAACATCTCACCCACTTTTTGAAGCTTTTATCAAGGTAGATAAGAGGCTAAGTCCAGAATAATAAAGGGTGCCTGCCTCTTCTTAAAATTCCTACTTATTTGTGGGAAGACTGTCGTTAAATGTCTTAAGCTGGCAGGGGAGGAGACAGAAAGAAGGAGAGAGACTCGTCAGGTGTTGGAAGAGAAGTAGCCAACAAGTTAAAACTAAGACTCTGAGAGGAATTTGTTTGCTGATGTATCACACTCATCAGCACTGATGTCCCCAAAAGCCAACTGATCCCGACATGCCCCCGTTTTACCATCAGCTGCACAACGCTCTCCATAGTGGGTACTCATAGACCGGAAGCCATCCGCACAGAAACATTCATAACTTCCTTTGGTATTTCGACAGTTCTGGGGACAAATTCCAAATTCCTCACATTCGTTGATGTCTACAAGCAAAATAAAACCAAGTATGCAACATCTGCTCCTGTTCATATCCATGTGCATAAATACAGACCGTGGACCACGAGTACAGATGAAAATAAGCAACGATATGAACATTTATGGAACATTTATTAAGTTTCAGATACTGTTACTAACGTTACTCAGCAGTGGAAGACAATAAAGCAATACGATTTCATACAACAGTTGAGCAAATTATTTTTTCACATTGGCATAACTTTTTTTAAAGTATATTGTTATAATTTTTCTATTTTATTTTTAGTTATTGTTAACCTCTTACTGTGCTTAATTTATAAATTAAACTTTATTATTAGCATGTACATATAGGAAAAAACATTGTATAAGGTTTGGGTATAGGTTTCAGAGAAAACATATATAGAAAGTTTGGCATAGCATGAATAGGGAGGGCTTCAGGGTTGTCAACATATACCCATCAGGGAGACAATTATATATGAAATTATTTATTTTTCTTTATAACACTATGAAGGCATAGTGTTAGCTCTGTTTTATACTGGAAGAAACTGGTTTATACTGGTTTAAATATTTTCTAAAGAAATATACCCGGTGTTAATCCTGGGGTGTGGAACCAGGCAGTATCCATTTGAGACCTTGCTTAAAATGATACACAATCTTGCTGCTGTGCTCAGAAAGCTGTAGCTCAGCAAATTTTGGCTTCAGAAAGCATCTATAGTGTTGTTACTTGGTATCAATTCACTTCTGCTAACTAGCTTCAGAAACAAGAGTCCTTGATTGGGATTTTCAGTTGAGTTCTTAAAAGTGTAAGTACCCAAAAGAACTCTTATAATTGTCTGAGTATGCCATTTAAATTAGACACAGTAAATATACACAATAAAGAATACTAAAGCTGGATGTGGTGGCTCAAGCCTGTAATCCTGGTACTCAAGACGCTGAGGCAGAAGGATCACTGTGAGCTGGAGGCCAGCCTCAGCTACATAGTGAGTTCAAGCCCAGCCTGAACTGCATAGTGAAAACCTATCTCAAGAAACAAAAAAGAACCCCAAAACAATAACAACAAAAAATACTAAAATCATACTTGTCACTGACAATCCACTGCTTTCCAAAGCCACACCCTAGGGAACCAATTTATGCCTCCTCTAAGTAGGTGTGTAATAAAAATGTGTTGTCTGACATAAGATGCAGAAAGCACACCCTGTGTTGTTTTTTGTTTTTAAATTTGACTTCCAATACTAATACATAACCATCCATCATCACCAAGGCTTTCATCATTCATCTCAGTTGCACAGACCTTACTGAGCACAAGCTATATGCTAAGTTTTTAGCTAGGTACTGGTAAGATAGCATGGACACAGAGGAAAAAGCAACTAGCATTCTTAAGTATTTTAATAACTGAGAACTGTAAGCGTAGACCCATTAAGGGAATGAAATGGAGGTTTAATAAAAGGGAGTCAGTAGAGAACCTGGAAAATATACTCTACCTTGACAAGAGTTTCTGTCCGAAGCACCAGCTTTGTACCCAGTTCTACAGGAGCAAATAAATCCTCCTTCACTTAACTGGGTACAATTTTGTTCACACAGATTTTCAGCACACGTTCTGTCTTTTCCGATGTCTGAGAAACAAAATTCCAGCATTACAAATGAAAGGAACAAGCCAGACCGGCCACAAATGAACAGTTCAGTGTTGTCGTAGCAGGAGCATCTGCTCAAAATCAACTGTGTGACATCCTGAGAGGATAGGGGACATCTGCACTCTGATTCCTGGGAATGACCTGAATGCCATTTACATAATATATGTGATACTAGATTACTGAGGCGATTTCCCATTATTCACAGCACTGCCCCACTCACCCTCAGTACCAACTCTGGAGCCTACAACTATGAAGCCAGGACAACTATCATCACCTGCTCTGCAGTCTTTCATCCTATTCTAGAGACGCGGGTAGCTAGGTAGATGTATAAGTAAAAGGAACTGATGCAGATTAGGACAAAACCACAAATAAAAGAAAGTTATAATGTGATAAGAGGACCATAATTTGCCAAACATTAACCATTTGATATGAGATATATATGTCTCAAGTGTTGGCCAGGGTGAAGGAATATGCACAGTCCTGTCAGACAACTGCTGTTAACACCATGAGTTGGTGTACATGGAAAGGAAGTTTACATGTATGGATGTACCAAGGGCTTCAAAAATATTCAGACGATCTATCCAAGCCATCTATCTGGATTTCAATTTTGTCTTTCTTACCAGATTGCTTCTTTCATCTTTACTGTCCATCTCCCTCCAAACCTAGGTCTTACAGAGAGGCTGACAAAAGTGAACAGGGACAAGGGAGTGGGAACAGTGGCTCTGTCCCCGGGACAGTGGAGTCAAGCTGCATGTGCACTTCAAGTAAAAGATCTCTTGGTCACAGGCTCCTGAATATTTCAAAGAACCTGGAATCTCCTGGCTCAAAAACATACAGATCTCCACTTCTCTGTCTTAATGAGGTGAACTCGTGGTCCCTTGAGGCATAATGACTACATCAGTTTGTATGGTGTCAATGTAGGGACTGTGGCCAGCTCTCCCAGCCTGGAGTCACATCGCTATCCACACTCTGCCTCTCACAGGCTGTGCAGCCTCAAGCACGTCACTTAAAGCCTATTGAAATTCAGCACAAGCAGACAACCCAATGGAGCCAACCTGGGCAGCTAATCAGACAAGGCACGAGAAAGAACTTCATGAGCTATAAAGGGACTACAACAGTGGGAATGAGGAATATGTCATTCCAACATTTCCATCAAGTTATTGAACTAGAACCATCCCTTGGTTATGTCCATCACCCTCTTTTAACACAAAGTCTCCCTTCTACCATAAAATAAATGTTCCCTCCAAGTGTCCGTGGCATTCCCATCTTCATCAACTCCCCTCAGGTGTGTTAAGGACAGCACATTTGGTTTAAGAAGATGAAAACACCACGTGCAGATTAATAAACCATGTAGCTCTAAGGTGCTAAGAAGTACACTGAGAAGAGGATGTGCTCTGCAGTTAGGGAGGCCAGAGTCCAAATTTCAACTCAATCCCTGAACGACAGTGAGACCTGGCCAATTTCTTTAACTCTACATCAATGGCTCATTTGTGTAGTTCTGAAAAGGGATAATGCTTCCTAACTGATATGATCACTACAGGATGAAATGAGATAAACCATGTCAAATGTTAGCACAACATCACTGAACTCAAGGATAGGTGGATGTGAGCTTGACTGCAGTTCTGAGCACAAAGTAAATGAAAGAGAACTAAGTGGTTATCATCTGCTTTCTGTTTTCACATGCTTCAATTAGGTAACCCTGAGTTACCATGTTGGAGTACAGAAATAAGGGTTTACTTACTGCAACCCGTTTCATCAGAGAGGTCACCACAGTCATCAATATCATCACAGATATAGTGCTGTGAAATGCAATTTCCACTGCTGCACTTAAATTCATTTTCTGTACAAGGCTTGGGGGTCGGTTTTCTACCTGTAATTTAAGAACAAGTTTAAGTCAAACCCTTTTCTCCTGTAAAACAGGATTGCTTCCCCCTGTAGCAGAGACAATTGCTGCTCACCAAGTAAATGCTTGCTTCCCAGTGTCCCTTGCAGGTAAGTTGGGAACATGTGACTAGATCTACCCAATAGGCTATGAGTTGGAAGAGATAACAGAGCACTTTGGGGCTGAAGCAATCAAAAAAACCCTTGTGTCCTCTGTGTCTCTTAAGCTGCTGCAGCAACCTGGGCAGCCAGACATGTCAGGTGGCAAAGCTACAGGTGGAGAAGGGGCTGTGTAACCTGCCCTGGCCTTGCTAGCAATGAGAAAGAAGGAGGGAATATTAAATTATCACACTGAATAATACAGTGTGATGAGAGAAGTAGGGAACTTCTAAAACAAAAACCTAAAATACCTGGCATTAGCTCAAAAGTCAGGAGGCAAGCAATGAGGAAACACATTGGTGGCAGAAAAGATGGAGATCTGTGTTATGCAATGACAAAGAATTTTGTAAAGCTGTCGCCTTAAAAAATTAGAAGTTAGGTCATGTACTTACTGAACTTGACAATATACAGAAAGAGGTTAGGAAGCAGAATGTCAGCAACGTGCACTGGTTGACATAACCTGAGTTTGGAAAGGCAGTATAAAAAAGAGAGGAACTCAAGGAAGAAGTGGAAGATTTATAAGCAGAAATGAAAAAAAAAGTCCTGAAATTCACAGTGTGGGAAATGTTGACTGCATCAAGATTTCAAAGAGAAAGAGGAAGAATCTGAAGTTTAAAAGGCTTTGAGACACAACGGCCCAGTAAAACCACTTAGTTGGGTGGATCACTGTCCATCCATTTCTCTAGATGGGCTCAATGTAAATGACAACTAATGTGGAGATGTAATGGAGAAAACAAGCAAAGAAATGAGGCAGACTTCAGACCTATGTCTCAAAAGGAACAATGAGCAAGGTTATTAACTTTTAGAACTGACTGGAACCATACAGGTCAAATAGAGTCCTGAGAGAGATATATGCCAAATAATCTAAAATACTATGACTGTTCGAGACTTTAAGGAGAAAAACAAAACTCTTGGGTCCCTAACCTTCTACAAGCAAGAACTGGGTTCTTGCCTAAGAAGTGCATATTCCCCATTGTCTCTTTATCTGCGGAGGAAAATGGACAATGAAAACCCACCCAAGGATAGAGTCAGGGACAAGAAGGGTCAACAGGCATGGGGACTCCTCCCTGAGAGGTGTCACGACCTAAGCAAATCTCCTGCACTGCCCACACAGGGCCCCTAGCAGTACCTACACAAGGTGACATATAACTTCCTCTCCAACCCAGCTCAGTTTTGAGAGCAAAAGCAATGCTGCTAATAATTCCACCAGGACAGCAAACATAAATCAGGATGGTCCTATACCAACACGTGGTTGTAAGAAATCTCTAATTCTTTCTTTCCAAATGGAATGTTTATTGCTACTCTGCTTCCCTGTCCTACCACTATGAGGGGCAGGTGGCCCAGATAAAACTAGACTATTAGTTTATGTGTCCAATCAAGAAGAACCACATTTGGAACTGAGAGTCATGACTGTCCATGCCCAGAGCTCCTGGTGTCAAAACCCTTTCTGACACGCAGCCCCTCCTTGGATAGGAGGGCAGTGAGCATTCTAAGGCCTCCATGGTGAGGCCACTCAGTACCAGAGATGGAAAGTGGAAAAGTAGTCCCAGATAATGTCTCCTTAGAAAAAAAAAAATTAGGGCCGGGGATTTAGCTCAGTGGTTTTGCCGCCTGCCTTGCAAGCACAAGGACCCGAGTTCAAGCCCCAGTACCAAAAAAAAAACTTAATTGCAGCTCCTGGAAATAATTTTCCACATTCAATTTTTTTTCTAGGCAAATTAAACTGCCCAGAAAATTAATCAACTCTTTTGTTCAACAGATAAATTTTTAAACATTCTCAAAGTACAAGAAAGTACAGGTATTTAAATACCTAAAATATTAAATGCAGCCAGTTTGAAACTCCTACCTTAATATATCATTTTTCTCTTCTGGAAAATGAATTTTCATTTTTCAAGAAGGATATTAGATAAGCTCCATTAACCCCAGTGCTGCCTTACTCAACAGCATCTTTTCAGCTGGGCAGTGACAATGAACATTCATTCATTCACAGGCTCAGACGAGCAATTAGAAACTCCAGGATGAAGAGTGACCAAACCCAACTTTGAAAACAAATAGCCCATTAACTTGTGAAGTGTGACTCAGCCACTATTTAGTGTTTGTTCTCATTTTCTCGTGAGAAAAGAGGGGGAAAGAGCTTACTAAGCATGTAAGCAAAGACGGAAAAATTAAGGGATTTGCAACATCGCTCAAACGAAATAGGAAAAAGAGGACAGGGCTGCCATCTGAGAAATGAGTGTGTTTGTATGGTGTTGTGAGCAGTTTTGTCAGTAGAGACATGTTGTCACAGATAGAACTTAAGTCTCTAGAGAGCAACGCAAAATGCCAGAGGTGTATGTGCCCCTCTCCCTTTGCCTTTTGCTTACAGTGCTCCTCTTTCTCATCAGTTCCATCTCCACAGTCGTCCACACCATTGCACAGCTGGTGAGAATAAAGACAACGACTATTGTCACACCGGAAACGGTGAGGAGGTTCACAGGCAACACTGACTGGAAGGAAAGAAGGGAAAATTACATTGCAGTTAAGTGTAGAACACAGCCGTCAGTATCTAAAACCTCTCTGCCAATCGAATATCAGGCTTGCTGCGTTCATTCATTCATGCTCATTTGATTACTCAATCAATAAATACATCTTGAGTAGTAAGCACACATCAAGGCACTGCACTAGGCACCAAGTACAAGGAACAAGAAAGAGACAGTCCTTGCCTTCACAAAACTTCATTCTAGAAGAAAACAGATTTTACCCACTGTGTGTTTAATTATAACTGAGACACACTAGTAGGGGATCTGAAATCCAGCACAAGGAGGACAGGTCAGAGGAGGCTCCACACTGGAAGATTTGGAATCTGGGAGAAGTGTGGCAGGTTTTAGGCCTTTATAAAAGTCTCTGGCTATAGCATAGAGGAAGGAGGACAGCGGTGGCCAGGAGGCTGGAGAGGCCAACAGGACCTTACATCCCAGTAGCCAGGAAGTCACTGTTGGTCCTATTAACTGCAACTGTCACTGAGTCTCCAGTCCATGAAGTCCTCATTGACATTATACCCTGAGCTGGATTGGATTTTCCTTGCTGAATTCCCTCACATCTTACATTTAAAGCTGACATCTCACAGTCAAACTCTCACTCATTTTGTTGTCCACACAGCTGTGAGGAATCCTAGTACCCAGTACAAGGAAAATGCACCATGAATTCAGTGTGTTCTTTCTCATGGAAGACTTGAGCTATCTGCTTTTTCTTTTGACTTTATACTACATACTAGATCAATAGGAGAGACTTGGAATGAGGCTGTTTGTGGGGGAGAAGGGTCCTTAGAAATATTAATAGAACTATTCCAGGAATTAATTGCTCTGAAGGGTAAGCGCAACATTAAAAAACAGTACTGATTTTTAAAAAAATATATGCTGTGTTCCTGCCTCTCCAGAATTTGATTTTACTGGTGCTTTTATCTTATGCAGGAAAATGACCTGTTTGAAAAATTTGCATGCTTGACAGTTTTTTCCAAGATTTATCAAGCTAAATACAAAACATGGCTAGTTTCTAACAATGAAAGAGATGGCAAGAAAGTGTCAGAATGCCATTGTGAAAATACAACATACACCTGTTCAAGTGCTTTAGGAGAGTCAAATCTCAGGCCTAAAAATGAAGTGTGATGAATGTAAGAAAGGGAATGAAAGGGGTAATGTGAAAGTCAGAAGCAAACTGCAGCTATGTCATTCTGGAAGTTCAGTAAGAGTATAGCAAAAATGTGTCTAGGGGCCCCTTCTCCCATGATGCGAGGTTTACTACACAACATCCTTAAACTTGAGCTTGCAGCAGAAGCACTTGGAAGATTTGTTCATGCATAAATAGCTGGGCCCCCATTGCCTGTGGGGCCCATGGACTTGCATTTCTAAATTCCCAGGTAACAACGACTTTCCTAGTCCAGGGAAGACACTCTGAGAACTACCACACTAGCTTTTCTCTGGTGACTCAAAGCATGTAGCAAAATGAAACAGCCTCTATTTTTATTTGGTTCATTAAAATAAGTAAGTCTCAACCAGGAGGTTTAAACTAAAAAAGCTAATGAGCTTTAAAAAAAATATGTCAGGCCCCATCATTGGGCATTCTGCCTCAGTAGGCCTGATGAGGGTGAGGACAGGACAAGTTTTTGAAACAGCCCTCACCCACAGGTTTTGCACCAGACCCATCATAGAACAAAAGGGACTTAGATGGCCTTGAACATGACATTAAGAGGAAGCGGCTTTAAGGATTAAGCATTTTCTAAAAGTGTTCCAAGATGCCCTTGGGCGGTGATGGTGTACATTTCAGAGCCTGCAACAAACAGCCCACTGCACATGACTGCCATGGTTTCGCCACCACTGCCCTAGGGATCTGGAGAGGGAGGATCAAGGGGCACCAAGAGTAGAATGGAATAGGAGAGCTACAGCTCAGCCCTCCTCCTTAGACCTCAGCCACAGCAGACCAGCCTCTGGGTCTGCACACTGGGTTTCTTTTGTAGAAATTGTTTTCTAGGGCCCTAAAATATTTAAAACCATGGATGTTGCCCCACCTTTCTCAGGTACAGCTAGAGCACTGAAGCAAAAAGACCAAGTGAAATCAACCAGTACATGTGACTAGTCCTCAAAACCTGCACAACTGCCTCCAGGACTGCACACTGCATGTAAGAAATATCAGGATGTTACCGACAACATCACTTCCCTCCCACCACCCCCTCTCTCTTACAGCAGAGATGAAGCTCTTCATCGGAACCATCACCACAGTCATCGTCGCCATCACATATAAAATACGACTGGACACAAACATGGTTTTTACATTCAAACAGAGCAGCTGGGCAGTATGTACCATTGGGAAAGCGAGTGGCTGTCGGAGGGGAAGAGATACATGTCAATTATGAGACAAAAGTACTAGTTCAGGAAAGCTTGCCTGTTATTGCTCTGTTAGCTCTTGCTATTATAATCCATTCCGATGTACTATGACCTTCACCTCTCCGGGATTCAGATGGAATATGTCTTAAGGACCACTGCCTGAGCCAGTTTTCAATGACTTGAACTGTCCCATGGGTGGCATGGGACTTGGTCTCTGAGGGCAAGCCCAGCCTCCAGCTGCAGGAGGACTGGCTCTGCCCATCATGCGTTTATAAACTCTCTTTGAAGCTAGGCTTGAAGATGTGGTAAACACATCATCAACACCTATCATGAATAATTAGCAACAGTTAAATATGTGTTCAGTGATTCATAAAGAGTAAAATGAGTGATCATAATATATTTTTAGTAATTTTATATGCCATCATGCAATTCAGATTTAGCCGGGAATTTAGCTCAGTGGCACCGTGCCTGCCCCAAAAGCACCAAGATCCGGAGATCGATCCATGGTACCAAAAAAAAAAAAATGAATGCTCTAAACTCCATGTTCTAATACTCAACCCAAATTCTCTGTACTAAATTTATTCATTGCCCTAGTATTCTTTACTTGAAATGTTTTTATCCAATAATAATTTATATAGTAGCTCATAATATATAAATACTTTGCTAGCACAGGCTACTTAATATGTTCTTCATTTAAAATATTGCTAGTGAAATGCACCTGAATGACTACTGTGAAGTATATGGTTATAATGACTCACACCACAGGTGAACTGATAATTACCAGTGGAGGTGGAGTAGAAAGTATCTGTGGCCTTTTAATCTAAGAAGTGGTAGCTGATGGGTGTCTAAACTCCCACATCTATACATTCAAGCAAGAACCACAGGTGGCCAGGGACTTACGACAAGTGCTTTCATCAGAGGCATCCAAACAGTCAGCTCTTCCATCACATTTCAGTTCATTGGGTATGCAGTGTCCACTTGTACACTGGAAGTGTTCAGGATGGCAGGTCTTCAACTCTGAAGAGAAAAGACTGCTATTCCCAGGAGACCTTGTCATTTTCACATAGGTATTAGGCATATGGAGTATGGTGAGTATGTCACATTCCTATCTCCTCCTCCTGACTGGCTCACCACAAACCCCCAACTTTGCTAGTAAATGAGTAAGCTCTCAAACCTCACACTTTCTCACACTAAACAAACGAAGACGGAAGTACTTATTTCCCCTGTTAACTAACCTCTAGCTCTCAAGCTTTCCTCAGAATTTTTCAATTTTTAGTGTTCCTTGATTTTCCTCAGACCCATCATTAAGACAGGATTCCTATCCAAAGCTCTGTCAGCTATACCTGGGTGACCTATGGAATACTAGGAAGATCAATGTACTTGTTTCTAAGGCCAATGTGAATTAAAGTCTGCTCTGGGGTATGCTAAAATTAAAATGAGACTTTAAAAACTCCTTGCTAGTTTCCCATAGCATGACTGATCTAGCCTGCTATAAGGTAAAAATAAAGCATAGAAAATAAATAGCAAGTTATTCTATTGTGGTAAGGTTTATGTACCACATAAATTACATAAAAGTTCTATTACTCTGAAAAACTTTATCAACACTTCTTGAAATTCCTACTCTGCCACAGACTAAGATTCTATAATAAGCCTCTCGAAAATAGTTACCACAGTCCCTCTCATCCGAGTTGTCCCCACAGTCATTCTCTTGGTCGCAGACCCACTGAGAGGGAATGCACTGCTGATCGGTGCATCGAAACTCACTCTCCGTGCACTCGCGGGGAGCTGGAAAGGAAAGCCATGTGGCCATTAGTGTGCTCCAGGCACATGGCTGGCTTGGCGCTGGCCAGGTGCCCTCAGTGCCCTGTACCCTCCCTCGTGCTTCCCAAGTCCCAGAGGTCTGCTAGGGCAGATCATTCATCCTCCAAAACTAGACCTTCCACATGGATGAATGGCCTTTAGGATGTGACAGTAACTGTCTTATTTCTTGAAGATTTACATAACCTCTTAAGATGCAATATAAACTTTTTAAAATAAAAAATAAAATGTCAACTGGATTGCCCTTTTAGATTTGCAGATATTATCAATGTTATAATTCAAATGCAGATGACAAATAATATGTCTTCCAACAAAAGGTGGCTGAAGTTAAAATGTATTTCATATAAGAAAATTTGAAATTGAAAATATCTCAGGACTCAATGATAGATGCTCAGGGTGGGAATTCATTAAAGTTGCTTTCAAAACACTTCCACTTATTCAGAACTGACCAACTGGTTTGGTGTGATCCAGACTATAGGCCTCCTTTCTTCAACCTCCCTGTCTAACTCCTGGTAGCCACCTTGAGCTGGAAGAGAGGAACCAAAACCGAATCTGATGTTTATCCATAGCCCTCTTAAAAGAATCAGCCACTCCAAGAAGGGTAAAAATTCAAGCACAAGTTTTCTCTCCTTTGCTATTTGGGACAGTTTGAGAAACAGGGTCTCTGGGTTAGCACCTTTCCTTTCTTCTCTGGGTCTTCATTTTCTATTTCTATTCTATTTATTTGTCTTATTATATTTGTCCTTCATCATAATTTTATCTCAAGTTCTTTTTGGAAAAATAGTTCAGTAAATAAATATAACACAAAAAAGATATACTTCAGTAGATATCCTCCTCCCAAAGCATATTATAAGCATCTCAGAAGGAGATGCTGTGTCGTTAGTCACAGAGAATACAGAAATACACCAACCAGAATGAGTAGCCATCATCCCACCCTCTGAGGATGAAGGACAGTTAATGATGAACATAGACCAGACATTCTAGCCCTGGTGGCACATGAGGATCACAGAACCCTGAGCACTCACCACAGTTTTCCTCATCTGAACTATCTCCACAGTCGTCATACCCATCACATTTCCAGCGAAGAGGGATGCATTGGTGATTTTTACAGCGGAAATCCCCTGAAGGATTGCACGTCAGTGCCTCTGCAAAGCAAGTCATTGCAAAGCCTTCAGAAGGTGATGGTCAGGAAATGGACAACCAGTACTGGCTTCCTTGTGAGACAGTCTGAGAATTGTTAACATATTTTTGGAGCTTCCAGAGAGGGGAATCCCAGCAACATTCATTGTCACAATCCCTCTTTTAGCTAACCTGAACCTGTCCTACTGCTTGAAACTAGATCCATTTTCTTTTGTAGAAACTCTTCAAACAACATATTGGTATCTGATTTACAAATGGCCTGGTAAGGGAAACTAAACTGAGGCCACCAGTCAACAGAGTATTTCATGAATGCTTTCCATGGCTTAGACTCTGTGCCATTAAAATAGTCCACTAGCTTCTTTGCCTGTCTTCCAACTAAACCTCTCTCTCCCTCCCTCTCCCTCTCTCGCTGTCTCTCTCTCTGTCACACACACACACACACACACACACACACACACACACACACACACTGGTTTCAAGTTAGAGTCTTGATACCTTCCATTAATTTATTTAGCCTTCTGTCCATAAATTTGTTCCACGTGGCCAGAGTGAATAACAGAAAGACATTCAGAATGTGGAAATCACCAAATAAGAGAGATTCTGACTTGGATATGTACTTTGTAGAGGCAGCTACCAAGTCTCTTCACTAACCCCTCAATTTCAGTCCATCTATAAGATTAGACAAACCATTTAAATGTGCTTGAATAAGGATTCTACATTGGGAGAAATTACACAAGTTCCTAACATCTTAATAATGTCTTCCTCCATCACAACATCCTTTGGGATCAGATGTCACTTGAGAATATTTAAATCAAATTCTCCCAACAACCCTGTCAAATGCTACAAAATATGACATGCTATTAGAAGACTAACAAATCCCTTTTTAGAGGTAAACAGAGGGAAGATGATATGGGAAATCCATGCTCATCTAACACAGCACTGGACACTTATTTTCCTGTCCCTCCCCACTCCCAGGCAGCCCTCCTACCGCAGCCTTGCTCATCACTGTTGTCCCTGCAGTCATTGGCACCGTTGCACACGGCCCACTGTGGGATACAGCGGTAGTTCGTTTTACAGCTGAACTCCGTGTGGTTGTCACAGCGGTGGGCAGCGCTCACTGAAAAGGGAGGAGACAGCAAAGTCAGAACTGAAGTTTCCATCCTGCTGGGAAATGGCTTCAGGAGGTAACTTTCCATTGTCACACGGAGGACAAGGTGCTGACGAGTAACAATTACTACGTTACCAACTAAACTGACTCCGAAAACGTGTCTGTCGTAAGTGTGAGCCTGTCTTCTCACTATCTCAGTACCACTCACTTGTTTTGCAGTGCAACTGTAGGAAAAGAACTGGGTTTGAAGTAAAAACCGGATCTGAAGTGTTCATTCTGCCCCTAAACAGTTATATGACCATCCATGCCAGATGAGCCTCACTATCTTCATCCATAAAGTGGGAACTGATTACCCCTCACCTGCCCTAACCTCACACTGCTTCTCAAATGAGGAAGCATTACACATGCAGGACGTAAATTCTTGTTATCATGTTCTGGACGGTCAGATGTTCAGTTTACCAAGAGGTAGTATCAGACACCTAAGAAACGAGCTCTGGTCGGACTACACCATTCAGTGACTCTGCCTTGCAGCACCAGAGCTGAGAGAGCTCCCGGGGGCGGACACTCAGGGTCCATGTCCACTCTCAGCACACACGGAGGTCCTCCTCCTCTCCCTGCCCTGCTCAGGCCCAGCTCCTCCCGGACACTCACTGCACTCGTGGATGGGCTCGTCCGAGTAGTCTCCACAGTCATTATCCACGTCACACTTCCAAGACTGAGGGATGCAGCGGCCATTGTTGCACCTGAACTGGCCCGGCCTGCAGGTCCTGCTGGCACAGTGGGAACTGTCCTCATCCGAGTTGTCCAGGCAGTCGTTCACTGAGTCGCACTGCCAGGACTCCGGGATGCAGCGCTTGTTGGCACACTGCCACTGGTAGACCTCACAGTGGTGATTCGCTGCAGGGAGGGATGTTTAGTTATCAGCTTCAAAGAGATCAAGAATGAAAGCTTTAAATTTACACAGGTGGTTCCTGAAGAACTCCATTGTAATTACTTTTCATAGGCCTGTTTGTTTTTTGAGATAGTTTTCCTATATAGTCCAGATGGGCCTTGAACTTGCTATGTAACAGGCTGGCCTCGAGCTTCTGATCCTCCTGCCTCAGCCTCCCAAAATCTGGGATTATAGGTGTGCACCATCCTGCCCAACTTAGAGGATTTATAACCTGATGCAATTATTGACAATCAGTAATACTATATGAATAACAAGTCCTTTATTACTTCTCCCAAATTCCTAAATATCTTTTCCTTGAATGCAGAAGTAAGGATTAGGGAAAGATCCCCCTGTCCTGCTAAACACATTTTCCCTTGTCTCTGTTCCCCTATCGAACAGTGGTTTTCAGACTTTGTGTTTATTGCTATTGTTAATATGTTGTTTTTGGTTTAGTTTAGAGGGTATTTTCCTTTCTTAAGTGAAAATAAAAATAAATATTAAATGAAGAGTTCTTGCCAAAAGGAGGTGGGAAGTCCCTCATTTCACTCCCACTGTGAGCTCTGAGGAGGGGTCTATGCCTGCCAGATGGAGGGGATCCATCAATCTGGAAGACTTGCTATCGACTAAGCCATTGCCTTATAGAGACTTAAGAAGTTCAATTTTTAAAACCCTATAAAAATAGAAGGAGCATGGGCCCTGCATCTTTTCCTTGGATTTAAACCAGTTCTCCACTAATGGCTTGCAGGAACCGCCCACAGACTCATGGTGCCATCAACGACAGAAGTGGGCAGAAGAACACAGAGCTGTGAACATACCACAAAGAGTGCGGTCTTCATCAGAGCCGTCGTTGCAGTCCTCCTGAGCATTGCACAAGGCCTGGGGGCTGGTGCAGTTGCCGTCCCTGCACTGGAACTGCCCCAGCCGGCAGAAGCGGTGTGGGCACAGGGCTGGCTCATCAGAGCCATCAGAGCAGTCTTTCTGTCCGTCACATTTCCACCAAATGGGAATACACCTGTACAAAGGAAATGCAGCACTACTCTAGAAAAGCACTGGGGTGGCTAGGGGGAGCAGTGGCTACTGAGAGAGAAGAAATCAACACTGGACCCCAAGTACTGACATGTAGGAGTTCTTCCCTGGTCCTAGAAAAGGATCAATTAAACCTCAGTTTCTGTGCACTGTCAGAGAAAAGATAATTTGATGAGATAGAACAGGTTTGTTAAGACATAAATGCATGCTGAAAATATGCTCTGAGCATGATGATTAAATTCCTTCCACAACCAATAAGGGAGCAGGTGTTTTGAGTAGGAGTTCTAGAAGCGAGTGGTAAAGATTGTCTACCATGTGATATGAGACATTTGGGGATTGGCTGGAAAACTGCAGGGTGCTAGAAATTGTTGCTTGCCTATGTTATAAAAGGTGTATACTAGATTCTTAATGTCAGATATCTTAATCACCAAAACAATCTGCCATTGCACCTTGGATGCTCTGATTTGCACTAACATTGCCCTCCACTCCATTCTGACTCAAGGGCCCATAGCCACTGTTAGGCAAATAATTCGAAGCCATGTTTCACAGCAAACACAAAGGATCAAAAGTGAATGTGAAGGCCAGGGATTTAGCTCAGTGGTTTTGCCTGCTGTGGAAGCGCAAGGACCTGAGTTTGATCCCCAGTACCAAAAAAAAAAAAGTGAATGTGATATTCAGACTGGATTCCCCGGCATAGGTAACTAAAGAGTGGCACAGTATAGCTATGAGAAAGACAGCCAACTTCTGTTCCTCTTTAAGCCTGTTATCCATGCACCCTCATGTACATGGAGGACACTTAAGAAAGAAATACGAGGCCCAGGGATTTAGCTCAGTGGTTCCGGCGCCTGCCTCGAAAGTGCAAGGTCCTGAGTTTGATTCCCGGTACCAAAGAAAAAAAATACGAAATAGTTTCCTGTCTCTATAAAAACTTACACACACAGGCATTATCAGTGTAGTTAACAAATTCCTGCTGTTTAGGAAGGAATTATCCAAAGCTGAAGACTGAGAGTCTTGGCGTGTTCTACATGAACCAAATGAACTGAAACCTTGGGTCATTAGAAAATTCCCATACCCTGGGAATGTGTGTCCAAGGGCTGGAGAGACAGTGTGGAGAGGGGAGAGGGCGCCTTACTTTTCATTGTTAGCACACAGGAACTGGGTGCTGGAGCACGCTGGCAGGCAGAGAGTTCTGTCACTCAGACGCAGGGTCTGGAAGTCATCAGGACACTCGCAAGTGAATCCATTCCCTCCTGCTTTGATGAGGCAGAGATGAGAGCAGCCACCATTGTTGGTACCACAAGGATTGTTCACTAGGGGAAAAAAAAGAAAACATGGATCCATGTGCTTAAAGACAGCATCACACACAGATTAGCAAGTTACTCACCTGGACATCGGATTCATCACCTCTTAGAGAGTAAGAAAAAATCATTGTCCTACCTTTATCCTTTTCCCAAAGTTCATATAATAGGACAGATGATAGAGTTATACAAGAAGCACTGTGTACTTGAGACAAATCATGCATGTGCTACTGGAAGTGAGGCATGCTTGCTGGTATTTTTCATTTGTTCTTAAGGTCCTGAGAGAGCAGGCAGCAACCGTGCAGGGAGCTTGTAACGTGCCAGACCCTAAGCGAGAGCTTTGCTTTGCACCAGATGCTGTTTTGTTCTCCAACAGAAGTTGGGCCATGAATAACCAGGCAGGTACACTGAGCAGTGCTTTACTAATTTTCTGACTCACTGCCTGGAGATAAACATTAAATTTCCAGTAACATGAAGAAAATACTAAATACCTTTATTTTGCTACGTCTCAATTTTCCTTACTTCTAAGTTTATCATATGTTTTACCAAGATATCACAACAAAGTGGACCCAGAAAAACCAGTCTATCCCCAAAGTATACTCTTAACTTAAGAGACTATTCTTGACATTTTATATTTTAAAAGACAAGAGTAACATTTATTTGATATATAATATATGCAAAAAGACATTTAAGAAATGTTTTTAATGGCTGCAATTTTCTTTTAAATATTTCTTCTAATGTAGATTAATCTCTGATCTTGGCATTAAGAGATAATTGTTAATATTTGAGGTGTCACAATTGTATTATGGCTAGATATGGAAATATCTTATATTTTAAAGGTGCTTTCTCAAATATTTAAGGCTCAAATGTCTTGATACTTTTAATACACTACAAGTACTTCAGCAGTCCCACCAAAACGGATGAAGTAACTATGCAACACAACAACTACTAAATCATATTAAAAACAAAAAAATATCAAATTGTTCTTTAAAAATAAGGCAAATACCATCTGTGGTGGTCCATACCTATAATCCTAGCACTTGGGAAACTGAGGCCGGAGGATCTCTGTGAGTTTGAGGCCCACTTGGGCTACACAGTGAGTTCAAGGCCAGCCTGAAATACACATAGTGATAGCGTCCCAAAAAAATAAATAAAAATAGAGAAAAGAAGTATAAGTAGCCTTTCTGGAGCTGAGGATGTAGATTAGTAGTACAATGCTTACCTGCCACAGATGAAACCCTGAGTTTCATCCCCAATATCCCAAAATTAATTATATTATTTAAAAGTAGCCTTTCCAAAGGACAGGAAAAAAACCTCTAAAGATACTTCATACTCTCAATTCTCAGCATACATTTTTTTCTTTTGAGACAGGGCCTCACTATGTAGTTCAGGCTGGCCTTGAACTCACTACTGTAGCCCAGGCTGCTCTCAAACTCACAGAAATCTTCCTGCCTCAGCCTCCCGAGAGCTGGGATTACAGGCATGCACCACACCCAGCCTCAGCATACATTTTGATGAAAAACATTAACAAGGACAATAAACCTCTTATACGTCAGGATATTAACACTTCCTGAGAGAAGATAATGCACATAAACTAAGCCAGCTGTGCCAAATCCCCCACCTCCTACTCACCAATTGGCTGCCTGTACGGATGGTACACGTGGATGTCAAAGGGTCTGTGGGTGGTGTTCACCAGCACCACCCTATCTGAGCCATCGTATTTGTTTCCCTTTTCAACTGTTCTTGTATTCCAATCTGTCCAGTAGATAGTGTTTTCAAAAACGGTCAATGCGTAGGGGTGAGGCAGTATCCCGTCGTACACTGTGTGTCGGTGGTGGCCCTCCAAATCTGAGTACCTGGAGCAGCAGAAAGAACAGTTGTTGCTGAGCAAGATAACCCCCACCTCTAATGCCTTTCAGAACAAATAAACTAACCAATCTTAATCGAACTCCACCTTCCTTGGTCTTTAATGAAAACAAAAACTAAACTTAAAGGATTTATTTTGACTGAGCAAAAAATGTAAAAAGCTGAAAAAGCCATGCTTAAAAAGTAGGCATAGCCACAGGACTTGAAGCAATCACTGATTTCTAACCACAACTGCTGTCCAGCTGATACAGCTATTGTAGATTTATAACCTCTTATACTGACGTTCTGCATTAAGCACCTGTTTGACACTGGGGTGAACACTGTTCTTGTTTCTTTAATCACTGGAGGAAATCAGAGGCTAGCAATGAAAAGCTGGAATCCCACGTTCTCATGAGCATTCTAGTGAGAAGCTGTCCTAGGAGACAGCCACATTCTCAGGACAACCTGAGGGGAAGACAGTGTTCAGCAAATACAGCAGAATGTCTATTAGGCACCAAGCCATAGGCACTACTGATGAATACTTTTCCAAATGAATAAACCTCCAGGAGATTCTCTGATTTCAAGGTGTCACAGCATCCTTAGCCACATTTCCAAGTCTTCTTAGTTCCAACGTCTCATTTATTACCATGAGGCTATATTAGAAGTTGTTTCTAAAATACTGATAATTTAATATTTAAAAAATTTGAAACAGATCCTACAATTCAAACAGGAAATAAACAGATGTATCTAACCCCTAAGAAACATGATGTTAGCCATGCAGTGCTAAAAATATTTCCCCAAATACAGATACTGTAATTTACAGAACCCATAGGAAAACATGAAGACTTGCTTGGCCTTTGTTGATAACAAGGCAAGTAAATGATCTGAATTTAGCCACCAAGTGACAGAACTTGTAAGAGTCTTTAGAACAGCTCAAAATAATGCCATTTCCTAGCTTTTGAATGCAACAGGCTATACTGAAAACATTACTATATTCTGATTAAGCCACACCAGCAATGTCTCCAAATAAAAGTGTTTGGTCGATTAATAATGTATACTATTTTTAAATAAGAATTTTTCACTAAATAGTATAATACTTAACAGAGTTTAAAAGTGATCCTATTTCCAGAAAGACTGCAATACATTATTTACAGAGTAAATGTTAAAAGACTCTACTGCCACATAAAACATTTCATTGTACTTATCAATAAAAGCACAAAAATACTTTAGGGAAACCCTTTCCAACATTTTCATTCTCTTTCTTTTTTTCAAAGACTGTAATGAAATCTATTAATCATATATTTGAGACAGGAGAACAAGGTCAAGAGATAAGGAAATTGAGATGTGTTGAATACTGAGCTATCATAGGGGAGAGATTACCAGCCTCATTTTCTAGATTAAAAAAATAAAAGCAGTAAGAAGTGAAAGTACCAGGCTATAAACCTTGCTCAGCATAACTTCAAAGTTCACTCTGTTTCTACTGCACCATACCATAGAGCTCAGGGACCTGCCTATCAGCAATTTTACTTAGAGGTGACCTCAGAGTGCCCTTGAAAACACAGGCCAGTTTGAAGGCACATGGGACAAACATACTGGAAGCACAAGCCCCGTATCTGCAATGAGCAGCTCTCCCATTTTGTTCTTTTCTGCATACATACTCAATGTATCCCAGGTGAGCATCTGCCCAGTACAGGAGGTCATTGGTGTAATCGATGGTGATGGCATTGGGCCATGATAACTTGGTTGAGATAATCACAGACTTATTGGCTCCATCCATGCCCACTCTGCCAATGTAGGCATGCTGACCCCAGTCTGCCCAGTAGATGTGCCTGCGGGAGCAAGCACACTGAGTCAGTCCCTGCAGCCAAAAGAAGTCAGTAGCCAAATGACAGCTTTTCTCCATTTACAGAAATGGAGTTTACATCCTGCAGAGCTTCTCAGAAAGAAAAGAGAACTAACAGAAAATAATCTGAAAGAGGAGGAAAAGGGGTATGATCCACAGGCAATGCTCAGGAATGAACATGATTAACTGGATTTCAGTGGCTTTGACATGGAGAGTCCAGTGAAGAAGTAGTTCTCTCACCACAATTTTCTTGGCATGCAGTCAAAATATGTGGCTTGAAAAGTGAAATGGTGTGTCATGGCAAAGACAACAGAAGAACTGATGACTATCATTTGAGTGAGCCATGCTTCTACCTAAACCATTTACCAGGCAGGAAAAGCAGAAGACAAGTCCCAGGAAGATACTGGCCTTGAGAGAGCTATGTGAGCACCCTTTTTGGCAACAGAGGCAGAATAAGAGCATGACAGAAGAGCCTGACATTACAGGGAAATAATACCCATATTGAGGGTGGACAACAATTCCTCTGGGATTGTCAAAACAGAAGGTGTTGTTGGCATCCATACAGTGCTGGGCTAGCATGCGGCGGTATTGACCTTGGAGGTTGGAGACAAAGATGCCGTCCAGCTGGGCATCCAACCAATAGAGCTTTCTGAAACAGAGATACAGGAGTTACTGGTACAATCATTTTTTTAGCCACCTGATTTCCAACCCAAGCTATCTGAGTCACATAGACAGCTAGCTGTTAGAAGGCACCTTCCCTAGCCAAAGGAGGGCAGGAGAAATAGGAAGTTGGCCTTGCTGCAATGAGGCGATGGAAGATGCAAGAAGACGCTACAATTCCCACCTCCAGGTGATGTGACACTGGAAATTCCAGGGCCACACATCATACCAGGAGCTGGTTTTACTTTCTTCATGCAGCATAAGACATCCTTCCCACGCAATGCAATAACTTAAGAGGAACAGATGAGCAGAAGTGAATGCCATAGACTATAGTTTAAATGAAGGAGTGAAGGAAACAGACTTGTCTACCTGTTATCATTGAAACTGCAAAAAGACACTCCGAATCCTGACATTCTTCGTATAAAGAGAAACCCATCCCTGACCCTGTCAGACTAGGTGGCAAAATGCATTTCTTATCTTTTGATGTGTTTTGCTTAATCAAACTTAAAAAACCTTGAAAACGTATTAGAATCTGCTAGAAACTCCTGCCTCAGGGATATTTCAGGCCTAAAAGTATTGTTATACAATAAAATCTATTTATTTTCCGGAGAGCAGGTATCCTTAACCTTAAGTCTTATCCTGGCATCTGGGAAGTGTGGGCTTTGGGGTTCTATACTCTCCAGATTTGGTACACAACTTAGTGAGCATAAATATACAAGTGTTTTTACCATCAAGGGCCCATGGTTTTATTTCATCTAGGTCTTACTATATCTGAACCTTCCAAAAGGTTCAGTACCCCTACAATTGGAGGGTCACTGAGGAGCTGATAATCAATTCTAAATGGATCGAGTATGGTTTCCCTTCCAAAAGACTCAAAAACCTCTTTGCAAGAGTTCAGTCCTAATCCAACTGTACTGGATGACTCCATGGATCAATCCCTTAACATCATCTCCAGGTAACTGAATGGCCAGCAGTAGTGAGCTCTTACCTCCCTAATAAACCTCCTCCTAATAAAAATAATACCATAGGCGGGGGATTCAGCTCAGTGGTTTCACCGCCTGCTGCGCAAGCGCAAGGACCCGAGTTCAATCCCTGGTACCCAGCCCCCCCAAAAAATACCATAGATTCTGATAATCCCCAGATTTTAAACTCTGTGGTGTACCATTTGAATAGTAGTTACAAAGCAGAAAAAAACAAGGCAGATATATGAAATGTATCCAATATTGACCCAAGTTGAATCAATTCCCTATCAAGATAAAAACATGGCTAGAGTGTTTTGTTAATGTTCAACTTTTAAAACACTCATAGCTTATCTTCTTACCTGGCAACCCAATCTACAGCCAGACTTTCTGGTGCTGGTAGTCTGTGGTTTATGATTGTCTCCCTGTTCGTCTTGTTCAGAAACATTCTCTCAATGACTTGCCTCTCTAGGTCAATCCAGTACAATCTCTTTTCTACTCTGTCGAAATCCAGTGCCACAGCATTGCCCAGTCCTTGCAAAATGAGGGAGTAAGAGGAGCCATCTATCGTTAAGTTCCTTAAGTAGTAGCGGTTGCTAAAAATGAGATAGGGCTCAATATCACTGTTCTGCCGGCAGGTCTTTCCATCCGGCTCTCGGATGTAGCCTGGGGCACACTTGCAAATGTACGAGCCTACTTCATTCTCACACTTCTGGTTGCAGACATAGGGTGTCTCCTTGCATTCATCAATATCAACACAAGTCCTCTTGTCAGACATGAGCTTGTAACCAGGACGACAGGAACAGTAGAAACTGGTCAGAGTGTCGGTGCAGTTGTGATCGCAGCCACTGATGGAGTGGTCCTGGCACTCGTTAATACCTGTAGGTAAAAGACAGTTACTAGAGAATCTAAAATATCAGCATCACCCTCCTGGTCCAGTCATTGTGTCTACTGAACAGTGCCAATCCTTAATGAATCACATCAGAAGACAGTCACTATTTTTTCTACTTCCTCACCCAATTGAATCCTTCAGAAATAGATTTAACAACTAATACAACTAACAAGATTAGCTGACTTCTAGTCCCATGTCTGTCAAACTTTTCTTAATGTTTAATGTTTAAAGTAAAATGGCAGGGGAGAGGAGATAAATGAGCAAAAAGAAAAGAGCCTCCCCAGGGTGCTGGAAAAATAGGTTTCTAAGGGAGAAAAATGTATGATACTCATACCATGTGTCCTACTTGAGCACAGAGCACAGAAGAGATGTGCACATTTGCCTCTCCTAAGAGGCCTGCACTCAACCCTCCGTGAAACACTACATGGCCTTCCTGCAGGACTGGCCATACCTCTGTACAGGTGTAGTCCTGTAACACGTGGCCAACCTCACCCCAAAAACATCTACACAGAGAACACGTGCTTACTAATTCTCTACTCAGCAAGAAGTGACAGACTAAAAATTACTTCATGCTGCAAAATCCATGATCCAAATATCTAGTTCTACTGCTAGCAATTTACCATGTAGCCCTGAGCAATTCATTTCACATCTATAAGTTTTATTTGCAAAAGAAAATGGTTTACAAGATCATTAGAATTCCCTTTGCTAAAGAGTGATGCTTAAACTGGGCATGATAGCATACAACTCTAATCGCAGCTACTCATGAAGCTAAGGCAGGAATCTTCCAAGTTCCAGTCCAGCCTGGCCAACTTAAAGACACCTCTCTCAAAAGGGGTAAGGGTCGGAGGTGTACCTCAAAAAAAGAATAGATATTTAGTAGGCTTGGAAGAGACCTCCTCTTCGACTCAAAGATTTCAGTTTACATTTTGTACAATTTGGGACTTTTATTTCTAGAGTTAAGGCAAAGCAAAATTAGTTAAGACCTAATGGGAATCTACCTGAGTTACAATTAAATATAAGGCAATGCCTTATAATTCTGGTATAAATATGTAATAATAAGTGTTTTTTCTTAATTTATTCGATGGTTTTTGAAACTTTGGTAGAAACTTGTAGAAGTTTTTCTTGTATTAGAGCAAAGCCAGTTTTACATGTTTTTTGGTTGGTTTGGGGTTTTTTGTACCAGGGATCGAAATCAGGACCTTGTGCTTTCGAGGCAGGTGGCGGAACCACTGAGCTAAATACCCGGCCCTACATGGTTTTTACAATTTACACAGATATGCCTCCTCCTGATGTCCATAGCATCTTCAAGTTGCTTCACAAGTCTTCTCTTTCCTACAATACCGGAAACCACTATATACTTCTGAGTCAATTAGGCAAATGCATTTAACGAGTACTGACAATAAGCCAGTGCAATAGAGAAAACAAAATAAAGGAAAACAGATGGTCTCTCCTTCAGAACATTTATACTTTTATCACAGAGACAACATCAGCACACATAAAACGATGGTTAGAAGGACTAAACACCACCAACAGTCTGACTTAGCAATCTTACGGAGTTCAAGATGACACTAAGCACACAGTACCCATTTCATAAATTCTTGACTAGCCTACTTATAGGATCTCCCACTGGATCATCTGAGCACAAAAAGGAAGGGAGGCTAAGAAGTCCCAGAAGAGGCACACTTCCAGTAACAAATCACACCAAGGAGCCAAAGAAACTCAACATGTCCTCTTCATTCATGGGCACCTTCTTCTGTCATGCTCTTAAATGCTGGCATAGACATTTGTTCACCTTTGTTCTCTCTAATGGCTGCCTAGCTGAAAAAGTAGACCCAAAATGTTTGAAATCGTTACCTTTTGATAAAGAAGCAATAGTAATTTTTTGTAAATTTTCTATATAGAAGACAGATGAGAAGTCCGAGTAAGGGCTAAAGGATTGAGAACCACAGAAAGTCTCCCCTTTTTCGTTGTCCTGCCTTCTGCCGCACTCACCACAGCCCTTCTCATCACTGTTGTCCGAACAGTCATCCAGGTGGTTGCAGACCTTCGTCATCTCGATGCAGTGCCCGTTGTCACACTTGAACTGGTGAGGGGGGCACGTGGGTTGTAGGGCGTGACACAGGTGCTCCTGCTCATCAGATTCATCTCCACAGTCATTGTCGTGATCACAGACAAAGGCCTTATTGATGCAGCGCCCGTTCTGACAGGTAAACTGATTCTCCTGGCACGCCGGGTATGAGCATTCCCTCTCATCGCTGTAGTCACCACAGTCATTGCGCCAGTCACACCTGCGTTGTGAGACAAAGGACCAAAAGTGGAGAGGTTGATGACAACTCTTAACAGTCGCCCTGTGAGGCTTTGCTTCCTCCTCTATCCATATGACTGACCATCCCAATAACAAGATCATCAATGCCTTAGCCCTCTTCTCCTCAGATTCTCCACCTAGTCCCCATCTGCAACTCTGGGAGAATCCAATATTTGATGTTCAACACAACTTCCCCCAGTGATAGTTGCTATCGTGGGAAATGTGGATCTAGAGTTATTGTGTCCCGCTGCAATTGATACATTAAATATAATTTTTGTAATTTTGGTGTTCATCACATCTAGTCATCAGATAATGAGATAACTTAAGGGCACTGATAATATGGTAGAGGTGCCCGTGCCCAAATAGAAACTTATCAGGTGAATGCTATTTATTATAAGATTATTGGATGTGTCCTCTAACAACACATATTTTCCCACTGAAGTAATGAATGTCTGCATTGGCAGACCCATTCCTTCTTTCATAAACTTCTACTGTCACCTATCATAAGATGTAAGTTGCTAAGGTGATGAGAAAGAGATAAGAAAATAGCAGTTTTCAAGCCACACTGGCGAAGAGAGACAGTATGTTGTAGTTCTAGAAGCTATTCTGGTAACTAATATTCCAAGGCATTATGAAAACAACAGTTTTCTGAAATTGTGTAAGCAAAATTGGTCTTTCTTCTGTACATTATTCCAAGATTGCATGAAAGTCGTGATTACTGAAGGGGTTCTGCTGACAGTGATAAACTAATTATGACTACACAGGAATGGAGGTTAAAGATGGACAAAACTAATGTTTGATAATTCAGAGAAAATTTACCATGGAAAGCCCAGGAGCAGAAGGTAGAACATTATAAAATGTAAAGGCACCCAAGGTGGATGTGGTCAATTTTACAACTGACCTACAACCCAGCTGGCTGACCAGAGTTGCCATCCATAAACCCAGGACATTGCCAATGTGATTTACACCAAAACATGTGTATGGGACTGTGAAGAAAGCTATGATCATACTGGCTTAGTCACGTATGATGTTGACTTGAGACATGGTTCAAGAGGGAAAAAGAAAGCCAACCTGGTGGCACATGCCCGTAATCCCAGCACTTGGGAGGCAGAGGCAGGAGGATTGCTGTGAGTTTGAGGCCAGCCCGGGCTACATTGTGAGTTCAAGGACAGCCTGCACTACACAGTGAAACCCTGTCTCAAAAAAAAAAAAAAAGCTGGGGGGATTTAACTCAATGGTGCCGCCACGTGCCTCACAAGCAAAAGGTCTTGAGTTCAATCCCCAGTACCAAAGAGGGACAGAGAGAGAGAGAGAAGCCAGCTGGGCAAACCAATCACTTGTTTAGGTACAATTGCACATCATTATTTTATCCCAGCAAGCTGCTCACAAGTCAGTCTTATCCAGCTTCTTCAGATGCATCAATAATGACCCAAGGGGAAAAAGTCAATAGGAAAAATACCCCCATCCCACTGTACCTAACGGGGAGCGTGCATTCTGCCAAGTGCGAGATACGCATTATTCCAGTTGCACAGAATTTGCATTTATTTAAAATCCTATAGCTCAGGTTGCAAGATAAATGGTATTTTTTCTTTCTGTTCTGCCCTTTGTAAAAGCAATGTAGAAGCTGGAGGGGAAAGAAAATAGAAAGAAGAAATGGACAGAAAGGTAGGGAGAGCATTTAAAAGCAGAATATTTCATATGAAAATGTACATTTCCAACTTCTCCAGCATCAGAAGTTGTGGCACTCCTGCACAACAAAACAAGATTTGCATCCTTAGCTGGAACATACAGCTCAATTTGCCCACCTGCCTCTCCTTGCTGTCTCCCTGACCCAGAATCAAAATGTCAAGCTCCATTCATCCTCACGCTCGCCTTGTTATTTTTCTTAGAGCAGAGAACAAAGTGACCTATTTCTTGTACCCATGCACCAACTTGACACAAGAATTTTCTTGCATCAAGGCAGCTTCATTCACCTCCCTGGCCCTGTGTTTTAAGTCCATATGAGACCCTTCATGGGTCCTGGGCAAATTCTGCCTTCTTGGGACCCATTATCCATAGAAATATTAAAAATTGTGTTAAATGAGTACATTAGTATAAAGGCAGATTCATTAGTATTACATATGAAAACACCAAAAGTTATTTTTTTTCTTTTGATTTCAAAGGAATCAAAACATTTTTATGAAAAGTTCAAAGTGCCAGGGGCCTTAGGCTCTGCAGCCACCATGCCCAGCAGATAAGTCAGCCTTGCTCCCACAGACATTTGAGGTTTTCTGGGAAATGTTTTAGTGCCCAATTCACCTGAATGATTGTAGGACACAAAGTCCATTATTACAGGTGAATTCATCTGCAGAGCAAGATCTCCGGGTACAATTCTGATGCTCATCAAGGGCATCAATACAGTCCGCATCACCATCACAGACCCAAGAGCGGGGAATACACTTCCTGGCTGGAGGTCTGCTGTTTACACAGTGAAACTCAGAACTTGAGCAGGTTTGCTGTTCTGAAACCAAAGCACACAAGAATCAGAGACCACATGAGAACTCACTGTAAAAAAAAATTAATATAAGATCATTATATTAAGATCATTTCTTTCCTTAGAGGTTCAGAATCCACTACAATTTTGTTATCCAATTTGGTATCCAAATATCTTAAATATTGGCAACATTGTCTTGGTGTGATCACATAGAACAAAGTGAGGTGAATAGTTTTATGTTCTTTCTACTTAAAAACTGAAACTCAACATGGTTAACTAAATGGCTCAAAGTCAGAGAACCAGAAGAAAGGCTAGGGCTCCAAACTCAAGTCTTTTTCTTTAAAGTTGGTGTTTTTCAATTATATGATAGCTACCACCCCAGGTATGTCTGCAGAATAAAAAAACAGGTATTTTACCAAGGCTATTGCAAATGAATAGGATATAAAAGAAGAAATGACCAAGTATTTGCTACAGTCCTTGTATGTGGAGTTACCAGCCTCCCATGTCAGTAAACAGAGCACACACCGAGCTGTGGGCCACCAAGAAGCACATATTTGTGCACCATCAAATGTAAGCATCAGGACACCACTCTTTATATTGCCCCACCATGGACTCTGCTAAGACATGGCAAGTAAGAACTACATGATTTGTTGGGAATGGAAAATGATGTTCCATAAGCCACTGACTATGAATAATGGCAACCCCCAACTCCCAGCTCTAAGGTTACAGATGAAACTGGAAGCACACTCAATTATTACAATGGGAAAGCTGCTATCAAGAGTGGCCCGCTCGGTTTTCCTTAACTACTCAAGAATCACAGCCAAAGGCAAAAAAATAAAAAAAAAAAAGAGAGAGAGAATAAACATAAAGTCATTTTTCGTCACTGTAAACATGTTTAATTGGATGACATCAAAGAGTAGAAAAACAAGGGAACATCCCATCAGTGAGCATTCACTTTAACAGGAATCTACCAAACTCCCCAAATATAGAAAAGTGACTCTGCTGTTTCCCTGTAATGTGACTCTGCAAAGGCATTAAGTGGATTCATGACCCGGGGATTTAGCTCAGTGGTTTCACTGCCTGCTGCGCAAGCGCAAGGACCCGAGTTCAATCCCCGGTACCAAAAAAAGAAAATAGCTATTAAGTGGATTCACTTACCACAATGGTGTCTTTCATCCTCATCACTCATGTCCCCACAATCGTTATCGCCGTCACAGATCCAGTTTCTTGGAATGCACCTGCCACCATCGCACTTGAACTCACTACCTTGGCATGTTCGCTCAGCGTGTGCTGAAAAGAGGTAATTTATGAAGCAGTCTATGTGAAAAGAGTAGTTTATAGTCCGGAACTCTTGAGAGAAGCTGCTATAGCACGGGCAGTCTAAAAAGCTTACAACAGAGCATTGGCTAGTTTTACATCACTAGCGAGGGCCAGCCTCCAACAAGAGGCGTACCAGTGACCAATGGTCAGAGGAAAAGGGGTCAACTAATGGGCAAAGTCCCCATTATCTCTGGTGTCTAAAATGACGCTCAGTACTCCCTTACAGCTATGGCAGAGACTTAGTTTTTCCCAAGGGATGATATAAATTACCCACCACTGCATGTTTCTATTTTAGAATCTTCTTTTCATCCAAGACCATTTTGTGTACCCCATTCCCCAGCACTCCCCATCCCTGCTTCTCTGCTCTCATTTCCTTTAACATCCATAATCTTTCAAAATACTACTCAATTTATTTCTTCATTGTGTTTGCCATCTGCCTTTTCTCATTAAGATATAAGCTCCACATGGGGAGGGATTTGGTCTTATTCATCGATGCAGGCCCACAGTGTCTTGAATGTAGGTGCTCAATAAATATTTATCAAGTAAAAATGCTAAGTCACCATTCGACTTTAAATTGGCTGTCACTGATTGAAATCTTTTAGTACTAACTCAAGATGTTCCTATTCAGTTAATCAAGTTGTCCTGGCCCCATAAACCCAGAAATTCCAATTACCTTAAGGCAAATGAAAATTTAATTGTAACTATTATAAGAGACAGTTTAGTGATAACAGTAAGAGTACTGAGAACTTTCAGAAGCTAGTGTGAAAGGCCTGTACATGAATAGACTCTTTGAGGAGATGAATAATATCAACAAGAATGAAAAGGAGGAAAGGGGAACTAGAAGAGGAGGAAGGGGGGAAGGAGAAGGAAGGGAGTTAAAAAAGGAAACAAGTTGTATTATGTGCATGCTACCAACTCCCCAAGATGATTGTAAAATGCATGCACTGCTAACATGTAATAATGGAAGAAAAAAAAAGACAGGTGACTGGCCCACACTCCAAGTTTGCTGACCCTATATAGAAATATGATTTATTGATAGATTAAAAAAAAGTGCAGCTGGGGATTTAGCTCAGTGGTTCCACCCCATGTCCCACAAGCTCAAGGACCTGAGTTCGATCCCCAGTACAAAAAAAGAAAAAACCTGGAAAAAAGAAATGCAGAGGTTGTATCTTCAGATGTCTAGAATTATGTTTTAAAATGTGTGTGGATATCAATTAGAAGTTGTAAAAGTAAATAGCAGTCCCTAAATACAAACAAGGCACAACTGCTTCCAGGAATACAAGGGGGTCCCTAGAAGTTCTTGGGGAGCTCAAGTGGGCAGGCCACCTCACTCTGTAAGCTGGCACAGTCACAAAACAGAAAGAGTATGTGCACCCACAGTGTGCACCTTCCATATGTCTGTGAGTCCAATCATTTTCTGATTCTGAGTTTTATGAGTCAGAACTCAGCCACATTCAGAAATCCCAATAAAGAGTCAACTAAAATTAATTGAGCTCTATAAGCCGGCACTGCATTAAGTACAACACCCAACACAATCCCATTGATCAGCATCAACCAGCAACTTCCATATTCAGATCAGGTCCCCACACAGGACCCTGCCTGAGAACGTCTTTGATGGAAATCTATTGTGTGGTTTTGACACCTTGGCTGGGAGAATAAGAACAACCCTATTCTGCATTGGAAGTTGTTGAAAGAGACTGAAGTTCTAAGTAGCATCGAATTCTTTTCATGCTCAAAGACTCACCACAAGAGGAAGGTTCATCAGAGCCATCAGAACAGTCCGCTTCTTCATCACAGAACCAGTGGAGAGGGACACAGCGTCGGGAAGACACACACTGGAACTCAGTGCTGCTGCACGTGTGAGTGGCTGGAGCAGAAAAGAAGACCAAACCCATGAGCAAAACCCAAGCAGCTTCCCACCTGTCTTCTCTGAACTGCATCACAGCTGCCAAGAGAAGAAGGCCAGGGCCTGTGAGATGGGCTTTTGTACAAGCTTTCCCTGGGGATGGAGGTGTATGGGAGACAGAAAGGAGGCAATACTGCCCCAGGTTCCCAGACATTTTCTTCCAGATTCCAAAAATCCAAGATAAAAGTACTATTTGTTAGAAATACAAAAGAACTATCCTATGATAAAGGAAGAAAAGTTCATGTAAAATATGCTGGTTTTATTTTTTCTGCACAAATCTATAACCATGTCTGGCCTCACCCCACACAACCTTTTAACCATGTTAGACCATGATGCACACAGCATGAGTCAGCAAAGTTCTCCTATTCCCCCTAGTTTATATAGGGTTAGTGAATGCGAGATATACCTATGTTTGAACACTGCTTCTTTTCTCAAGTAACATTAGTTATCTTGGGCACAATGTATTTTCTAAATTATTATGTGGAAACAAACCTGAGTCAGGCTTTGTAATTCCTATGGTCTACAGGCTTCCTTGCTTTGGCCCATGATATCTGATGATTTGCTGGGAAAGGATTACTGGGGAAGCAAGGCCCCTGAAAAGTCAGAAGTAACTCTAATCTGCCCAGCCCCATCTGATGGTTGTTTTCTCATGCTGCTATTACAACTGATTCCTGTTCTTGAACTTAAGCCTGGCCTGTTGACAAACTATTGTGATGTCCAGTGGTTTCCTTGAGAGGGAACTGTGACCAGAGTTTAACTACATAAACTCCTAATAGAAAAGGGCAATTACTAAATTCTTATATTATGGATCTATTTGCATACTAACAGTCCCAAAGTTATCAACCTTAAGAAAGACCATTTAATTTGAGCTATAAATACAGGAAATTATTTGAAAGAACCAGGTTTCTGAAATAAAGATTTCTGAAATTCAAATGTATTAAGGGATATTAAAATATCAGTTACTAGTAACTGCTTTAATCATATTAATAGTAAATGGTAAGAGCTCAATGTAGAAATTCTGCCTAGAGTTCTTGAGGACCCCGGAAGAACCTGCTCTTTGACTGTCACAGGTCACTGGAAGCAGTACTTGGGGCCTGAGGACCCAACCAGGGAACAGAGAGAAAGGGCTTCTGGCATTCTCCGCTCGAACCCTAAAGCACCCGCCTTCCACATCCCCTGAAAACTCATTTTGAGATAGCAACTGGAAATGAGCACAGACACCCGGGCGTGGGTCTCTGTATCGGTTCATGACACACATCTCTGGAGTCGCAGTTTTATCTTACTCACAGCAGTAAGTGGGGTTTTCATCACTCATGTCGCCACAGTCATTGTCTCCATCGCACAAGTAAAGTCGAGAAATACAGATGTTCGAGTTCTGACATTTTGTGTATCCAGAAGGGCAAGTGCGTTCAGCTTGAAAAAGACAATCAGATAAACATTGGCAATACATCCACCAAATATGCCCATCATAAACCATGGCTGCACTGATGGTTTATTGCAGAACTCAAACCACTGCAAGGGACCCATTTTCCAAGCTCTCTGAGAGGCACAATCCACCACACTTATGTGAACTACAGATTCTTTAGTCAAGTCATGTGTCCAGCCAACACTGGGAAGAGAGATGAGCAGAGGCTGCTTTGTAATTTTAACTGTTTTCTTCATTTAATGGTATCCACAAAAGGCCCAACTTCAGTTAAATAAACTATGCGTAGTCACAAAATAGAGCAAGATATAGTCACAGAAGGACTGAAGAAGGTCTCCATTATGAATAAGCAATGACAGTGTGATCTCCAAGATATATTGTTAATAGTAAGATTTTTATTTTAAGCTTTTGAGACAGGGTCTTGCTATGTAGTCCAGCCTGGTCCTGAACACATTATGTAGTACCAGCTGGCCTCGAACTTGCAGCAACCCTCCTGCCTCAGCCTCCTGAGTGCTAGGATTACAAGTGTGCTTACCACACCTGGCTTCAAATATTTTTAAAAGCAGTGCTTTGACTGTGTATCACCAGTGGGACATATCTAAGCACATGAAGGATTCTTTTTATTCAGTATATTTATTGCTAGTAGTGTTATTTGTGTAGGTACAATGATTTTAAAATTATTACAGGCACTTTAAAGTTTTTGAATAAAGTAGATAACTTGTTCACATCGTCAAGAAACAAGATTTTAAGCATAAGAGTTAATAATTACATAAGATTTAATTATATATATAATTATAAAACCTATGAAGTAAACAATCTGTAATATTAAATTTGAGTGATAAAAATCAAGTATTTCTTTCCTTAAAAACTGTATTTCCTAGCTCTGTCCACTGAACAGGCCTAGAGATAATGAATACCAAACAAGAATAGGTTCTCAACATGGAAATTTTTATATACCAAAAAAGAGGTGAGATTTCCTTGGATGAGTGGTAATTCCAGCTCTAAAACAGAAAAGCCACAAGACAAGTCTAAGCTAGGGAAGACTGAGTGGTGCTGGGTCAAAGAACAAAGGATCTAACTTAACAGGGCTCCAACTAGATGCTGAAAAGAATACATGGAGACACTGTATTAAAACTCAAATATATAAATATCCATGAGTTCAATGAAAATAAACAATAAAAAAGATGCTGGGCGTGGTGGTGCATGTCTGTAATCCCAGTACTCAGGAGACTGAGGCAGAAGGTGCTCAGGCCAGTGTTCAGAGCCAGCCTGCCCTACATATGGTAGTGAGTTCAAGGCCAGCCTGAACTACATAGTGAGATTCTGTCTGCAGGTGGAGAAAAACAAAACTAGTGCTCATTGGTCACCAACTCATTATTCTGAAAATTAACAAACAAGTAAGAGAAATTAAGCATTTATCTTGCAGGTTGTAGGAACCATCAAACAACCGATGGGGAAATTTTTCTTCTTTATAGAACTTCAATTAACAAACGAGGAGCGAATAATAGAATTTTAAAGTGTTCACTTCGTAACTTAATTGATTTATGGAACAAACACCCTTGGAAGCTGGAACTTCAGTGTGAAAAGCTGATGGGTTCTTCATCAGGCAAGATTTAGCTGACGCCTGGGTCACCCCCTCATGATGTGAGACGATTCTTACCCAAAGGTTGGATGCTAACACAATCTAACCTCTAGGTCTAAATCCACTTCACAGGGATAAAATAAATTAAATGCCTCAATTATATAATTAGCCAAACTCAGAAGGTAGGATACTCTACAGGAAAAATTACCCAATTTTTCTAACAAATCAATGGTTTAAAATGTGGGAATTGTTACAGCATAAGAAGAGATTAAAGAGTTTTAACAATCAAAATTAATGTGCAGATCTCTTCTGAATCGGAATTTGAGCAGATTAACAGCAAAAAGATGACAAAATGTGAATATGGACTGGGTGTTCACGGATATTAAGCCTTACTGATTTTGCCAGGTGTTATAATGATATAGTAGTTGCCTTTCAAAATGTCTTTTTCTGTGGAAAAACATGTCTAGAAATTGCTTTAAAATGCTAAGAAGAGGGGCCAGGGATTTAGCTCAATGGCACCGTGCCTGCCTTGCAAGCACAAGGCCCTGAGTTCGATCCCTGGTACCGGGAAAAAAAAAAATACTAGGAAGAAAGGGGAGATGGGCATTGGTCAATAACCTTAGAAGTTGGGTGCTTCTATAATAATAACAAATGCTGGCAGGGCTATGGGGAAAGAGGAGCCCTCTTCCACTGCTGAGGGGAGTGTAGACTGTAGCAACCACTGTGGAAATCAGTACGGAGATGGCTCAAAGAACTAGGACTGGAAGTCCCATTTGATGGGATGCCCATCAACTGGAGACTGGATAAAGAAAATGTGGTTTTTTTATAAGATGGAGTACTACTCGGCCATAAAGAATGAGAAATTAGAGACATTTATAACTAAATGGATGCCCACTGAGGTGATACTCTTAAGTGAAATAAATAGAACACACATGTGTAAATACCAAATAGCTTCTCTAGTGTGAGAAACTGAAAGTGTAAATAAGGACTAAAAGGTGTAATAGATAATGTGAAATAGGAAGAAAAGGGGCAAAGGGGAAGGGGAAGGGGAAGTGGGAGGGCTAGGGGAAAGGAAAGAAGGGAATGGAATTAATATGAGAAAATGAAAAAATGGAAACAAAGTCTTTGTAAATAGGAAGGGATGGAGGGGTTCAAGGGAGGGCAGGGGAAGGGGAAAAAATAAGAACCCAGAGAGTATGTAAAGGTGCATATCTCCAATGATGAATGTCATTATACTGTACACTTAAAATGTACCAATAAAAGGATATACAAAAAATAAAAAAATAAAAAAATAAAAATAAGGCCAGGGATTCAGCTTAGTGGTTCCACCGCCTGCCTCGCAAGTCCAAGGACCCAAGTTCGATCCCCAGTACCAAAAATAAATAAATAAATAAATAAAATTTTAAAATAAAATAAAATGTACCAATGATTAAAATGAATAATTGATAATGCAAAATAGGAAGAAAAAGTCCAAAGGGGTAGGGGAAGTGGGAGGGGCAGGGGAAAGGAAAGAAGGGAAAGGAAAAAGGATGAGAAATGGAAAAAATGGAAACAAAGTCTTTGTAAATAGGGAAGGGTGGAAGGGGTGAAGGGAGGGCTAGGAATGGGGAAAAAAATAAGAACCAAGATGCATTCTGTAAAGGTACAAGTTCCCAATGAGAAATGTAAATGTGTTGTATACCTAAAATGTACCAATAAAAGAATTTAAGGGGAAAAAAAAAGAAGTTGGGTGCTCAGTACATTTACTATGGTACTGTTTCTATTTTGGTATATGTTTTTTTAAAAATTTAAAGGAGACCCAGCTGGGAATGTAGCTTAGTGGTACAGCCTGTGTCTAGCATGCACAAGGCCCTGGGTTTGATACCCAGCACAGAAAAATAACTAGATAGATAGATAGATAGACAGACAGATAGATTGATTTTGTGTGTAACCCTACCTACAAAAGCAGCAAAACAGGTAGATATATCCATACTGTAAATATCATGTTTGAACCTACACTTTGCTCCTTTATTCTCCCAAGATGTTAAGCACAAATTCCAGAAAGTTTAGAAAATGAGTTAACAAAAAAGTTATTTTCCAGAAAAACTAAAAAGAGAAACCATTTTAGTCAACACAATACTATATAATTTTTGTGCAACAAACATTAACTGCAATGCATTTATGCAATATTTTTTATCAGTAACTATCAGTAAAGCTTAAAAAAGCAATCAAAAATGTTATCAAGCAAACTTTTAATTTGGACGATATGTAAACCAGGGACAAGATATTCAAGGTTAAAATACTGAATGGTTGTATGGATCTATCAATTTAAGTGGATAATTCAAATATTAGGTTTCATTTTTTAAATTGCTTAGTAGACTATATCAAAAGGAAATATACATCATAGATGAATACTTGGGTTTTTTCAGAATGCCTTTACTTTTACATAAAAAATTCATCTTTTGTGATCTAAGATTTCATGCCCCAAACCATAATAAATAGTTCAAATAAACTTACGGCAATTCCTCTCATCTGAACTGCCATTATCATGGCAGTTGTCTATTCCATTGCAGACAAATTCAAGAGGTATGCACCTTCCATTGCCACAAGTAAACTCTGTGGTGTCGTTGCAGTTTCTAAACATGCAACCTCTCTCATCGCTACCATCATCACAGTCTTTATAGTAATCACAGCGGTAACTATATCGGATACATTTCCCATTGTCACAGGTGAAAGCCGTCAGTGGGCACGTGTGAAATGCTAAGGGCAGGAAAAAATATTCAATATAAACTTGATTAGAGCAACATCCTCACTTCTAAAAAGATCCAGTTAAATAAAATGGACAGTTTACCTTCCAAGGCAAAAATGGCTGCAAACCGGACTGTATGCAAAGGGAGACAATACCTTATATCAGTTGGATTAAGCAAAGTTATGCTGTATGCCTTTTTAAACAAATGATGTATTTTTACACAAAAAGTCAAAGTTGCTCCATTTCTCTATTATCTCAAATTAAAAGTTTATCTCAACCATAGGGAAGTGTGCAAATCCAGCTTATCTAGGGAAAACAATTTCCCCACTGTCTTATTCCATTCCCCTGGAAGCTGAGGAGTAGCACTGATTTCCATATAAACACTGCATTACTGACACTCTGCTCTGAAGATTAACAAAATGGTAACAATGACCTATTGGACCCTTTGTCCCATCATGTTTACCATGCACCACCCCAAAGTGGTTTGTTTGTTTGTTTGTTCTTAACAACGGAGGTTAAGAGCAGGAAAAATTTATTGGGAGAAAGAAAGCTTCTAAGAGAGACACAAGGGGGACCAGAAAGTGGGTTGCCCCATGCTGAGTGTTTTTAATACGCTGCCTTTCTTACTACTCACGAGAACCCCAGTAATCGCTCCATTTTACAGATAAGCTGTCTGGGGCCAAGTAAGTTTTCTAATAGAAGTCTGTATAGATTGTAATCAGCATAACCAGGGTTTTAATCTGTTTTTTGCTTGTAACTACTCCCGAGGTGTTTTAACAGAAATGCAGCCCAGGTTATCAGAGTCAGTGTTTTTCAGCACTAACACGACACGTGGCCATAATTTTAAACCCATTCCCACATAGCAGGATTCTATACCAAATAAAAACATCAGAAGCTCCTTGTTAACAAAAGCACCAGGAGGCCAACTCACCACAGACAATTTCCAGCTCATCACTGCCGTCGCCACAGTCGTTGTCAGCATCACATTTCCACTGCTCCTGGATGCAGTGGCCGTTGAGGCAGGTGAATTGGGAATTTTCACACCGGGCACCACCCGTATCCTCGATGCAAAATTTATTATCATTGGCCAGATACCACTGCCCCTCGTGTGGACAAAGGCACTCAGCTCCACTTGGTCCTAGGGCCAGATAGAGTGGCAGAGTAAAATAGTATTTGCAGCAGCTTCTACATGAAAAACTGCAAGCAAGGAAGCAATGCCCAGCAGCCTTTCAGGTCATTTCTGAGTCATCCTTCCAGTAAGAAGAAAAAAGACCAATTTCTAACAAATATGCTAATTCACACTAATCTTCAAATAACTGCCAAATATCAATAATTCTCTCTCCGCAAAATTTGCAAACAGTCGTTATCAAAAGGCACATAATTCCTGTGTGTTTGTTCTCTACAAAACACATAGTATCTCACACTAAAATATCATCAGAAATATTTCCAACTATAAACAATACTTCGTAACATGAAGAATTAAATCTTCTTATAAGGAAGGTGAGCTCACTGATGGAATTCCTATACAAATTATGAAGTGGGCCAGCAAAAGCCCTCATTTTGTATTTTCTGCCTCCACCAAGTATGCATTTAATTAACCTTCCTAGGAGGGCTGACAATCCTTCATTACAAAATATCACTCTATTTTATAAGTTGCCCTGAGATCAGGGAGAATTTGGATTTCTTTCCTTCTTTTTTTTTGGACCCAGGGATGGAACTAGGGACCTTGTGCTTGTAAGGCAGTCGCCGGAACCACTGAGCTAAATCCCCAGCCTTTCTTTCCTTCTTGGTAACAATGAATATTCTTTGAGCCCCCACCTTCTCAGTTGCAATTATTATTATTATTATTATTCTAGATGTTTCTCTCTTCATGGCAGTGCCTTACCTGGTACACAGATATGGCTGCAGCCCCCATTAAACTGATCACAAGGGTTGCTACAGTTTTGGTTCTGGTCTTTCTTAACAGTGCAAATACCCTTAGGCCGGACGGGCAAAGTTGTGGTCACTGCCATCTGACCTGATCCATCATATTTACTAGCTCGGTAAATTTTTTTTGCAAAGAAGTCAGTCCAGTAAATATACTGGCCATAGAGTGTCAAGCCGAAAGAATGAAAGATTGAGCTGATGATGACTTCCCGGTTCATGCCCGTGAGAGTGCTGCGTTCGATCTTCTGCCTGAAATGAAGTTTAAAACAATTGCTGAAATCCAACGAGAACAATGTTTAGGCCCAAACATTCATTTACACCAGTCCCCAGCTCTCTTTTCGACTGGGCAGCTAGAAATATATCTTTTGGCAGTGGGAGCTCTTATTTGCTTACCAGACAATTTCCAGAATAAATTACTGACTCCTAGAGATTAATGTAATTTACAAGAGATCCTACAAAAGGGATCTGGTTGACATTAGAAACCAAGAGCATTTTGAAAGGCTTCCTGTAGCACATGGGACTCAGGAGCATGCAACAGACTCTCCAGCAAAATGTTTAGTATCTATCCTTCTTGTTCTCTGAATAACTTTTTCAATTTAACATTGATTACTCTGAGATATTTACCTAGAATGATCCAAAATTCGACACAAAATATTGCTGCTGCATTTCAAATGAGAAAATGAAGAACAAAAATCAGGATATTGGTGCGTGGCCTCACAAGACCAAAATCATGAGGAAATAAACAAGAAAAGTTAAGATTCCAGACATGAAGCCACAAATTATAATAAATGAAATCATTTCATCTCTTCAACTATTACATTAGGATGGCTAGAATGAGAGCCATTTGGGGGTCACATGGGGAAGTTACATACAAAATTAGAGTCAACAAATCTATAAGGAAAACATTATGAAATTTGCGAGAAGCATGCCAGAGGAAAAGGACATATTTTAGAATATGCCCAAAAGGTAAAGACTAAGAAAACTATGTTTTATTATTTATTTTTTATTTTTCTGTTACCGGGGATCAAACTCGGGTCCCTGTGCTTGTGGGGCAGGTGGCAGAACCATTGAGCTAAATACCCAGCCCAGAAAACTATGTTTTAAAAGACACTGAGTGATAAAGCCCCCAACCCCAGCAAATTAATGACAGTGTGCATTCAAAAATCATTCATATTTTATGGCAATCACCTGGTTGAAATTATAGATAAACTCAGTGGTGCATCTTTAGATATTTATAGTTCATAATTATTGAATCTCCTGATACATAAAAAATTTTACAGAGGCCCAGGGATTTAGCTCAGTGGCGCCACATCTGCCTCAAAAGGCTGGGGCTGGGGGGGCTTTATCATTTAGTGTCTTTTAAAACATAGTTTTCTTAGTACCAAAAAAAAAATTTTTTTATAGATACATTCACCAAGCTAGAATATAACATAGTTTCTAAAACTGCAATTCTACATTTTGGTGATGTCTTTTGGGCACATTAAGCAAATCCTTCTATTGGAAGTTGGAGGAAGATCTCATTCTCTACACCCAGATAAGTAACCAAAGATACGTACAGACTAGTGTCCACCCAGTACAAGAGGTTTAACTCATAGTCCAGGGTAAGCGCACTGGGCCAAACCAGGCTGGTGTTCACAATCGGGATCCGGAAGTTTCCTCCCAACGTGGCTTTCTCGATTTGGGCAGTAGTATTCCAGTTACTCCAGTACATGTACCTAGTTACACAAAAGAAGGCATAATTCACCACAAGAAACCTCATTGTCTTTTTCAGATAAAAAAAAAAAGTGGCAGCATTCTTTCATTGCAAATTGTCATTAATATAGGGAAGGAACTGAAACTGACTCTGTTCCTACCCACACAACTTGCTGAAAACAGATTTACTGAGTCATAACATTGATTTCCTAGTATGCTACCAACTTTCCTACCACAGGGAGATAAGCATTGGATTCTCCTTCCAGGTTTTAAAGAAAAAACACTGTTTCACTCTTATACCTGTATCCACAGTGCTCTAAGTTCTTAAAATATTGGCTCTCTAGGCATATGATATAATTTCTGGCCTCCCCCCTTTCAGAAATAAGCAGATAAAAATACAATAAAAAAGATCACGACATACCCATGACAAGGATCTAAAACAACAGATTTTGGTTTTGAAACATGGGCTACCACACTGCGCATAGATCCATCTTCAGCCACGGAATTAATCGTCCCATTGACATAGTCACTGTAATAAATTCTTCTATTGATCCAGTCAAAGGCAATGCCATCAGAAGTCCCTATATCTGGACATACCCCAGCAGACACAGATGTTAGAACTTCAATATGCATTAAGAACACTTAGTCAACCACATTTGGTGACCCCACTCTATTTACTTCCAAATTAAACACCACTTCAAGTCACTTACCTGAAACAATGACAGTTGGAGAATGAGTTCCTGAATACAGGCTGACATAGGCAATCTGACCACGTCGAGAGTTTAAAACTTGAGTGAAGTAGATTCTGTTACTTGTGCTGTCATAGTCCAGGGCAATGGCTGGTCTTTCCACAGTTATTTCTTGGAAAGGTGGGCTATGGTCTTCAAGGTCAAAGTGTAAGCTTCTCAAGGAACTCTCTGAGGCATAAACAAGGAAATTTTCTGTTGAAATGGCACAGCTCTTGCCATCCCTTTGCAAGGTCCCAAAGGCACAGCCACATGTTGGAGTGTGCAGTGCAGGCAAAGCAAAGCAGAAATGAGAGCATCCACCATTATTTTCCAAGCAAGGGTTGTTGTTGACCTCTACTGGTGACCGGGGCTGGATACGCTCATCAAAGATGGCCACATCTCTTAGCCAGTAGATATTGTCTCTTATCACTGTTGGTGCGTCTGTGTTGTCTGGTTCCTTGCTGGCTTGGAAGATTTTTTTCAAATTTCTGTCTACCCATATGATAGAATTCCCCAAAACAGTGATGCTATAGGGAGTTGGGTAACGGCTGCCATAACGAACCACTTCAGATTCCCCTCCATTAAGATGGATCCTTGCAATTATATCTAAAGAATCATCAACCCAATAAATGTAGTCATTGCTATGGTCCACTGCCAAGCCCCGGGGTGTGACGATGCCGTCTGAGACAAGTACAGTTCGGTTGGTACAGTCAAGAAAAGAACGCTCAATCTTTGGTTTCTGCCCATAGTCAGCCCAGAAGAGGTATCTGTTCTTAGGGTCGACAACAATATGCCTGGGCATATCCACAGTGGTTTTCAGGAGAACACGGCGGTAGGTGGTATTGATGCGCAGGACTTCTATCAGTGTTTCAGTTGCAAAGCCATTGGTGAAATACAGATTTCCTACAGCGAAAAGAAAAAGGATGCTGATGAGTGGGAAACCAAGAAGTAACAAGGAAGCAGGTATCTTTTCAAATTCAGAGCAAAATAGGTTAGGTTAAGGTTTGTGTCAGTGTATGTTGTCTTTTCAAAGATAATAAATACCTCAGTGTAGTCTTTAAAAAATAGGTGCTTCTTCAGAGTTAGAGAGAAGGTGTCCATTCTCAGCTTGTAAAGCAGACTAAAATTCATAGTAAACAACATAGCTAGCTTTCTACTAAAAGGTGAATTTCTTTTTCTATTGAAAATATTAAATGTCTTGCACTCACTTCAAAGACTATTCCAACATGGACAGAAAACAGGATCTCAGGTCATATCACTATTATTGAACACTCTTTGTCCTTAAGATTAACATGAGGTCTTTTTCTAGTCTTTCTAACTAATGCAGGTGTTTTCATCCCACAGATTTACAAAGTCCAAAGTCTACCTCTCTTGGGGTATTTATACCACAATGTAAATGTTAGAATGAAAACAACAATCATATTCATATGAAAGTTTAATGAACAGAGAGTGGTCCCAAATTATTGATTCTATGTAGGTAAAAGTCTGTTGTTGAACTAGCAACACTGCTAGCAGGACATATTTTGTTCCCATATCTAACTCAAAACACCTCCAGAGAAATCAGGCCAATATGAACCATGTGAAATATGTTACTGGTACATCATTGTCACCTATTTCTACCTGACGGGTGTGTGTGTGTGTGTGTGTGTGTGTGTGTGTGTGTGTATGTGTATGTGTGTTCATCTCTAATCCTTTAATCTAGGGTTGCCATACTTCTTTGTAAAGATCCAGATAGTAAATATTTTAGGCTTTACATAGTATATATTGCCTCCACACATGACATGAAAGCAGCCACAGACAACATAGAAATGAATGGGCAGAACTGTGTTACAATATTTTATTTACAAAAACATTTGTCCCACCAGCCATAGTTTATTGACCTTGCTTTATCTATACTCTCAGAAATAGTAAATTTGTCATCAGGAATGAGACTTAAGAAACCAATAAAAGCCTTATTTCACTACACTATCATACTTCCTGTTTGCAATAAGCACTTATTATAGTACCTAGATTTTCATAATGCATATTAATACTTCTAAGTGATACTTACCAAGCTTGATAACACATAGTGATGCCCATTTTGATAAGAGCTGGATTATATTTCAAAATACTATAATACATTTATTTCAAGAATTTCATTAAAACTGAGCGGTATTCAAATATTAGTGTGTGAACCAGTACATTAATGTAATACTGAGTCAGGCATATCAATATAATGACAGAAAAATACCCAATTAATAAGCAGAAGCGATTAAGAATTTACAGCTAAATTGCTTGAATAAAGGTAAATGAATGTCATTTTATGATTTACATTATATGTTAATACTATGGTTTTTTTCTCTGAAAATTTAGACATTTTTAATTCAGAAGTGAGAATCTAAGTGTGAAAACACAAAGCTACATAATTTTAATACTTCTAGCCATTTTTGCCTGGAGTTTTGATTATGTTAATAATAGAAGAAAATGTGATTAATCTGTAATGAATCTGTCAACTGAAACACCTATTATTTGAGAAACACATGGTTTAGTCTAATTCCACAATTCAACTTACTTAAATGATCTTGGCCATTGTCTAGAAAAGCAAATCTGTATTACATATAATTAGGCTAAATTCTCCAGTATAACATGACAGAGACGTGAACACAAAAGTCTTTTCAATCAAATCACTCTGCACTTACGTACCTGCTACCCAATCCACTGCAATACCCCGGATTCCATTTCTTCCTATCCCAGAGGTAACAATGTTTGTAAAAGAAGACCCATCTGGTCTGATTCTGCGGATTGCATTATAGGAGTCTACGGAGCTACTAAAATCACACCAGTAAATAAAACCAGAGGCTACATCAACATCCACATGCAGTGCATTTCGTCCTAAAACATGTAAGAAAAGATCATCAATGCTCTATCTCAAAACTAGACCTTTTAAATGTCTTCCCTTCCCTTAAACCCTTATTCCCAACTCCTGCTCTAACCAACTCCCCTATTATATGAGACAAAAGGGTTTACCAGTTGCACTGAGCACACCTACAAGCCCGATCTTGTCTTCTAAATACCATTTCCCACATGAGGAGATCTGGCTCCTGGAGAAAGGGCAAGGAAGGCCTGAGGTGAGCCTGAATTACTTCATTGTACCAAGAAGCAAGGAAGCACTCATGTGCTAATGGGATCATGTCAAAAAAATACAGGGAACCACTTAAAGAACTGCCCATAGCCAAAATGGATCAACTGGAATCTCAGGAGAGTAATTATGGCAATTGATTACAACACATTAAATTCTTAAAAATTAAACCATGGGTCCATAAAGAAGTTGGCTCACTGGCAACCCACTCAGGACCCCGTCTCTCAGGAGCTATTCTTGTTCCCCAATGAATCTTCCTACTCTTAAAAAAATGGGTCCACAAAGATAATTTTTAAATGATAAACTCGGGGATAGGGTGGGAGAACTGCCCTCTATAAAAGAATATTATCTAATGAATATTTTTAAATGATGGTATAAACACTGCAGGCAAGGATCAACAATGGCTGCTAAAGCCAAAGGGTAAAAACTGCTTGGGGAACAAGATAGTCACAGGGTCAAAGTGTAACTCCACAGATTTCATAGAAATTAAAAAGAGAAAAATAAATACCTTTAAAAAGCAGGGATTTGGGGTGACATCCTTGACCAAGTGGTTAAACTTAAGAATCATAAGCACAGGTCAAGTTGATTCTTCCTAAGGAGATCAGTATCAAGTACACAGCACAACCTATCTTCAAGTATTCTTGCCAGACTACAAACAGAAAAACCTGGGGACAGGGTTCAGGTCTGTGTCTAATAGCCCTCCAGGTGATTCTGACACTCGCTGAGGTGTGTCGGCCACCCTAGGCTGACCAGCTACCCTCAAAGAGAAAGACACACTTCATTGCATACTGGATCCAAACATGAAGAAATGCTTTTATGGCCCCAAGGATTTCAACACAGCACCAGATGGAGTCAAATCTTACTTATTTCCAGTTGGCATACCTTGGCCACCCACTGGCACCATGGCCTCTGAATGATCTGATACTTCCAAGCTAAAGCCTCTGATTGCAGACAGCATCGAAACAACAATGAAAGACTTATATGGAGAACAGGTCCGATAATCAGGATTGAGTTTAAATCCAGTGGCACAGGCGCAGGAGAACTGCCCTCCTGGTACAGGCAGGCAAATCTGCTGACAAGCATTCACGTTGTTGCTACAGCCATTTGAGGATTCACCAGCATCTAAATGGAAACAAAACTAGTTTGGTAACTCCTGACCTTACCTACTTGTCACTGCAAGTCAAATTTAAAATTGGGTCACCAAGTAATTCATTGTAAAAATTAATAATAAACATCCAGAAGCTGCATTAATAGCCTAGAAACAATATTGAGAGACTGGAGCCTAAACAAGAACACTCAAAGGTTTTAAAAGAGTAACACAACAGGGCTGGCAATTAGCTCAGTGGTTCCGCTGCCTGCATTGCAAGCGCAAGGTCCCGAGTTCAATGCCCAGCACCAAAAAAAAAGAGTAACTAACACAACAATTCTGCAATGGTTAGAAAATGGAGCATCAGTTATTCTTCTACAAAGCATGCAAGGATTAGAAGGTCCGTATACAAATCTATTCATTTGGGAGGGAGGCATCTTGGCCTACACAGGCATTTAAAATTATATTTAAACTAATATTATATGATCAACAATAAGATGGATGTTTGTTTTATACATATGAAATAATATTTAAAAGTTGTTTTTTCACATGCAAGAAAAATAAATACCAAGAGACAAATCTAGGTTGTAAGACCAGAAACAAATTGTTTGATAATCTTTGTTTAGAGATTGAAAGTTATAAAATCTCAAAATTATATTTAAAATCTCTGCATTACAATTATAATTTAAAGGGTAAAATGAAAAGCTGGATTATCTCTGAAAAAACACATCAAAGTAGGCAGTATCTACGAGTAGTCCTTTTAAGATTAAAAATTCTATCCTGTTAATACTTTCTCCAGAAGTCATCAACAAATACAATGGTACCTCAGTTCACAAACACTTTTTCCAAACAATTTTGTTTGCAAAGAGAAGCATTTGGCAAAATTTTGTGTTTTTTTGGTTTTTTTTTTTCGGTACCGGGGATCGAACTCAGGTCCTTGCGCTTGCACAGCAGGCGGTGAAACCACTGAGCTAAATCCCGGGCCCAAAATTTTGTTTTTGATTGCAAACTCTCCATCAGGTGACAAACACTATGGAGGCTATCCTTCTTGAACAAACACAAACATGGCCATCTTTTCCAGAAACATAGAACAAATTAAGTTCGTGAACTGAGGTATTCTCTATTCTTGTCCCTAAGTACAGAGCAGTAAAACAAACATACAAAACACCTACTCTTATAGAGTTTATAGTCTAACAACACAGACAATAAACAAACAGGTAGTAGGTAATACGTCAGGTAGTGCAATGAAGCAAAAGAAAAGAGTTTAAAGTGACGGGAAAGAGGGTTAGGGATGCACCTCAATGATACTGTGCTCACCCTATGAGTATGAGGCTTCAGTTAGATCCCCAGCAGTGGCTACAAAAATATGGTGATGGGAAAAGAATGGGAGTAGGTTTACTCCGAAGCCAATGTGGTCTTTCAGATACAAGAAAATCTTTAACACTGCACCATTCTTATAATGTGGTTATCAATTCTTAGATGTTTTTGATAAGTGGACTGCATGGAAAGTAATTACAGAAAGTGTGTGGATGTGTGAATGAATATACATTACACATCTATGAATGTGTTTCAGTGATAAGTACTTACTGCGTCTGTGATACACTCGAAGGCCCCTCAGATTTGGAACATTATCTCTCACGATCACTTTGTTGGACCCAGAGGCCTTGTCGACTCTTTCAATAACCTCATACTGTTCATCAGAATAATAAAGGAAGGAATCATGGACAGCAACTCCCCATGGGTGGGAAAGATGGTGCACCAAGATCATCCGCTCTGTACCATCCACGTTTCCTCTTTCAATCTAAAGGATCCAAAGTGTCATTAGTCTCACTAGGCTAAGCAGGGGGTCAAGCACATTTCATTGATAAAGCCAGAGCTCTCAGCTTTCTCAGGTAGCCTGGGGAGAAAAGGGTGCTGAGCCTCTAGTGCCTGCTCTGATACCCTGCTCAAGGATACACTGAAATGTCCAGCTGGGTGCTATCACACAAGGGCTCACTGACTGCGGCTATAACATCTCCACCAACAATTTCTGTAATATGGACAGGAAACATGCCCTCCCAGAATCACAAGGCTAGATGGGAGCCGAGAACAGTGCTGTTGTTAGAACAGGTGACAAGCCTTAGACTGGTTTTGGTAAACCAGAAAGATCTCTCAAGAATGAAGTTCCTAAGGGGAAATGACAAGTAGTATACGTAGCTGGTTTAATTTTATTCCAAAACCCTCCTTCAAGTGCTTTCTGCATGCCAGCATCTAAAATGGTTATTAGCAAGAAGGACAAATGTGGTCTGGCTCACTGACTAATGGACAAGCAATCAGTAGTTTTTTAACAGGGGCTATGCTCCAGAAACTGAAGTTCCAGGAGGCCAGAGCACAGGAAGCACGAGCCTCGGAGCTGCAGATCACCACTCAGCTGGCATGCTGCAAGGTGCTCCTCCAGGCCAGGGATCTCAGCTGAGCTGTAGTCAAACTTGGTGATGGTAGTTTTATGAAGACAGCACACCTCCCACATGAAAACTGGGCTCAGTCCAAAAGGAAGTTGCTCAGAATGGTGAAGGAGGCAGGAAAAGGCTGGACATAGAGGGAGAGGCTGAGAACGACCGGCAGGACTTTGTGTTGACTAAATAAGGAGAGTGAAAAAATGTGAGGGCATTTGCCCGGAGAAAGGATGGACAGTCACACCTCTTAACAATCTCACTGGTTCAGCGGGGCAGAGCAGTTGCACAGCAGGAAGGGGGAGCTGTTGAGCCCTGTACGGCATGTGCTTTGTTTGTACAGCACCCCATCTTTGTCTGCAAAGTGCTCTCACACACATCACTAGTTCTTTTTAATCCTCAAAGCTCATCACTGTTTTAAGTTCATATTAGAAGGGAAGTTAGTATTTGTTGAACCAATAATGAAATGAAAGCCAAACCTATCACACAGTATTATGTAGAGCATCAGTGTCAAAGATCTGTAATCATGGTTTAATTCAACATTCAAAGGAATATTTTATCGATCCATAATTATTAGTACTCCCTATGTGCCCTCCCCTGGCTCAACTGAAGATGGCAGCAAAGATCAAATACATTCTATTTTGGTGAAATGTTAGTCTCTGCCCTTTTTTCTGCAGAATATAATAAACTTAATCGTGGAGTTTTAAGATTTCCAGTAAAGGAAATTTCACATGTGCATTAACAAGTTTTGGACACTGGAAAAGAATATGTAGCTATGAGAGGATGCTGAGCCCAGAAGCTTGCTCAGTCTCTGTCTCTACCTATCTATCCATCTACTCTCTGCAACTAGAGGATCTAGAGTATTCAAAAAGAAATGCATTGAAATAACTGAAACAGAAAATAAATGTCTCTGAAAGGCCAAGTAAGTAATGACAAATGTAATTAATTTACCCTGATGAAAAACAAAGGTTGAGTGGAAAAACATAATGAAAAATCATTCCATACGAACTATGTACATACTATAAACAACTGGACTTCGACTAGAGTAAGATTTGTCCAAGAAAGAAAAACTATGTGAGGAAGGACAATAAAACACTGGTAAAAGTTGCCAAATGTTATTGTATAAGAACCTCTGCCAGACAACTGGGAACATTCAGCTACTTAAGGTGTGAAGTGAAGCCCAAAGGCTGTCCATACCACTCCTCTGCTGGTGACTGCCCAGTAGAGTTTCTGCTCCTTGATGTCAAGGGTGACAACCTCCAGGTGGTCAAGGTTTCCAGTGAAGAGAATTTTTGAAGATGTGCCATCCATGTTAGCGCTTGCAATCTTGGCAGGAACTCCACTGTCCGTTCCTTGGTCTGACCAGTACAGTTTCCTACAACCATGAAAACACCAGCATTTAACAAAACAAAAGGTGGAATCGCATTTGCAACTTAAATATTTAATGAGAATACGTGTTTCTTGTCCTCAGGATGCTCTCCATCCACTGCAGGAGACTGAAGCATCAATTCCTTGTTCCATGGAGAAGTATGTAACTACAGCCCTGCCAATGTCTATATTTCCCAGTTAAATACCATTTAAAATGGTGAGCTTGTAACAACCAAAGAGCCCACATCAATCATTAATCAATAATCACTTCAAGGAATCCCAAATTATCCAGTATGTTGGGAAGGCCAAAGGCAATATAAAGAGTGCTAGGTACCTCTCTGCTCACTTACCAGACTTCCTATTGAATTCTTCAAATCACCATCTACCACAAGATCAGCTAATTTCTCAAATAAGCTGATTTTCGAGATGAAAAATTTTAAGAATTAATGCAGAAAATAAGAATTAATGAGTTAACACTTTTCTGAAAGCACGAAATCCACTAGTATACCGATATCAGGAGGCACACATGCCTTTTCTGACTTTTTATTTTACAGAGATACCAATGACCTCCACTCAATTTGTACATACACATGAATCATAATCACCATGCAGCATTACCAAGTTCATGATATATGAAAATTCATTAAAATATTGAAAGCGCTGCTGTCCATTTCCACTGATGACACAATTTTTAGACTTGAATGCAAGTTTCAATTTCTTTTTGCCTCACCTCCTATGGTTTTTCTGGGGGGGAGATTGTTTTCTTCTGGTTTTGTTTTGTGTTTGTTTGTTTGTTTGTTTGTTTTGGCATACTAGGGATTGAACCTGAGGCCCAGGACCCTCGCATTGAGCTTTATCCTAGCCCTTTTCTTAATTCTGATTGTCTGAGAGAGTGCCTCACTAAGTTGCTAAGTTGCCCAGGCTGGACTCAAACTTGTGATCCTCCTGCTTCTGCTTCCCACAGCACTGGGACTACCTGCATGCATCACCACCTGGCTTACCTTGCTAACTCTTTAGTTTGGGCTATTTTTTTTTCCATTGCAGGCTACTAAGTTTACTGGGCATAGCACAAAACTCTTGTGAATTCTGAATTTGCTACATATTTCAGCTACCTAGTCTTAGCTGAGGATTGTCATCCCCAGATGACTTTATATATCATGGTTCTCATATTGGTTTTTCAAATCATTCCTATTCTTCATAAATTTCTAATTCCTTCCCCACTCTCAATCGATTATTTCCTTATTATTGAACTTCAATCTGCTCCTAAAAATATGCTCAGGTTTCTCTAGTCCAAAAAATAGTTTCCCAGGTTCCACCACCTGCCTCGCAAGCGCAAGGTCCCGAGTTCGATCCCAGTACCAAAAATAATAATAATAATAACTGTTTCCCATTACATTTGACCTGTAAGTTTATCCTTCTCTAATTTTTAATACAAAACTTTTTAAAAAGAATAGTCTAACCCTAAACTTACTTTCATACTTTAACTTCTTTGTATCACAATTCAGCCTCTTCCATCATACATCAGCAAACATTCTACAATTGTAGAGTTCCTCAACCTTTTGTTAGAGATCATCCATGGAGATGTTATGTAGCAGCTGATCCAGTAACATTAACCCCAACTTTCTCAAGATTTTTATATCCACAAAGTCTCTGTCCTGTTTCTCCTCTCAACTCTTTTGACAGAACTCAAAGCCCTTCTACTTGCCTACCAACCCAACTGGGCTACTCCCAGCTACCTGAACACTCTCTCTTTTCTGCCGCATTGCTCCTGACTTTAATTCATCATATCATGAGAGATAGCTTCAAAACTAGCTCTACCTACTGAAACTCTATGTATGCATTAAGATCTAGCCCAAACAACCAATCAGTATTTATACACAGGCCTTATCTTCCTAGGATAATGGAAAATCAGGACACACCAGCAAACACAAGATAGAAGTTTTGCTTCTGGAAGCCTTTAAGAATTAGATTTGGTTTGCACATAATCTTTATTTGAACCACAGCACTAATACAAATTACTTCTTCAGTTCCCATCCAGGCCTATGAACATGATGACTTTCAAAAAGAAAGCCAAAATCCACTTGGAATGAGAGAGCCATCTCTTTTTTAAAAAAATCAATGCTCGTATTTTACAATTTATTATTCAGTAGAGCAACAAAATGAGTAACTGATTAAACTGACCCAAGCACTGCAGCCTCTATTTAGCTATTAGAACCATTTTCTCCTGGATTCCCTGCCCTTGCCCTCCCTCCACTCTTTCTAAAATACAGATACTGTTCTATCACTCTCTTCTTTAAAATTCCCTATTGGTTCCTTATACTCATAAGGGTAAAGCTCACCTTCATGGCATGGTATGAAAGGCTCCCAGGCTGTCTGCAAGTGACTTTCGTTGCTGCATCTCCCATGTGATCAGCTGCCCCCTACTCTATGCCCCTGGTTTCACCCTTCCCAACTAATTTGAAGAACATAGAAGAAAATGCAAATTGTATCTTTCACATCAAAAGTCATCCCTCTTCCTCACTGAGATCTATACTTTTCAAATGCTGAGAAAATCAGAAAATATCCTGAGCTTGAAATCTGATCAGACAGTGGCCTGAACAGGAAAGGTGCAGTCGGGGGCTCAGGAACACTCACCCGCGTGCAGGATCAACAGCTATGCCAACTGGAAAACCAACTCCAAGGTCTGTGCCATCGTTGGTAATCAGTGTTTTTCTGTACCTGGTTTCTCCCCGGAGCGTCAACACCTATAGCACAAAATATCACTTATTAGAACTGAGTTTCACTCAGCTGAAATGAAAGAGAACTTACACAATAAATGCTAACATATGATTAGGATGAATGAGGCAGAGTTGCTTGAGATGCAGGTAACTTCTAATGGCATTTCAGGGCCCTGGGGAATCAGCTCAACAGAAAATAAGAATTTTAAAAATCACCTCCCAAATTTCTATTTTCAATTCACCAAAAATTTCAGGGAAAGGAATTTAGATGATAAGAACAAAGATTCCAAGGAATAAACATACAGAACCACTTCCTGGAGAAAGTGCAAGGAGAAAAGGCTGAGAGAAAACCCTAGCAGACAAATAGGTGTCCACAGCTCTCCTGTCCCCACTGACTGGGCCATGCACACAATGGCAGTCACCATAAACACAGTTGAGCCAAACAATCCAACTGCACCCAGAGTTAAGTAAACTCTGTTTAGAGTTAACAGGCTGAGTTTAAAAACATGAATTCAAATCTCTGCCTGTTCCTGGGGATTTAGCTCAGTGGTGCCACCACCTGCCTTGAAAGCACAAGGTCCTGAGTTCGATTCCAGTATCAAAAAGAAAAGTACAATAAACAATGTGTGTAAATATCGAAGTTTCTCTGGTGTGAAAAACTGAAAGTGTAAATAAGAATCAAAAGGTATAATGGGTACTGTGAAATAGGAAGAAAAGGTCCAAAGGGGAAGGGGAAATGGGAGGGGTTGAGGGAATGGAATTAATATGAGAAAAGGAAAAAATGGAAACAAAGTCTTTTTAAACAGGGAGGGGTGGACGGGTTGAAGGGAGGGCAGAGGAAGGGGGAAAAATAAGAACCAAGATAAAAGTACAAACTCCCAATGATGAATGTCATATTGTATACCTAAAATGTACCAATAAAATTTTTTTAAATACAATGAACACTGAAATGTATTTAACTTATTAGAGCAAATGATACATTGCCAAGAACAAGATGTGTGTTCAAAGAGAAGGGGACTGTTTCCAGTATTTTGAGGGGGATTAATGTGTCCCTGCAGTGTGATGTTTTCTATAACAAATGTTTTGATCTCAGCATTCACCATAGTTGATGGTCTCTCTCATTAATCCTCACAGAGTTCTGATGGTAGAAACCATCACTGTGATCACAGTATGGATGAATAAAAAGAGGCCTAGAGGGGGTTAGTGATTTTCCTAAATTTTACCCATTTTTAATTATTATTGTTGTAATCAGTGTTAACAAGATGTAATAAAAATGTGGAATAAGCTGGGCATGGTGACACACATCCAGGAGACTGAGACAGGAGGTTTACAAGTGACTTAGTGAGACCCTGCCTCAAAATAAAACATTTTTAGAAAGACTGAGGATATAGCTCAGTATGAAAGCCTTGAGTTCAATCCCCAGTACTACAACAACAGAGACAACAAAGTGGATTATCAGGGACCTGGAAGTCTGTTCAAGAGTGAAGCTACTGTAATATGCACCTGAGACAATCAGAGAAGCACTCACAAGAAATTTTAAAATGCCTGCTAATTTACATGAAAGTTTTTCTATGAAATTGTTTTTCAGGCCAAATATATTATTTATGTGCTAATGTTTGTTTCTCTCTCTCAACACACACCACACACACACCTTTCTCCCCGCCCCTTTTTTCCTTCCCCCTCCCTCCCTCTCCTATCTCATTTCTTTGACTCCTGCTTAGGCTTAGATACTTTTTCTCTTTTCAATTTGCCTCTGTCGCCAGGCATGGTGGTGCACACCTGTATTCACAACACTCTGGAGGCTGGCACAGGAGGACTGCCATGAGTTCAAGGCCAGCCTGGGCTACATAGTGACTTCAAGGCCAGCATAAACTACACGGTGAGACCCTGTCTCAAAAAAAAAAAAAAAAAAAAAGCCTGTCTGCTACAATCTCTGCCCTCTTCCTAAGGATCTCTTTGGTTCACATTTAAATTCCTCTCTTTGTTTTGTGAACTATATCAAGCTCTCTCACACAGTGGTTCTGCAGGCTTCATGGTTCAGCTAAAACACTTTGTTTAGCAAATAAGCACACAGCTACCCCTAGTGGAAAGCAATTTCTTGAATTTCCTCTTCTGTTTTCAAGTGGAGTTAATATGAATTATCCAGACTCCAGTATTATTTAGAAATACAGTAAGTGGACACTATTCCTGTTTTCTTAATTAACCCAAAATTTACTTGGAAGAATTGTTTAAATTTATATTATCTAAGAGAAAAACCAATAAAAACATTAAAAGGATCATTATTTCTGGGGATTTAGCTCAGTGGTTTCACCACCTGCTGCGCAAGCGTAAGGACCTGAGTTCGATCTCTGGTACCAAAAAAAAAGTATCCTTACTCTCCTAAGTCTTTTATGGATATTCTAACTCCACTGAGAAGCTGAGGAAAACAGCCTTTGTATCTTGGGGCTGTCCGGCTTTAGGCAGCACTCTTCCTTACTGAGCCATCAGCCTCGCTGTACAAATGAGGAAGCAGAGGCTCAGAAGTTAGGTCATTTGCCCAAGGTAAAGCAGCCGAGAGTGGAGGAAAGCCAGTGCTGTACCCAGCCATAAAATGCATTTCCACTTCAGGGCCTTTATCCTTTACCTTGCTTGTCTCTTCCCTGTTTCTTCATTTGGCAGAAATACATACAACTAACTGGTCACCATTCAGGACTTAACTCTCAGGGGCAGGCCGACAGAAAGCCTACTGCTCTCTTTCTCTTCACTTTTGCCTCTGCCTCCCAGTCTAGCACTTTATATTCACTCCTCTAGGCACACTTATTTCCTGGAAGCACAGATGTGTCTGTCTCTCAGATGTGTGAGCTGCTTAAAATGTTATATTCACTGGACTACTCAGGACCAGCCATGGGCCTGATCCATAGAAAACATTCACCAGTGCTTGTGGAATGACTTAATAAAATGAGCAAGCTAATGGACTGGAAAAACCCAGGTCTTTGGACTTCAAGTTAAATTACCTTTCCCATGTACCACACTGCACAAACTTTAGGCAAAGTGGCTTTACCAATACACACTCGCAAGCTCAGTTACTCCCAACAGGGTGCCTTCTCATTGTTCCTAACACTGATGGAAAAAACTTCTTCCCTGCTTTTGGAAAACAAGAATATCCCCATTTGCCAAGCCAAAGAGAGAGACAGAATGAGAGTGTATTAATTGTCATTTGGGACTAAGACTGCTTTGCACTGGGTGGCATCTTGGAGGACATGAGTTTAGCATTGAGGATCTTAGGCAGTATGTTTTTTCTATGTTTTGATGAGAAGATGATAGGTTTAGTGTAAATTATGAAAAATAACTTTCACCACTGACAATGGGGGTTCAAAAGGTCTGAACTGGGAGGGTTATAGTTTATGACAATTCAAAGACAGATCAGTGCCCCAGAATCAGGGCAGTGAAGCTGACTATTCAAGCCAACTTCTTGACTTCTACAGGGCTCAATTTCATATATAAAAAAATATCCAGCTTGAACCAAATGATTCTCCAAGTTTCCCTGGTTCACACCCAATGATTCAACCTGGTTTGAGATATACTGTAAATTTCCCTCTCATTGTGAATGCTATGCTACATGCCTGCCCTTGGAGGATTAAATGCAAGGGCATCTAGGGGAAACTCTGTGAACTATGAAGCACTATTTCAGCAGAAGCTCCTCCCCAAGTATGCTCCAATTTGTCACCAGGCCGGTGTGCACCTTCCTCATCCCCAACACCTATTTCCCAAGTGCCCACTCAGCAGTGGACTGTCACTGTGCAGGGTCCGGCTCACTGTCCTTTTCAACCACCCCCCCCAACCCTAGGAAGTTCTGCTTCCAAAATTACAAGTTAATAATCCTATAATGCAGAACACCAATACTAGTCCAGTTACCTTGGATTTACTTCATCCCATCTAGAATTTCTTCTGGGAATTAAAGTAAAAAGAACACTTATCTCAAAAAGGGCAGTACCAAAGGAATTAGAATCAAGTTTCTCCTTTCTATTTCATTGTCAGAAAAACTGTATTGAAGTCACAGATTTCCATCTAAGAACAGGAGCAGCCTATAAATCTGGAGAACTGAAAAAGTACTGAAGATTAGATGACAAAAATAGTGAAAATTTCCTGCCTACTAGAACTTTCCCTGTTTTGGTGAATTTCTTACACAATTTTCATTTATTTTTCATATATCATTTTGTAAATTAACTAATACTCTTATAGGAACATGTTAGTATTGATAGAAGGAAACAAGAGAAGACAGTAAGAAGTCCCAATAATGTATTTTTACACTGTCTTTCCTCCTTAGCTTCAGAGATTGTGATAGTTTATACTAATATATTTTCCCATTTGCCTCTTTAAGAGTAATTTCAAAATCCTTGAGAACTTTTCCTGGAATAAATTTTATATGAACCTGAAACCAGGGTTTGTATAATTGTTATGGCACCATTACCTCAATGGAATGGCTTGCAGGAGTGATGTAATACATGTTCCTTGATATCCAGTCGAAGGCCAGACCCACAGATGATCCCAACAGGGACAGAGGAGCAAACACTGTCCTGTTGGTGCCATCTGTCTTTACCCTGTGAATTTCACCCTGGGAAAAAAGACAAGGGGTGAGTGGTCTGAGGCAGAACTATGCATCTACACAGCAGCCCTACCTTCCCTGTGGCCATGAGCAACTATGTTTCCTTAACACATCTCATATGCATAGGAAAAGCAGGCAAAGGTCCAGTACTGTGGGTCAGGTTCACTGTGCATAGTGCCAGTGCCAGCAACCTTTTCAAAACCCGGATTTGAAGCATGTCACAGGAATACATGCTTACCAGTCAGGCCATCTCTGCTACTGTGTACAGATATTTCCTAACAACCATAGGTCCAGAGTCAGTAGAAAAAAGTCACAGCTGTGGATCAGAGGCCAGGAGCACATTTTACATAAGGGAGACAAACATCAGACACAAGATCTTTCCTTGCTTCCTCCTCTCTATTCACCCTGCCTTTTCCCCATCCTTGCAGGTTGCTTCCAGGAAGAGTGGGGAAAGTGTAGCCTGTAGGAGGAAACTGCAGGACTGCTCATTCTTGCCCTGGAAGCAAAGATTCAGATGGAAGGCCCCAACTGCCCCATGGAAGGCTTTCCTGCAATTCCCACAGGGAACTACCACTTCTGCCTATTACGATTGGTTTTCCATTAGCCTAGTACCTTCTCCGGGCTTACAACTCCTCTGAAGCAAGCTTTGTGACCACTGCTCTCTGGCCTGTGTTCTGAACTTAGAAGCAGGTAGTTAGCTCAGTGCAGAACAAATTGCAGGCATGTAACAAAAATTTGAATGAACAAATAATACCAATAGCCTACATTTCTTTTATTAAAGAGGTTTTTTTTAAATCTTTACTCCAAATCAAGTTCACATTTACATCCCTGGCTAAATCAAAAACCTTAATGATAAATTCAATTCCTCTGGGCCATTTCTCTCTAATCCAGCTAACAGAAAGTAATCTTACAAGAAGGCATCAATCTACACAGGCTCTTCCAGACCATTACGTACGTTGAATGACATTCAACACTTACTGGATTCTCAACCCAATAGATGAATTGCTCCGCATCATCAAATTCAACATCAAAGCCATTCTGTATGCCTGCTATGGGTACCATAGCATCATTGCTTTTCACTTCAGGATCAAGGGAGATTCCAAAAATTACATGCATTCTTACACTCATTAAGAAAGGCTGATCACCTGTGGAAACAGCAGAATATCAGTCAAAATTATATCACACCACTTCCAGATATTTAGAGTCAGGAAAGACAATGGGTTATTACCATGATAAGAGGTAAAATGCAACTGCAGCATTACCTACAATGCACAGCACATACTTCATCACATAATTACTGGCTTTCCATGGGGGCAGTCGGTCGCTGGGTCAAAAGACCTCCGTCTCCACATACAATGCTATCTGCATCTTTCCAGGGAGGATGAGTATTTACCTTACTGAAGAGGTAAATTCCTTACTTAAATTCATTAATTCCTTACTTTCACTGAAAATTATCAGCATTTGATAAACTTTGCAGTTATAAAGTTCTTCCATTTCTATACCTGCACAAACCTCACCATCGCTGGACAACTCAGGGAGAAAGTTTTAGATGAGAAAAAGTCAAAGAGAATTTTTAGACTATTCTCAGTAAATGGCATGCTTTTAAGCATGTTCAAAAAATCAGTCACGACAAAGTGTTGCCTATTATTTATTAGAGACTTTCAATTTACAATTTCATCCGTTGTTATTTGTCCAATATATGTCTTCCTTGCTAAATTCTAAGTCCCAAAGGGCAGTGATGGTGCCTGACTTGCTTATTACTGTCCCCAGAGACTGCTAAAGATCTTGGCAAAATAGTTGCCCAATAGATATTTGGGGTCAAGAATGACCACATAGCTGAATAAATGGATGGATGCATAAGTGGATATATAAACAGTGTCATCAAAAATTCTCACAACACTCCTATTTCACTTAGCCTGCTTCACAGATAATAAAAGTTGTCCAAAGATAATTTAATCTATATCCTAACAGCCATCATATCATCAAAAAAGTCTAAGCTAGGGCCAGGGATTTAGCTCAGTGGTTCAGCCGCCTGCCCCGCAAGCCCAAGGACCTGAGTTCAATACCCGGTACCAAAAAAACAACAAAAACAAAAAAGTCTAAACTAACAAAATCCAAGAATGGCATTTTATTTCAAAATCTTCTCTAAGGAAAGAAAAACTTTTGAATGTAAGTTTTGTGTTGTTAAGATATATATGTAAGAGATATTAAGTATTGAAATAATGTAAAAAATGATTAATCGCACAACTCTTTTGAGCTAAATGATTTTTTAGTTCTTTTGATAATATGGAAATCTTTATATGTTTTAGTAGGATTATTTTGACACTTTTTCTTCTTTTTATATCTCATTAACTTTTCCTTGTCCTTACCATTTTTATTACTGAGAAATAACAATTATTAGCCTAGCACAAATTTAAATTTAATTTAAACTTTGCAGCTTTAATGCATTATATTTCCCAAAGTACACCACTATAGCAGTTAGTCTTCCACAGCAAGCCTGCAAGGTTGTCTTTAGCTGGGAAAGATGAGACTTGCAGGAGCTATGGCACTGCTGCAGGGAACAATGCAATAGGAGGTGGACCATTAACTCCTGAGCACTTGCTCTCAACTGCTCCACACAGTCCACATTGGTCACGGGCTTCTTCTGAACAACTGCCATCGCCACAGTAATTCCGCCCGATTTCCTGAGAATGTGTGACATGTAGCATGCATCGGGTAAATATTACTTGATTTAATTCATCTTCCTGAACCTTCATAATCCTATTTGGTATATAGTTAACAATTTCAAATTAGGAACAAAAAAATTAACCAAGGTCATATACCAGGTCTCTTGGGCTCCAAAATCTAGGATTTCATCACTACTCTGCAAAAAGTGCAGGCCAAGTACTACATACTGAACATCACATCACCACACATTTTGTTGAGCTTAATTGCAGCAATGAAAAATGACAGCTGTAAGTCTCAGATGTCTCATGAAATTATGAGCTGATTTTAATTATATGATTAAATGTTATAAATGCTCTTTGGTTCAGTAAAAATAAAAAATATTTCTCAATTTTAGACAATTTAAAATCATTCAAAACCTGATACTGCTGCTTTTTTTTTGATGGGCAATCTTCCTTTTGCTTAACTGGAGTAATTCTCAACCAAAGCAGTGTTTAGAGCCTACAAGATTTGGCATTTCTCCTCCACCAAATCTGCACCTTCCTGACTCTTCCCCTATGCACCACCTAGTGTTGGTCCTTCCTTGCCTGTCTCTTCTTCCTGGGGATGTACCCCAGGCCCTGTATCTGCCATAGTGGAGGAAGTTTACCCCAGTGAGCTCCTGCAGGCAATGAGCCAGAAAGTGGGATCATCATTTAAAGCTGCACTGGCTGAAAGAGTGGGAGCCATGCTAAAGGATGATGGCAGAAGTGACCAGTGAGATCACAAGTGGCATGGAGAGGAAAGGGGACATGAAAAGTACTCTATGGGAAGGAGGAAAGATGTGCTTTTTATGACACTACACACCTAAAGAGCAAAGGGATGAAAAACCCAGGATCAGGGAAGGAGCAAAAAATAATATTGGAAAGCTTGTCATTCCCTCAACATACACTGAGAGCCACTGTGTGTCACCAACAATAAGCACATGGGCACAAATTAGCCAGAGGGTTTACTTCAAGGAACTTAGCACCTATGGCTCAAAAGACCAGGTATGTGGGTGCTTAGAATTCACTGTGATAAAGGCTTGAAGGAAGAACAGATAACGTAGCTGTCCTCAGTCACTGTGTCGGGGTTTAATTCCAAAAAAAAGATCATCACTTTATGTGTATTTTTCATTTCATGATCCCATTAAGATTAGTGTTGGCAGGGCACAGGAGTGAAGAGACTATATAGTTCAGGAACGGGAAGGTAATGTTGTCATTCAATAGGGACATTCATGACCCCCAAACCTAGGCAGTCCTTCAGTCACACCATCCACAAACTAATCAGCCCTGCAGACTTTCCTGGGCTGTGTGGGAGAAGTGGTGCCTTCGTACTTCACACAGAATCAAGGACACACATTGCCAGAAACCTTCAAACTGAGTCAGAAACCTATTTTGGATTTGAAGATATTTTAAGGGGTAGTGGGTGAAGTTCTATTTATTTGGCTGCCATTATAAATAAAAACTTAAAATTTCAGAAAGCTATAATTTGAAGATTTTAAAATACAAAAGTTAGAAAAATAGAAATAATTCCCCCATCTAACTAGGCCCACTATTAGCTTCTGTATGTGTTCCCTGCTAGGTATTTTAAGGCATAGTTTTATAAGGCTGATATTAGACAATATCTGCATTTACATGTAGCATCACACAAGCACTTTAAAAAATATTCAGACACTCAGTAAACTTTTTACAAATGTCCAAGCAATTAATTCAAGTGAAATGTTTTCATCTATATATCTTAACAAGACTTCTAAACTTCTTATTGGAAAAAACCATGTGCTGCTTTTTAAATTAGCATATATTGTTAGTCAAGTCACCCAACTGGGGCTCATGAATCCCCTTGGAGAAACTAAAAAGTTCCACCTCCGTACAGTTAATTCATGGGAACACCAGGAATTGCACAAGAGGTTCTATTTAGAACTAATACTTATCAGTCACCATCAGATGGTAACATTGATTACGCCAATCCCCAATGCCCGGTTAACCATCTCTGCATAGTGAAAGAAGGCTTTGTGTTCAAAATGTCTACAGCCCAGATTAATCTTCTACTGAAAGACTCTGAGGACACACTAAATTAAACAATGTCAACAAGGATTAGGTACATAATAAGTCTGAAGAAAAATAGCAAATGCCAATCCCTTTTGTAAGCATCACCAATAATTAAAATCTTTCATCATGAGAGTGTCATCGCACAATATTGCATGCTGGTGGAATTTAATTTTCAGCAACCTTACATCTGCATAGTCTACAAGCACCACACATTTCCTGGATTCGGGATATATTTTCCTTTAGAAAACTTTATTCCCCTCCAGATTTGGACTCTACTATTGCTTAATCTAGGAATGGGTTATCATTACCCTGTAATTTTAACTTGCTTACAGCAATTTTTATCAATATCAAAACATGCTCAGACCTCTTCGAAGACAAAAAGAAATAGGTTAGGCTAACTTTTTAGATTTAAGCAATGGCGAATTTATCATAGGTTTAGTACTCCTGAAGAAAACTCTTTTCTTTCATACTCACTAAAGTATTTGGAATAATCCTCCACACAGTCTTCAATTGACCCAGTAAAATACCTCAAGTATAAGATGAAGATTAAATTGCTCAAGGAGTCACTTATCATATTCCGTACAGACAGTCTGTTTTTTTTAAAATATCAGACAGTAATATAAAGGTACTGAAACTGGAGTAAAAAAATCCAGGCCAGAACATTATTACTAAAAATGAGGAAATAGACCTGAAAAATGAAGTACAAAATTTGAAATTTCCTATTAGCAAAGGTCCAAGGAAATAGGAGGTTAAAGATATAATCACTTGGGCCAGGGATTTAGCTCAGTGGTTCTGCTGCCCGCCTCACAAGCGCAAGGTCCCAAGTTCAATCCCCAGTACCAAATAAATAAATAAATAAAAAGATATAATCACATACACAAGTAACATTAGCTCCAAATACAGAATCTATTATTACAACTGAGATGCATGAATGAATCACTCCACATAGCACAGCATGGACTCCTGCCCAACCCAGGGGAACATGAACACGTTCTACATGAGCCATGCCAAGCTCCTCTTCAGAGCACACTTAAAGGGCATACTGTACCTCTCATGCAATTCACAGAATCATGGGAGAGATTCCATCCCGACGGACAAGCACAGGAGTAATACTTAGGCCCCTGGGTGGAAAGCAGGCACAGGTGGCTGCAGGGGGCAGAGCCACAGGGGTTTGGGGCTATGGGAAAAAGAAAATAGAAGAACATGGGTGAATAGCAGGTCTCCCACATTGAGGTGCAAAGTCATGCTATTATTTTCCTCCCCAAGGCTCCCAGTACTTGGTGACACGAGTACCTTAAGTCACCTCCACTAAGAGACAAAACCAGCGGGGTGACTTACCCAAGGTCACAGATTATGAACAAATTCCAGATTATGAACAAATAGCCATGGAATAATTTGGAACTTAATAATAGAAATATGATGCTAAATAATATCCTTGTCTGACCTAAAAGATCTTTTTGCTTTAAATGAAATCAGATTGTATTTGCTGTGTGACCTTGACATTTATCCAGTGTTGTCTGTGTTCGCTTAGATAATAATCTTTTATTTTTCTACTGATGACATCTTTGTGCATCTCTGCTCTGTGAAGAGTGTCACGGGATGTTTCCTAGATCTTATTTGTTCTTGTTACATATTCTGTGCTTAATTATTAATCTATTCACTCCAAAAATCTCCAGCATTCACTAGATAGCAAACACCAGTATAAGCACTGGAGATTCTATAAACATGGAGCACATATTCTAGCAAAAAGAGAAATAAAATCAATTTTTTTGGTACCAGGGATTGAACTCAGGACTGTGTGCTTTCAAGGCAGGTGGACGAACCACTGAGCTAGATCCCTGGCCCTTAAAATCAAATTTTTGTGTGTATATGTATGTGTGTGATTTCAGAATGTGAAGATAAACAGCAAAAAAATTATGAGAGAAGGGGCTGTTTCACTTGATCTTAGCCAAAAGGCCGAGAAGTGATGAGAAGGGCTATTTCAAGCAGCCTTTGAGAAAGTGACATTTGAGTAGAATCCTCAATCCCAGGAAGGAGCAACCAGTGCAGAGACTGGGAAGACAGATCCACCAGCAGAGTGCACAGCTGCACAGTTCAGAGCCTGATGTTTCCAGGCCATCACGAAGTCTGGGGCAGTGAGAGCAAGTGGGAGAAGAGGCCAGGAAAGAGGCAGGGCCAGATTCTCACGTGTGATGAGAAAACACTGGGCGGTTTTGAGGAGAGACGACTAAGTGAAGATTCATAAACATGACTTGCTTCCTTCTCCCACCACAAAGAACACCTCCAACACCAAATCTTGGCCTCCCCACACCCCCAGCCTGAGTGTGACTTAGGGTGGCCACAGCAGTGCACCTATGAAGACATAGTGCCATAATAAAAGAGGTCCTGCTGGGCGCAGTGGCACATGTCTGCAGCAGGATCACAAGTATGACCCCAGCCTGGGCAACTTAGTGATACCCTGTATCAAATTTAAAAATTAAAAAGAGGGGCCGGGGATTTAGCTCAGTGGTGCCGTGCCTGCCTCGCAAGCACAAGGTCATGAGTTTGATTCCAGGTACCGGAAAAAAAAAATTAAAAAGGGTTGGGGGTGTAGCTCAGTGCTTCCTGGGTTCAATTTTCAGTTTTAATTTGAAAACAAATTAAATTAATGAGCCCTAACAATATGCTGCTTCAAGCCACCGAGCAGTAGGGAAAAGAGGATCTAAGGTACTATCTGGTCTATAAATTATTTTGTCAGCTGAGGAAACTGAGACTCAGAGAAAGGTCACAGAGGCAGCAGCTAATTGTCTAAACAAAGTCACAATCCAGATGTGCTGTTGTAACTACAAGGTAGTTACTGTAGGTAGGTAGTTGTTGTAGGTAACTACAAGGTTTGAGGAAATAAAAGCAAAAGCAATGGGAGGATGGGGAAAGTGTGGAGGAGTGGAGAAAGGAAAATGTATTGCCAAACTGTGTGCAGTTGGCATTCCCAGAAGAAGTGATCACCAAGCTATACTCAGGCAAGATGCTTCTGAGCCATCACTTACACTGTGGTTGTTTGGCAGGATGAACTGCAACAATCCCAAGAGGTCGGGGGACATTATACATCACAACAGACTGGTTCCCTCCATGCCACTTGTTGGCTTCAATAACCCGATGGGTGGCACGGTCAGTCCAGAACACAGATTCTTCAAAGAGAGTCAGGGCGTAGGGGTGCCTCAGGATCTGGGAAGGAGAAGTGGACAATGAGCCCTCATACAGAAAAGAAAGCCAAGGTATCTGCTCAAGAAGATAGTCTCCTTTAGCATCTAATAAAGTACAGTGATGTAAATGTACATGAGACAGACAAAAAATATTCCACTTATTCTTAATCCCACTATTCCACTCAAAATATTTTCAAAGCACTTGTCTACTCTGGTAATGACACTGGGTGTCCATTTTTAAAATGAAAAGAAAAGAGAAGCACAGAAAGTAAGGGATCCTATGTGGATCCCCTACCCATTAGAGGTGAGGGGTAACTAGAGGATCTAGTTGGTCACTCTCACCACCCCTCTCCCTGAGCCGAATGTGCCTCGCCCTGATTCACATCAGTCTGCACTGCTCAGGTGCATATTTCCTGAAGGCAGAGAGGCCCCGAGAGCCACTGTAAGTTGCAGGAACTATGGGCATCTTAAATGGAAGCCAGAATAGCTTTCTGGTAAAATACATACCTTCTGTATTTGCACATTTCACTTGGAAAAATTAATTCAACAGAATAAAAAATATTAAATACATAACATGGTAAGATTTAATCAAGAAATGTAAATCAACTTACATTATTGTTGGCTAAACATAATTTTAATATATTATTAACATTGGCTAAACATAGATTTAAAGGTCAAGGAGCAGTGTTAGCATCTACAGATCAATTAAATCACATGAGCTATTAACCCACCCTGTATACCCTGCACAATCTGACCAGGAACTATGATAAAAATATTTATTGTTCTGTTACTAATAGATGGATTGCTTCTCACTGTTGATATTTCCTGCACTGAACCAACAAATACCTATGGCACAAAAATCAATTTCTTAGTTTTCTTAATATTCTCTTTTGTATGTAGCCACTAATATAATTTTGAAGTGGTTTGCCTTGCTAAACTTACCAAATTACCAGCTATCACCTGCCTCCGATGTTGTCCATTATAATCACAAAAGTCTAAGTAATCAAGATAGGCATCCATGAAGTAGATTAGTCTATTAGGGTAGTCAACAGTCAAGCCACAGGGCCAGTAAATTTTTTCCTGGACAATGACCGTACGCAAAGTTCCATCCATGCTGGCTCGCTCAATACGAGGGTGATGACCCCAGTCAGACCAGAACATTAGATGTTCACTGTGAAAAGAAACTGGTTACCAACTGGAGTTCAATATGAAAAATAACTGTCATTTGCAATAACACAACATCCCATACATACTCTGCTTGAAATAAATCATCTCCAGTTCAGAATAGAGTACATGCACAGAGCTTACTATTTCCTCTGAATGCCGCAAAGTAAAAGCTGTAATCATAATGCAATCACAAGCCACCTGGGTATTTTTATAATGCTCATAAAACATGTAATACATTATGATACTGAAATGTTTAATTCTAATTCATGTTTGTGTGCAATCCATAAATAATTGATCTAGAAAAATCCATCTATCCGTATTTGTCTACCTTGTCATGCTTTAGATAAAAGTCAATTTATTCTTCTTCAGAGGTTCATCATAAAGTCTGTAATACTTTACAATATTTAGGAGGCGAACACATATTGTCTAATTCAGAATTCTGTAGAAAAGAATCTAAGTTACAGACTCTAAATAAATTCAATGAAAGAAGTCCTCAATGGTTTCTAAACACCTGAGAGAATATTTTTAAGACCAGCAAGCACAAGATTTTCTTCTTCATACAACTCAGAGGAGAACTCTAATAAACAACATGAAACTGAAGCCAAAAAATGTGAAGCAAAAAATTGATTATTTTGTTATGTAACCATAAGATATCAAAATCACAGCTAAGTGGCCCATGGATGAGTATAGAATATTACTGCATGCATTAATTTATATAATTATACAACAATCATTTCACATTTGTATTGCCAAGCTAATAAGTCACTGTGTTCTTACACAGTCTATGAAGACTATTTAGATAAAGGAGGGTCAGCAACAACCATGTTTGAACAGAGGTAACTTAGTTTTGCAGTACACATATCTGCTACACATGTTGTTTGTCCATCATCATACCTCTGTAAAGACAACATAATTTTTTTAAGTTTTTTTTTTAAAAAGTCTTACTTCATTCTGGGATCTAGTGCTAGTCCCCTTGGATTTGTTACATTTTTGCTAATCAGCACCATTCTGTCGCTCCCATCAATTTTAGAGACTTCAATTGTTTCCAAAGCATAATCTGTCCAGTAAAGATTCCGTCCTATCCAATCTACTGCAATAGTTTCAGTCATGGAGACACCACTGTCGTGTACCTACAGATCAAAGTGAATCAAGAGTGGATAATAAAGAGAATATATGAATGCAATCATGGAAACTGTACAAAAATCTAGCATAAAGTATCTAACTTGTCCTATGATAGTTTGGTTGGATTAGAAAAGTTGGTCTTCCCATGTAGCTAACCCATAAATTAACAGTGAGGTATTCTAGGAAAAAAACACAAGATTTCTAAGATAATCCTATTAATTGAATTGGTGAGTAGTTTCATTTTGATTTCAAAAGTTGTTGCACTTACACAAGAGTTAAACACATTTGCTAAGCTTGCACCCTTATGAAACTTTATAATGTTCATACACCTGAAGTAATATCTCTTTTAGATGCCAACAATTAGAAAACAAGATTCTAAGGAGCGGAAGAAATATAACTATCAGGGGTTAAGAAACAAACTGTGGAAGATGAATTGTGAAATGTAACTGAATTAAAATAAGAAAAGCAACCCACTGACTCTCCTGCAACTTCATCTGCTCTCATTCACAAAGGACTGCTAATGGGACCGTTAAGAGATGTCATGAAATCTCTGTATCATGTGATCCTGAAATCAGAATCATGGATAGGGCCTCAGAGAACACATTCTTCAATTTTTTTTTTTTTTTTTGGTACCGGGGATGGAACTTGGGACCTTGCGCTTGTGAGGCAGGCACCAGAACCACTGAGCTTAATCCCCTGCCCAAGAGAACACATTCTTATCTAAAACACTCACAGGTTAGGAACTATGAACATTCAGGCCTCCTGATTATGTGGTGCTTTAGATGTGACTATGAGAGCTGCCCAGGAGGAGGGAGATGGGTTGTCTCTCTGTGGTGAATATCAGCAAACAGACCCATGATCAGAACTGGAGAGGCCCAAGTCAGCAGAAATGTACTTACTACTCTCCTGTCTGTTCCGTTCTGAAATGCACTCCAGGTTTTGCCCTGACTTGAGTCCGACCAAAAAATACGACCACTGACCAAATCAAAATCAAGAGCTATAATGTGAGAACCATTCTGGACCAGTGAGACAATATTGTGAACGTGAGAGGTGATATTGTCAGCAATAATTTTGTTCTGACTTGCCACAAGTAAAAGCAGATTTTCAGATGCTGTCCAAGGGGGAAAAAAAGCAAAATGTCAGTGATTCAGGGAGAGGAAAAAAAATAAAGGGTCTTTTAAACATGTGATGCAATACTTTTGGCAACAGAAGATTCCAAACTATACTACGGGAAGGACTCTGAGAATTATTTTAATTACTTCATTCTTCACCTTAATAACTGATTTTTGTGAGTATCTACGATAGGCTCTGAAATATTTTTCTTCTTTGAATTAGATTTCAATGCGTGTCTACATATCAATCTAGAGTAAACTCTACTCACATTCTTCTTGTACTGTGCTTATTTTTATTTTTTGCTTATCTACCTCACTAGAGTGTGGGCTTTTCACAGCAAGAATTATATCTCAAACATTTCTGTTTTCCCTGAGTCATTAGGCTACAGCAGAGTTCTGCCAGAGAATATTGCTCAGAGTTCTGAGCAATATTCCCTCTCCTCATTTTCTTTTTAGTCAGAAGGCATGCCAAGTTTGAGCTGGCCATGTGGCCACACAGCTAGAGCCAAGTCTCTGCCTCCATTGCAGCTTGCGATGACCACGTGACTAAGTTGTGGCCAAAAGGATGCAGGTAGAAATGATGTGCCCAGATTCGGGTCATGTCCTTCAAGGAAAGCTGTTGACCCTCTACTGTCTCTTTTCCCTTCCTACTTTAGAGAAAGCAAAAACTGGAGTAATAGCATTGGATCCTAGATGGAAGCCACATGATGAAGATAATAAACCAGCTCAATCCCTGGACTGCTTACCATTCAGACTCCTACTTGTAAATTTTGTTTCATCCTCCATTATTTGATGATTTTCAAATCAGCTGAATCAATATTCTATATAATATATATTATATTATATATAATATAATCACTTTCATATAGTAGAAACTGAATTAATATTGGTTGAATCAAATTCACTAAGCATTATGCAAAGATGCTTAGATATAATCTATAAATCATTTATAATTTAACCCATTTAATATTTTTTAAAATATTAACAAAAATCTACCTGTGTACATTTTAGTCTCTAGTTTCTGTGTATGTTTTAATCTCAAGACAGATTAAGATCTTGAGGCTAAGAGAAATTATATACTTGTCCAAAATTCTAGTTGTTCTGGCTCCTACTCAACATTGTCAAATACCCATGCACAACACTTAATCATAAGCTCTGAGACGTGCGTTATAGGACTGGAATCAGCTCACTTTGAAGTTCAATAATTACCTGTAACTTTGCAAGTCCTCCCATCATCCTCTAACCGGTAGTCACTATCACAAGTGCAACGGAAAGAACCTCTCAGATTGTAGCAGAGCTGGCTACAAAATCCTGGAGTATCACATTCATTTATGTCTTCACAGGTCTTAGTATCATTGGCAAGTTGGTATCCTGGTGGACATATGCATGTAGCCCCGAAGGGCCCTTGAATACACTGGTGAGTACAACCACCATTGAAATGTGAGCAGCTATCTTCGTCTAAAGTAAAGAAAAAGAATCACAAAGACAAAAGGTCAGGAGTCTTTGATTCACTCTAGTATAATACTTTTTTTGTGTAGTCCCCATGCCTCCTCGCTATGATGCCCAGGTAAGAGTTAACAGTAAAATTCACTAGGATGAACTCCACAGGCTGCTTGGGGTCTGCTCTGATTTGCCTGAGGATTTATCCTCTGGACTTGGACCACTTTCTTCGCTATAACTCCATTTATTGCAATGAGAAAAATCTTGGGGAGATATTGTTGACGTCAAAAAACAAAATTGTCATTTGTAAAGCATGCAAAGAAATCTAACTTGCTTCTCTTTTGCTTCCACTGAAATTCTTCTACCTATATAGAAATGAAAGATAGGAATTAATATTAAAGAGAAAAAGCTAGAAGATCTATGAAAGGGAATGAATGGAAGGGCAAAGGTAATCAGAACACTAAGGACACAGATTTACTAACATACATCATGCCTTATTCTAAGAGCCAAAATACTAAAGCCTGCAGCCACCCAAAGACAGTTCACATGCCTGGGGATGCAAATACCCACTACTTCCATTAGTATTCTAACTCATGTAATACGAGTCACAACACAGAACATGCACTAGAAAAAAAAAAAAAAAAAAAAAGAACGTGCACTAGAAGGGGAAGTCTGGTAATAATAATGACATTTTCAGCACAAATACAACACATGTGAAATCATGAGAATCTAAAATACTTCACAGTCATACCTGGCTGCAGTTCATCTGAGAATGAGCATTGATTAAAGAGGAAAGAAAGAAAGGACAGTAATTAGGATTACATGCCAATCATAGCATTTTAATCACAGAAAACACAAATTCCCAGACTTTGTTTGATTTGTGGCAAGTTCTGATTGAAATTAGAAAATATTATAGTTAGGAAGACTCTTGAGCACATTACCAACAGGACCAAACTTCATTTGAAAACTAATGGCCTCGTATAGTCTCATTTTTCTAAATAATAACATAAAAAGAAGGAAAAACACATATTCAGGTGCAAAGATTTAATGAGAAATATTATCCAGTGATGATTTCTTTGAGTTCAATTATGGTTACTCCTACATAGATTTGAAGTCACAGAGGAACTAAAGTCTCTCCTAACAAGCTACAAGGGGATTGTGATCAGGGCGAGGCACATCAGCCTACTGCTCAGAATGAATGTATGGCCAGTAAACATGGTCAGGAAACTTACTGCAAAGTGGGGACTCATCTGTCCCATTGGGGCAGTCAGAGACGCCGTCACACAGCGCACTCAGGTTCACACAGATGGCATAGCCGGGGCACTGCCACTGCCAACTAGGACAGTGAAAGGGCTGAGTCGGGCAGTCCTTCTCATCACTCATATCCCTGCAGTCATTGTCCCCATCACAGACCCAAGCTTTGTAGATACAGTTTCCATTGTCACAGCGGAAATGAGATGGAAGACAGGTCTTGGGGACACAGCCATGGTGCTCATCAGACCCGTGGACACAGTCTGGATGCCCATCACACTCCCAAGTGTCCGGAATGCAAGCTCCATCTCCTTGGCACTGAAATTCATCTGTGTGGCACATACCAGGAGGCCTGGTTGCTAGGAGAAAAGCATGGGAAAAACGGGTTCGTGGGTGCAATTCATAGCCTCTTTTATAGTTTCCATGCAGAGGAAATTGTTTTGGATCAGTTGTTTTGGATCAATTAGAAACAAATTGTTTCTAATAACGATTATTTCAAAATTAATTTTAAAGACTAAAATGATACAAGGTCTTCTCCCACACTGCAGAGTCATAACAAAATCCACAGAAATATGTACGTGTCAAATTAGCGGAGCTGATAGCAGGATGTACAACTCTTAAATAGAGTTAGAAAAACATTCTGATTCCTAAATGTCTAATATTTTTGTATTGCAAATTCAATAGTATAATTTATCTGTTTCTCTATTAAAAATCACTGTAGAGCCAGGCATGGTGGGGCACACCTGCAATCCCAGCACTTGGAAGGCTGAGGCAGGAGGATTGTTGCAAGTTCAAGGCCAGCCTGGACTACACAGTGATATCTTGTCTCAAAAAAACAAACAAAATTAAAAAAAAAAAAAATAGGGCCAGGGATTTAGCTCGGTGGTTCCAGCACCTGCCTCTCAAGCGGAAGGACCAGAGCTCGATCCCCAGTACCAAAAATAAATAAATAAAAACAAACAAAAAAATAATAAAATAAAATAAAAATCACTGTAGGATTTCAACAGAATTTAAATAACTATAGCTACACTAAACTTCACATGTTTGGATGTTATAATTTTCCCTCAAATGAAATATATCCAATGAAACTAGCACATATTAAGGCAACTAAAGGTGACAGTAATTAATTCTTTGCAAACTTTCCACTATTTATCAAGCAATCCTTGAGGGATAAGAATATCTTCGCTATTTCACAGGGATTGGGGGGGGACACCTAATCTCCCTCCCAAGGATCTTGCAATACAACAGTAAGTCTCATCCACAATTAGCAGTTTATCATCTAAATGGAAGGAATTTCATCTCTGAAACCTCCATTTAATTTTATCTTCACCATTTTTAAGGCCCTTTTAACTACCTACCTTGCCTTAATAATCTCCCTTACTACACTTTATGGACAAAGGCTGTTTAGCAGTTATTCAACAAACAATACTTGCAAGTCAATACCAAATACACCTCTGCACCACTTCTAGCCCACGATGTGACTTCCTGATTGAGATTTAATGAGACTTCAAAGAAATCATAAAAATATTATTACATATAGCAAAGCCTCAAAAGTTTGAAAACCACTATATATGGGATGTCCTAGGAGAAAGGTAGAATTGAGAACAAAAATATCTTTAAAATGTTTAACCATCTAATTTGCTAATTAGAAATCATTATTTGGTAATGCTTAGGCAGTTGTATTATATGTTCAATACTTCATTTTTATAAGAATAATTTGTAATGGGGCCGGGGATTTAGCTGAGTGGTTTCGCCGCCTGCCTTGCAGGCGCAAGGACCCGAGTTCGATCCCCGGTACCAAAAAAAAAAAAAAAAGAATAATTTGTAATACAGGAGGTCTTTCCCATAGTCTGAGTTAGAGAAAATGTTCAGTTATAGCAATACTGGCAAAAGTGAAGTGATCCCTTGGCCTGAAAGGTGCCAGGTGTGTGGTACTTACGACAGCCTGCCTCATCAGAGTTGTCACTGCAGTCATAAACACCATCACAGCGATATGTGTTGCTGAGACACTGACTCCCATCAGCACATTTGAATTGAGAAGTGGTACAGTTCAATACTGAGAATGAGAAAAACATAAGAAATTAGCTCAAGGACAAAATGACTAACATTGAGATTTTTTTTGTAAACATAAAGAAAATAAAGCAAATCCACTTACCACAACCAGCCTCATCAGAACCATCAACACAGTCCTTGTCCCCATCACAGACATAAGATAGGTCAATACACCGATGCTCAGAGCAGTGAAACTGACTAGGGTGGCATGTCGCTGAAGAGTCTAATGTCATCCGAAAACAAAACCAAGTAAGTTCATTTCCTGCTCTGTGTACCAGAGCCAAACTGAAAACACTAAGTAGCTACATAAATTATCTCAGTTGTACATGTGTTTTCAAATCAGCCACATTGTCAGAGTCAGCCCAGCAAGAAAACACAAAATTAGGACAGTTTTTAGAATCAAAAACAGAAGATTACAGGGTAGAGTCAGAAACTGTGATTACACCTGGAAAAACAGAAGATATTTAGCAAGCAAGCACCGTGTGCTTGGACTGGCACTGTATCTCATGACTGCTTTTAAGTCTGTGACTCTAGGCCAAAGCTAAGCAAGGAGCCCAGCTAGACAGCATGGTCAGCCAACCGATATTCCTGTTACCAACAGCGAATAGACAGATCAGGACAATTGGTTTTAATCAAAAGCCAGAGTCCTACCTTGCTGTTAAGTCACAGTCAGATGTTCGGGCTACTCCAACCACCACATGAGGTTATATAAAACACAGACTTGTAAAACACAAAAACTAGAGGGGATTTTAAAGCCCATCTACTCCAAGAGGAAAGTGACGGGCCAGGTTATGCAACCAACACTAGAATTTAGTCTAGAGAAATTTGCTCCATCTTAAATTATTATTGCAAACATGAAAATAAACAATAGCCTAAACTTTAGGTCCTAAAGGAATGAGAACCGGCAAGATAAAAAGGTGATGAGTAAAAACTAATGGGAATTTAAACTTTCTGTGCTTCTTTGTTCTGGTGCCTTCTGCTTCCACAAAACACAGTTTGTAGGTTTCTACGTTTCCCACATGCCTTTGTTTTTAGAACCTATTGATAAGGAGACCTAGGACACAGTGAAAACTGTGACTCTCTCGAGGAAAGAGTGCAGGGACTACTGATTGTTCAAATCTATTCCTAGGCCAACCAGCCAAGAGAAACCATTTCAAAACTTACTGCAATTCTTTTCATCAGATCCATCACCACAGTCGTTGTCTGTGTCACAGACCCAGTCCCTTGGGACACAGTGGTTATTGTCACAGGTGTAGTAGGAGCTGGGGCAGGTTGAAGGAGCCTGGCTGGGGCAGTTTTGCTCATCACTGCCATCCACACAGTCATTGTGTCGGTCACAGCGCCAGGGTCCAGGGATACACTCTCCTCCATGGCCACAGGTGAATGCCAAAGGGGAACAGGTGTTATCTACAAGAACAACAGACTGGTCACTGGGACATCTGTTGTTACAGCCTCTAGAATACTAAAAAAAATACAAAGCATTATCTGCATTTTTACAGATAAGGAAACAGGTTTTGAGAGATTTGGGAATCTGCCCAACAGCCATGCCCTAACTGGTGTGATCACTATGAATATCTTAAACTTCTAAGTTGTACATCCTCCAATCACAATTTCAAACTCAAGTCTATAGAAACCTTGAAAATGTATCCTATAAAAAATGCAAATAGGCAAAATATTCAGGTAAAAATGTACACTCTTAGAAACGGGAAGGAAATACATACAAGAATGAAAATTTTAGAGCTTTGAGAAAAAACGTGCAAGTGAGCACTTTTATTTTTCAAATCTGTCACTATTCTCTCCCAAAAATGACAGGTTGTCATTACTCTTTGCTCACCTTCCTTGATTACTGAGATTTCAACTGTTCTCTATTTTTTTTAATTTTAAGAAGATACTTATTCCTTCTGCAGTAGCATTTATTAGGCCTCAGCTTTTAAGAAGAATGTAAAGGTTAAGACTGCCATTTCACCCTAATTTATTTTTGCTCATGGAAAAGAAATGTAGCACATGAGATTTTCAAAGGCTGCAATCTCAGGTTCCTACTCTCTTATTCTAGTCTCTCAGATACTAAAAACTATGTCCGATTTATTTTGATTTGGCTTTTTAATTTTATTTTCAATGTTTTTTTAACCATGCCAGAGGTGGAAGCCAGGGCCTCACACATACTAGGCAAGTGGTCTAGCCAAATCCCCAGTCTGATTTGACTTTTTGAAGAATTTGTCAAGATGTAATAACCCTACATTGGTCCAAACAGCTAATTTCAAAAGAAATTTTATTAAAGGTAATCTAAACCAATGCTAGAAATCACCTGTAACATTGCATATGAATGATATCCATGCTTAGTTTAACTAAATGCCTTTGAAGTACGTGGTGAGCATCTGAAACCCTAAAAGATACTTTCCTCCATATATTATTACTTTGTTCTGTTCTGTTCCCTCAGGAAGCATCTCCAGTGCACAGCTACTTACTTGATGTTCCACACTGATGCTCATCACTGTTATCATGGCAGTCATCAACCCCATCACAGCGGTAGTAAATAGGCACACATCTGCCGTTGCTGCAGGCAAAGGAAAAGGAGCCACACTGCTCTGTGGGTGGTTCATGGGCAGGGTCTCCCTCACACGTCAAGTGGTTGGAAGCCAGTGTCATTCCGTAGGGGCAGCCGCACACACGCTGGAAATTCGGCACTGGGAAGCAGAAGTGGCTGCAGTCGCCATTGGGATGGGTGGGCTGACTGCAATAGTTTGTTCCTGCAAAATGTACACTCCGATTAGGGTTATCCTGCATTTGATTTGTGAGGGGAAACAAATGAGAAAGATCATTTTAAATATTAAAAAGTAGCAAGCATCCTCTTAGAAAGCCTGCCAAGGGTCGGGGATTTAGCTCAGTGGTTCCACCACCTGGCTCTCAAGCGCAAGGTCCCGAGTTCGATCCCCGGTACCAAAAAAAAAAAAGAAAGAAAGAAAGAAAACAAACCCTGGCAAGTACAACATTTCACTTAAATACAGAAAAGTGTTAGAATGTGTATTCCCTAAGAACACTTTTAGGGTTAGCAGAGATAAACAGATACTTAAAGTCTTACAGTGTTAAACTACATGGGTGATAGGAATGTTAACACTATCACGAGCTATTCAAATAAGTATTTGAAGTGAAAAGGAGTCACCATATCAAATAAACACATCCATATGAAAAACCTGTCAATCTCACTCACCAGTCTGGAGGTCAACATCATATGCTTTCACGTGCATTATGCGGGAAATACCACTTCGAATAACTCTCATATCTCCACCATCCAATTTCCTGACTTGAACAATGGCATCCAGTCTCCAGTCAGTAAAATACACATGCTCTAAGAAGCAACAGAGGAAATTAGTATTTTCAGTCAGGGCTTCCTTATAAATAAATTATTTGGGCAAATGCAATAGGCTTGGAAATGTGAGAATCTCTTCACATAAATATCTGTAATCTGTTTCTGTAGCTATCTTCCATGGCTGGTTACTCTTTAAAAATGGTCTTTGGAAAGTAATTTATTGATATCATAGCTCAGATTCAGGCAAGCACATAGGAAGTTTTAGGACGGCATTTAGCAACATTTAGGTTTAAATTTCTATAAGTAAAAATAAAAATTTTTAAATCTCTTCAATAAAACACTGAGGCCTCATAAGACTGAGCTCTTATCCCAGTAAAGAATACTGGGTGCTTAGGCAAATACTTAACTGTGGGAAGGAATTATATCTAAGATCTCTTTAAAGAACTAGGGATGGCTGGGGATTTAGCTCAGTGGTTTCGTGGCCTGTTACACAAGCAAAAGGACCCGAGTTCCATCCCTGGTACCAAAAAAATAACGAACTAGGGATGTAGCTCAGTGGCAGAGCACTTGCCTAGCATGTGAGAAGGTCTGAATTCCATAGTCAGCACCAGTAAAAACAAAAACCAAAAAGTTCCCTCCCAAGTCATACATTCCACAGCCTATGGGAATACTTTTCATACTCTGCTTTCATAAGAAGCTGTTGAGAAGGAAAAGCACAGATCTAGCCCTAAAAGGAACTTCCAGTGTATGTCTGGGTATCAGTAAAAATATCAATACAATGTCCCTCAATGCTCAGAATGGTAAAAGAGAGGCAATGTAAGGCTTTATATAACAAGAATTTAATCATATTGTCTTTGCAATAACTACTGACGCAGGGAAGTAAACATATCAAATTCAACAGTGTTCAAAACAAAGAAGTAGATCAAGGTGAGTTTTCTCTTTAGCAATAGTTTAACTAGTAGTCCCAATCAACCAAAAATGCTTAAACTGTCACAAATTTTATCATTAGAGCAATTTCACTTATCTGTGGTCCAATCAGTGACTAACTGGTCATTGGATTCACTAAATCTTATCTCCACTGACTAGAAGGCATCTTAGTACTGTATCTATGTGAATGAGGAGTTAAAGCAATCTTTCAGTCCCATCCAGTATGTAGGCAAGAAGATCCAATCTTTCAGTAAAAAGATGCCTATTTTCCATGGTGTTACACAATAAAAGAATTTCCCCTATGAAATCCACAGTGAAAGCCAAGGTTGGAAGAAACTAATTTCTATTATTCAGAGAATGTTGTGTTGTCCTCACAGGCATGCACTCAAATGTTTTTCATACTGATGGAACCAAAAGGTACTAAAGCTGTATTTTTTTCTTTAATCCCAAAGCATTCCACGACAGAGCAGAGGAAATGTAACATTCTTCCAATGTTCTAATGTTGTTGTGAATAGTGCAAGTCTGAGATCATTAGAGAAAAGGGAGTAATTGCTGGAAGGTGGGTAACTGTTGATAATTGACTCATCTCATCCAAAATTTCAGAGCATTTCTTAAATATTTTTAAATACCACACACTCCACACATAAACAGACAGCAAAATGGAATATATAGTGTATTTACTAACCATTCTACACACCGTGTGTGAGAAAGTCTTGGGTTTATAATCAATACCTAGGTTTTTTAAAGCATTATCTCATATTCAAGGTAAGATGTTTCAAACCAGGGACAACTAGCATATACAGAGGGCCTTTGGTAGCTCTATACAAAGTACCAACTCTCAAACTAGACTAATTTTGGTTAATCTCTCCTCATTCTCTTGCCCTGTCTCCAGGACTAAACAAGCCATCTGTTTCACAGTAGCCTGTTTACATTTTTATTCCCAACAAATCAATCCACAGAAACGTGCCTACACACAAAAGCAGTTGAGAGTAGCCAGGCGTGGCAGCACAGGCTTGTAATCCCAGCACTTGGGAGGCTGAGGCAGGAAGGAAGAGCACTGTGAGTTGAGCCCAGCCTGGGTTACATAGTGAGCTCAAGGCCAGCATGAACTGCATAGTGAGAACTTGTCTCAAAAAGCGGGGAGGGGCTTAGGGAGTGAGAGAAGGAAGGCCAAAGCACTGCCTCCAATTGCCATGGCGGGAGTTGCCCTGCATTCTATATATACTTCAGCAGTCTCTACAAGCAGCATGAAAACTGGGAAAGACTGATTAAGAAACCATCATGTGGGGCAGGGATTTAGTTCAGTGGTGCTGCCACCTGCCTCACAAGTACAAGGTCCTGAGTTCAATTCTCAGGGCCAATAAAAACAAAAACAAAAAAATAATGTCTTTTTGTTCTTCAGAAGTCATACATCAACATTTCAATATAAAAAGATATTATCTAACACTTTTTACTAAAAAGCATCAGAGTCATTCAATGAGTATACAGCTGATGAAAATAAGGAATTATTTTCCTACAATGATTTTGATGAGTTTCTTGCAACATTCTGCAATAGTTACTATAAACAGCTTTTGCTATTTTATTCTCAAAAATGACAAAGGCAGTAATTTATCATGTGATATTTTATATAACAAGGTACATACTGTACTGCATATTATACAGTAAATGTAATCTACAAAGTGCTATGCCCATTTACAGTAAGTTGTCCATATTATTATCGTACAAAACAAAACACTCTAAAAGTGAAATTTCCTATCAACAACAAAAAAATATGTTTTGTCTATATAAAATAGCACCATTTTGGCCGGGGGTAGTGGCGTGTGCCTGTAATCCCAGCATCTGAGGGGCTGAGGCAAGAGGGTCACCATGAGTTCAAGGCCAGCCTGAACTACACAGCAAGGCCTTGTCTCAAAAAAAAAGAAAAAAAAAGTACCATTTCAATTTTTTGTATTTTAAAGTGGCAAGCATTTTGGGAATTGTGAGAATACTAAATAAGGATGAATTTACTGTCACAAAGTATAACACAAACTTTTACTGCTTCAAAACATACCTTTAAAGACAGTAAGTCCAAATGGATGAGTCATCTGCTCTATATGGTCCAGTCTTCTTCTATCTAAACCATCAAAAGTGCTGTGCTCAATTTTATCAAAAAGGGCATCAACCCAGTACAACCGTGAAGCACTAAAATGATAAAATACTTAGTTATCTGCTATCCAGAAGCTAGCAGAGCACCCTTTATATTTGGGGCATTCAAGATCAGCACGTTCAATTGACACATTTAACAAAATTTTTAAAACTGAAATTATAGTCATTAAAAATCCAACCATTTTATCCACTGCTCCCCCACCCCCAAAGATATAGCCACTTTCAAATAGCTTCAATTAATTGTCTTAGAACACTTGAAATGTTAGGTTTTCTGAGGAGTGGGTGGGGTACTAGGGCTCAAACCCTGGAGCAGTCTTCCACTAAGTTACATGCCCACCCCCTTTCTAAAAAATCCTTGTTAATGCTGAGATAGGGCCTTGCTAACTAAATTCTTCAGACTTGCAGTCCTTCTGGCTCAACCTCCTTAAAGGCTGGAACTGCAGGTGTGTGCCACTCCACCTGGCTAAATGTTGCTATCTTTGAATTAAGAATTTTGTTTTTCTCCTTGTGAGATCAACAAGCTAAGAAAAATATTAGCAGTAATCTACGTTTAATCAATGTTTAAAAAGTTTAATACATTTCCCCATTTCTCTACTTTGGTATTTCATAATTTTGAGCATAGTTAGCCTATTCCTTAACTGTATTCCTAGGTAGATCATCAATTCTTGAAAACTCTACCTTATACTTTAAAAATTCTCAGTAGGATATGGTGGCACATGCCTCTAATTAATCTGAGGCAGGGGAATTGCTGCGAGCTCAAGACCAGCCTGGGCTACATAGGAAGTCCATTCGACCCTAAACTACATATCAAAAATCAGTTTCAAAAAAACCCTAAAAATAAAATATAAATAAATATTTATCCAAGATGCAAATAAACAAATGGAGAATTGTTGATTATAAAATTTTCCTAACCTCAAGACGCCCCCTGTAAGAAATTACACACAACCTGCATTTCATCAACTCCCCATCAAACTTCTCATGGGATTTGGGGCTCATCTCCACCATCTTGATTGACCCTCAACTAAGTTCCATCATTCTGTTGCTGCTAGCAAGTTCCTAAGAATATTTATGAATGCATTGGTTTTCATTCCACTAGTAATGAATGACTATGTTTATGTTCTTTGCATCCTTATATCATTACTTATCCTATAACCAATTAATGATTTTAAAATGTTTGAGGGCAAATTGTATCAGTCTTTTTACTCCATCATATCCTCCCAGAATGCCTCATCTGTGTTATGCTGGGAATTCAGTAATAGGGGATGATTCCTACTTACTCCCAATCGATGGCCAATCCATTGGGCCACCCAAGAGTGGTGTTTACTATAGGCACAAGGTGAGATCCATCTGCCCATGCTCTCATAATTTTAGCAGGACGGAACCAATCACTGAAGAATATATACCTAGAAAAAGAGGTAATAAATCAAACATGTTAACATAGGAAGAAATCACATGACTTGAAGAATTTAGCACACAGTTTTAAGAGATAAGCTGCAATTAATTTCATTTTCTATATCTTATCAGCCTCATCAGATTTGCATGACTGATCTAATTCTTAGTTAAAAGTTCAGTTATCAACATGTAATTGAATTCACAAATACAAATGGCATTAAAATGGGCATCCAGACCACTGTCCTAGACTTTAGGACCTACAATACTGTCACCCAACGGATTCCTTTAAAAAAGACATTGAATACAGGTTACATATTAAGTATTCCATACTGTTGAAATAAAAATAATAAGCTATAAGCAAAAACTAGATTTTAATCTCTGTCTCTCCAAATTAAACATCCAGGGTCCTTTAGATCACTCTCTGGTCGCTTTTTTAAAAATAAGGAATTAATAAACTGGCAGCAAACCATTTCACCCTAGATAAATAGTATCTTTCCCAAAGCATCTTTTTATTTTTTTCTTTAAATTCTAAGTACTAGCACAATGATAAGTTTAGGGAAAACAAAACAAAACAAAAATACTGTTTTCTCTTTCCCCTAGGAATCAAAATTAGTCATTTCCAAAATGTAACTGAAATGTGACCACACCATATCATTTTAAATGAAAAAATCATTAGGAAAAAAACAGCTTTTCAAAACCAAATGCCAAAGATTCAGGTTAATATAAATTTATTATAAAAGCAACAGTCTCACCCTATAGGATGACAGCATTTAAGAATAATATTAGCAGTTTAAAAGTATGTTTCTTATTTTATAAAGAGAAAATAAAAATACAAAGGCACACAAGCTTTGCATTTGGGCAGGCCTGGAATTTGAATATCTGTGAATCCTTCACAGGTCACTTTATCTCACTGAGCCTCAAATTCATTATCTCTAAACTAGGTGTTACCTGGGCGTGGTGGCACACACCTGTGGTCCTAGCACTCAGGAGGCTGAGACAGGAAGATCACCATTTAAGGCTAGCCTGGGCTGCATAGTAAATTCAAGACCAGGCTGAATTGCATGGTGAGACTGTCTGAAAAACACACACACACACACACACACACACACACACACACACACCTCCTTCACAAGCTGGTTTTGGGATCAGAAGAGATTATATGTGTAAAATGCTTGCTATATTAGTGAATTACCAGCCTTCCTTCTTTATTATTCTATTCATATACAACTGCAGGTCTTAGACCTGTTCTAAACAAACATGTACGCTATAGAATATACTTAAGTAAGGTAAGAACCAGAAAGGAATTCTATGGGCTGTTCTGTCTTTTCTTGTCTAATCCCACCAAGTACAGAATGGGAAAACATGAAACTTTGTGATCTGAAAAACTTTTTACCCTGACAACCACTGAATGATTAGGAAAGTTTTTGAAACCAGGGCAAGAACTTGAGCCTTTCCTGATAATTCTGCTGCATAGTAGTTTCTTCCCTATCAAATCTGTGTCACATTGTTTGCCACTATGAATCAAAAAAAACCTTTATGGGTGACTGAGAAAGCTGAGACTTATTAAAAAGTTATTTAAAGGAGATAAAGTGATTTCTTGAGCCTTTGCAAGAAAGATAAAATTTAAGATGATTTCAAGTTTTATAATAAAACTTGATACACGTTCCACTTACCAAATCCCTATGGTATCACTTTTCTATGACTATAAAAGATGTACAGTTTCAAGCTCCTGGGAAACATGAACACACTTACCCACCGATGGGATGAACCACAACTGCTCGAGGATTATTTAAATTCTGCACTATTGCACGTCTGGATTTATCAGCAAGCCTCATGACACTAACAGTCTTAAAAGAAGCATCTGTCCAATAAAGATTCTTTGAAATCCAGTCAAAAGCCAAACTTTCAACATTTTCCACCCTGTTAGCAGTGAGAATTTCTCTTCCTAGAAGTTAAAATATGGACATGGTTTAAAAAGCATATTATTTAAGGCATACATTTTCCTACTATGCATATTTAATTTTTCTATCAGAATTAGAACACATGTGGAATTCTTTAAAAAAAAACTATAAAATGCTGAGCAGCAACATGAGATAAACCTAGAATCTATCCATTCCCCCCAAAGTTTGGATCTCAAAGAATAGATATGATGCTGATAAGCAGAACCAGGAGTGGTGTGGTCTGGACTTACTCCCTTATTCAACCTTGCAGAAAAAATTCCTCACTGCAGAACATCTTAAGGAGAGATACCTGAGCTCACCTACTACACCCCCAGGCAGCTCTGCTACGCTGACACTGCCAGGTACAACCAGGGGGTGCCTGGGGGTGTCACAGCCCAACCCTCGTGCCAGCCTTTCACAGCCTTTCACAGCCACAAAGTTGCCAAGTTTGGAAAAGGCAGCAAAGATGCCAGAGGAAATCAGAACAGGATCCAGGAGAAAAAGGACCACTTTTCTCTCTGTGAAATTCTTCCTCTTTTTTCTTTCCTTTTCTTATGAAGAAAATCTCAATCAAAATAAGCAATCACATCTTTCTTTTGTAGTAGCAAAAAAAAAATCCTAGTTCTCAAGAAAGCCCTCCATGTGCTAGGTAACATGATTTGGGTAGTCATAACAGCTTGTATTAACTATTAACTGAGTTCTTACTATAAGCCAAGAACTGGTATACTTTACTGGATTCGCTTATCCTCACCAGTACTCAATCAAGTAGGTATCTTTATTGTGAATATTTTACAGATGAGAGAAGCAAAGCATCAGGAAAGAGTGTGGACACTGCCCTCAAGGCCATTCATGAAGCAGTAAGGCCCAGAAGCAAAAATAACAGTGTAATGGGGCTCGACAGTGTACGGTAGAGTGGTTTGTGGACACAAATTCCGAGGTATATGGCGTAAGCACATATGATAAGATGGAAACATGGGGCAGTTTCCCAAACAAAGGTAGAATTGGAGGCCAGAGGAGAATGGAAAACTTGCAAGTGAGAGGGATAGAGAACGAGACTCCACATGTTCTGGGCCATGGTTGGAGGTAGAGAGGCAATGACAGGCCAATGGAGAGAGAGATGGTCACAGGACCACAGCTGGAGGAGGCAGGCAGAGATGAGGTGCTCTTCCCCCAGACAGGGAGGAGTCCGTGTGGCCACGTTGGATTGGAGGTGGTTGTGGGATAGCCATGTGAAGCATCCAAGAGACCGCTGGTTCCCATCATGGGACTGAGCCTCAGAGTAGAAACTTGAGGAAAGGCCCCCAAGCAATACAAGAGAGAATCATCCAGAAATAGAAAGAAAAGAATGTAAAAGCCAAACCCCATCCATCACAAGGTAGTAACTGTCTAAAATGATCAAGAAATAGCAGTGTAAGCAAACTGCAGCATTTCATTAAAAACATGAAACAGCTACAAGAGCTTTAAGCAAGTGGCACTGGAGAGCAGGGCTGAGTAGGGGGTGTACAGAATGCGGGGTATTACAGTTAGTTGATCATAGCTAACATTATGGCTAACTAGATAGTTAATATGTTCCAGGCATGATTCTACATGCTTTACATGTTCCAAACTAAAATTCTGTCTACAGTCCTATGATCGAACCAGGGATTTAGCTCAGTGGTTCTGGCACCTGCCTTGCAAGTGCAAGGTCCTGAGTTCGATCCCTACTACCAAAAAAAAAATCTTATGATCTACGTAGTATTAGTATCAATATTTGTATTTTACAGTTTAGGAAATTAAGCCATAAAGAAATGAAGTAACTTGCCCAAGTTTACACAGGTACAAAATATGGGAAGCCAGAATTCAAAACCAGGAAGTCTAACTCCCAATCTGGCCCTCTTAGTTGCTATGTTATATTGCTATATTGGCATATGTACATTGCTTTTTTTTCAAATTTCAAGTTTCAACCCATCAGTAGGTATAAAATCAACCTAAGAGATCATGCCATCATCCAATAAAGGACCCAGCAGTAACTGACCATAATTTATCTGTCTTTAATAATTAAGATTTTAACAGAATTCCAATCAACTGAAAACACCAAATCCATATTCACATACAATTCATTTCTTACAAATTGTTATTATCCTAAGTCCAGTCGTTGGCATGAAAGTAGCCCAGTATCCGTAAAGAGGTAGTCATCCCTTTGGTTGACAGAACAGGAAGAATAGCTTCTAGTCAATTAACCTAGGAAAGGTTTTCAAGTACTTGACCTTTCTTTCATGTTAATATTTGTTGTTGTTAAAATACACCCTCATTTATAAGATTTTTTTTAAAATAAAGGAAAGGTGCTTATTTTAACTTGATTTATTTTCTCAATCCAAAAGTATTTATCAAGCGTAGTAAAGAGCCACTTAAGTGAATACAACGTTACACTAACTGAATTATTAGTACAATCCTAGAAAACAGGAAAAACATGCATACACACACACACTCACACACTTTCTCACCTGTGCCATCAATCTTTTGTTTGTAAATCATGTCTCTTGAGGTATCTGAAAAAAAGATAGTGTTTTCATGGGCATCAAAATCAATCCCAAGGAAAAAAGAAGGACTCCCTGTCACCGGAAGTATGACATCCTCCTGGATAGAGTGGGTGAATGGGATCCCTCGCACAGCCCATTCGGATGAAAAGAGCAAGAAGTTCTTGAGCACTGTGGGAAGAAGGATACAGCACAGTCAGCCACAGAATTGCTCCCCACAATTTTCCAGAAAATTACTAATATGTTCACAAGGCACATTTCACAGTTGTGAAAGATAACTTTGAACTAAGCATAACAAACTCATGAAAAACATAATTGAAAATAATTAGAAAATATAAGTAACAAAGATAATACCAGGATTAGAATTTTACTTCCTCCTAAGAATTTATCCTTATAATTCACTGACATAAATGGGGTTCATAGGCTTAAAACTTTTAAATAGAATTAACTGAACTTCATAATAATTTCATCAAATTCTCAAGTTGGAATAACTTTTGCACAGAAATCTATGATCAAGAAATCTACACCAACTTTTGTATAGAAATCAACATGAGGAAACCAGGGATTTAGCTCAGTGGTTCTGCCGCCTGCCTTGCAAGGGCAAGGTCCCAAGTTCGATCCCTAGTACCTCCCCTCAAAAAAATATCAATTACTCAGAAATCAACATGAGGAAGAAAGAAGGATTAACAGAAATCAGGTAAAGAATTCACAAAGCAATAAGCTAGTGGAAGAATAGAAGAGAGGACAGGAATGAAGGAATTAGGGAATAAGGACTGATGTTTTAAAGTGAAGATGGAAGTGCACACTGTAAGCCTAGCTACAAGGGAGGCTAAGGCAGGAGGATCTAAGCTCGAGGCCAGCCTAGGTAACATAGTGAGACCCTCTCTCAAAATGAAGAAGATTTTAAAAGGGGGCTGAAGATATACTGGAGGAAAGAAAACAAGGAGACTGAGACAGTATGTCAAGAATCAAAAAGCTGGTGAAGGAATTATAGCTAAGACAAAGATAAAAATTACAGAAAGGAATTTAAAAGCTAGACAGTCTACTTTTGATACACTAGTTATAAACATACGGGTTTTTTTAAAGGATGATTTTTATCTGAACAAATTTGTCTGAGTCAGAATAAAAGATTCCATATACAAAACCAGAAGTAGAACAAGAATTGTCAAAGGGATAAAAAGCAAGTGGTAGAATAGAAAATGAGAGAAACAAGTATCACAAAGGTGCATTTCATTGCTGGCTGAGGCCCAGGCAATGGACTAATCATGAATGCATGTGCAGGCAACCAAAGGGAAACCTTCAAGGGAAGACTGAAACCAGAAGAATAGAGGAAGACATAAAAAAGCAAGTCTGAAGTGAAAAGTAAAAAACTATATGAGGAATTGAGCCACCTCAACACTCAGGAGCTTATTTTGGAATATCACAATAAAACCAGGTAGGATTAAGATAGGATCACTTGGCTCAAACAGATATAAGTAGTGGTCTAGGAAAAGACAATAAAAGCGATGGGCTACTTCCCCTCACAACAGAGAGTTAAGGCTCATATCTAAAGTGGAAATGGTAGGGCCTGATTGTGGGACACCTGCCTAGCATTCACTAGGCCCTGGGTTCAACCTTCAGCATCAATCAATCATCAATCAATCAATCAATCAATGTGGAAATGGTATGCATAGTATAAAAAAAGAACTCAAAATTCAATCATATGGAATTCAAAGACCATAGTTAAAAGGAGGTAGAAGTTTCAGTAAACAGAGGGAAAAGGAAGACTGAGAAAACCCTAGGTGTGGAAAATCCCACAGGATGGAGTTTGTGCCTCCAACCCAGCTCTGTGAATAGAGGAAAGTGGTGCCTACCGAAGAAGACATCCTGTGGGATATAGGAAGCCTTTTCTGTAGTGAAGACATCAGAGCTGGCCCGGGGAAGAGTAGAAGTTATATGGTAGAGGCCTGCACATGTGTGCCCTGTGCTGCCTGCCAGAAGGACAGCTCGAATGGATTGCTTACCTACACAGTGGCGCTCATCCGAGTCCAGCTCAAAGCCATATAAGCACTTGCAGCGGTAACCCAGACCACCGTTATCTGTTCTGTGGCTGAGGACACACATGTGCTCACAACCCCCGTTGTTATCTCCACACGGATTGCTAGCTGGAGGGGAAAATGCACAGGCATAAGTCACAAGTTGAAATGTATACTTATCCAAGGCATCTGAAGTCAGTGGGCCCTGCTACAGAGTAATGGGCTTACAAGTCCTTGGAGCTATAACTGCCGGTGACCACAGTACACATTCCTCCCAACTTCACTGCTGCTCTTCCTCCCACTTCATTTTCCCCCCTTTGGAGACAGGGTCTTTCTATGTAGTTCAAACTGGCCTTGAACTCATTATGTAGCCCAGGCTGGCAACAATCCTCCTGCCTCAGCCTCCCGAGTCTGGGATTACAGGCATGCCCCACCCTGCCCAGCTCCCTTCCACTCTCAAACAAGTGGCAGGGGAAAAAAAAAAAGACTTTCACAATTAGGTAACTATGGGATTCTTTTTCTTCAAAAACTGTTAACCTCACAGATTAGAAATAACCTTCCCCCCAAATTTTTTAAAGCCTTTAGTCCTACTTTTACCATTCATAAGACATAATAAGTGACTATCAATCACTGGGTCTTTATTTTGTAAGGAAGCCATCATACAAGCAACAAATGCAAGAGGTATTATTTTCTCAATTTTACAAAAGGCTCCAAAAGGTTAGACAACTTGCTCAAGATTATGCAGTGGCTACACTGCTAATGTAGGATCCAAAGCCAGGGCTTGATTCCAAAACCTTATATGTCTGCCACACAAACTAGTTTATATCTCCAAAGCCACCCTCAAGGTAGTGACCTCAGAAAGCTCACTGCACACAGGCTGCCACAGACAAAAATTTTAAACTGTCTTTAGGCTTATTCTTCAAAATATTCTCTTTTCCTTCTCAAGTGGATTGATTTGGGAGAGCAATCACAGCCAGATAGCATGTGGAGCCAAATAATTTGCAACAATCAAACTGGGCAAGAACAGATATGAAATGGGTAGCTCGTATATTAAGTCTGAAAACTATTTTAAATGGAGATTCTCAAAATATTTTCCAGTTTGGTATATATTCTCCTAGGATGATGACACTGAAGGTTATTCTAATTACTGGTTTTTAAATCAATTTTAAATTTAAAACTAATTACTTTTGTCTTTCTCCATCCTAAAAAGACTCACCACTTATCATGAGAATTTTAAAGCAAACATACGTTTCTCTAAATTATAGTTCATAAATATTAAGCTTTCTACCAACATAATCTAGTATATTATTGTATTTCTTTTCCTTGATCCACAAGCAAATACAGAAAAGAACCATATACAATCCATATAGACATGTCAGAGCCCAATTTAAAACCCTGACACAAATCAACCTTACTGTAAAGTAACAGAAGACTAAACAGTTTGAACCAAAATATTTTTCTTTAATAAATGACCAGTCAGAGGGACACTGAATTCAGGTGACCCATGATAGATCTAATGCAAAGCAAAGAGCAGAGAAGGAAAAAATGGCCCAAAGCTATCTAAAATGATCATTTAGGTATGTCATTTTCCTCTACGGGGCCTCAGCTCCCTCATGCATCATAATCAAGGTCTGAAATAGGAGATTTCTCCCAGGAGAATGAGGAGAGAGGTGCTTTGCTGCTAGACAGGACCTGGCACATGGCAGGGGCCACTAAAAATGTAGTTCTTTCGAGATCTGGCATTTTAACTCTAAAATTCATCAATTTTCCGAAATGCCTGTGCTCTGATGCCCATTTCAGAGGGTTAATACTCTAGAGAAGCCTTCACATATTTGTTACCAGGGATCGAACTCAGGATCTGAGCTTGCCAGGCAGGCACGGCACCACTGAGCTACATCCCCAGCAGCCTTCTATATTTGAACTACCTCATCATTTACCTCCATGCTTCCTACCAAGTGCACTACCAAGCAGGATGCTCACCATTGGGCTGCCTGAGGGCATGGTACACAGTCACCCCAAAGGGCCTCAGGGTAGACTGGTGGTAGATCTGGGGGTGGTTTTCCTCGAACTTGTTGGCTTTCATCACAGCCATCCTGGTCCAATCAGTGTAGAACATGTTCTCCTCGAACAAGGCTATTGCGAAGGGATGAGGAATGAGGGAGCCTCCATGAAGCACTGTCTTCCTGTTACAAAGAGATGGACAGATCACACAATTTTTGTTGGTTTTGCTTTTATATTTATAGAAGATGTAATTAGCTCATTTAAATGCTTAAAATGCTCGATAATGTCTTGTTCTGACACAGAATACATAGAAAGCCATGAGACAGAAATTCCAGTGCTAGTCAATCTTCTATCTTATCCTGGATTTGGAGAAGAAAAGCTCTGTGTTCTCACTTGCCCTTCATTCCTCTAAGGTCACCTCTTCTATCAAAGGCTAAGATGTGAAAATGCATTTGGAATTCCACAGGTGGATGAGTAGAACATGGATCAGAAGTCTGGAAGAAGATGCCCCCTACAGTTACTTCTGACTGCGCCTCTGACCACTTATCAGCAGCTAGGGAGCAGCACAGTGAGTGTAGGGCTCAACCTCCAGCAAACACCCAGATCTGCCCAATGGCAGCATAAGGCAGCACAATCACTCATATGCAATTTCTTGATGCAACTGCCAATGGACCATACTTCTGGCAGAAGCACAGCACCCAGAGCTGCTTAAATAATGGGAAGAAACCAGAAGCAAAATATGCTGAGCAAAGGGAAGACGTCAACAGCACCTGCTAGGACTACCTCTATATAAACAATGATTTTGCTAGATGGTTCCTGAGGGAAGACTCTTCTCTCTTTTGGCATAACAGAAAAACCTCAAAGAAAAGTCTTAGCAGCCTCTAAAAACTAAGAAGCACAAGAGAAGTGTAAGGAAAGACTTGAAGATACTAAAACTGGGAAACACACTAAAGAGAAGAAAACAAGAAACCTAGGGTGACAAGTTAGTGCATGCTTTGAAACTCTCAATAATGACAATATGTAAGAAAGGTTTCTTTTTCACGTGGTAAATTCCAGAACACTGAATGCCACCTGCTGGCAAACTAGGAGGCAAAGGCTTGATGTTTACAGACTGCACTCGTGACCTTTAATACTTCTCTGATGGTTCTTTGTAACTGGCAAATCACTCAAATCTTTCTCAGACTCCACTGTTTGTGTTTTTGTTTTTGGTACCGGGGATCGAACTTGGGACTTTGTGCTTGCGAGGCAGGCAGGTGGCGGAACCACTGAGCTAAATCCCTGGCCCAGACTCCACTGGTTTTTATCTTTTATGTTTTGCTTTAACAGCATAAAAATATTGAGATTGTACAATGCTGAAACACACCATTGAAAAAAAACCAATTAGGCAATTTATTAATTGTTAACATCAAGCTGACTCATACTTTTTTTTCATTAAATTAGTTTATGTTCTCAATATGGCAACCAGAAAGGAAGTCATAGTATTAATACCCAATCACCTCATTTAGCCAGGCAGAAACTGTTCTAAGAATATATAATCCAGTGACAAATTGATATCATCCTTACAAAATAGAGATAAAATAGAACACAAATCTAGAATAATGCTTTCATTGATAAAACAATAAAATCAAAACATCTGGAAAAATTAAATTGGCCAGTCTATTTGCTGAATGAAAAAAGAGTAATTTTTCCTGGTAAAAATTTGAAGAATATATAATAATATTTGTATATATATAAAATACATAATATACCATACTGGGGATTCAACTCAGGCCCCTGTGCTTGCCAGGCAGGTGCAGCGCCACGGAGCTACATCCCCCGCCCTGAAAAATATATTCTTCACAATTTTTGAAAATACCAAAAGAAGAGGATTGAAAATAGTTACTAACTTAAGTAATTTAGTTAGAGTACATTCAGATTCAGAAGATTAAGAAAAAAAATGTGATGTTCAAAATTCTAATATTGCTACTTAAGTATCTCTGAAAATATAAAGAATTTCTCTTGAGTTGAGATGTAACTCTGTGATAGGGCACATGGTAAGCATGTGTAAGACCCTGGATTCAATCATCAGCACAAAAGAGAGAGAGAGAGAGAGAGACAGAGAGACAGAGAGACAGAGAGAAAATGAAGAAAGGAAGCAGAGAAGGGAGGGAGGAAGGAAGGGAAAAGGGAAAAAGAATAAAACAATTTTCCTTGAAATCTGAAATATAAGAACAGGAAAAAAACCCAATTAATTCCCATGGGATAATTTTCAGTAAATAATAAAAATGCATTTATTTATGGAGGAAAAGTCAGAAAACTAAAACATAAAGTGGTCTTGGGAAACAAAGCAAAAGGGACCCAGAAAAATGAATGGACTCAAAGGTGCATGAAAATAACATGCTTCATCCAGGCAGAGGGTTGGGCAGGGGTAATTAAAGGACAAACATTCTAGGTAATATTTAATGCTATTATAGAACACAAGAAAAGTTAACAGAACAGAGCAGGTCACTTCATGCCAGTGTTGATCAAAAGGTCACAAAAGCTGTCTTGTGGACCGACAAAGTGGTCTTTTCATTCTGGTATGCCTCTCTCGCCAATTTTATGTACAGTACTTTTCTTTGCATGTAAAGCCATAAAAATAATATTTCTTACCTCTGAAGTCCATCATAAGTTACAGTCTCAATGTAATCAAATCGGGAGTCAACCCAGTAAATGCGCTTGGCTAAAAGGTCCAGAGTGATCCCAGCCGGCCATCCTAGCTTTGTTTTTACCAAGTCCTTCCGGTTGCTGCCATCCATGAAAGCTCTTTCCACCTTAGGTTCCCCAGAAAGGCTTTCCCAGTCTGAGAAAAATAAATAACTACAAAAGAAAAGCAAAGGGTGAAAGAATTTGTGGTTTTACAAGTTTACCTCGAAAAACAATTTTGAGGAATAGTGTTTGGATCAATGGAATTTCCCACTGACCAGCAAACCCTAGAAGTATAAAATAATGGAAATAAAAAATGGTAAGTAAGGGCAGTAGGGGGATGGCACCTGACTATAATCAGAGCACTCAGAGGGGCTGATGCAGGAGGATCAAAAGTGCATGGCTAGGACCGGGGATTTAGCTCAGTGGTTCCACCACCTGCCTTGCAAGCACAAGGTCCTGAGTTCAATCCCCGGTACCAAAAAAAAAGTGCATGGCTAACCTGGGCAACTTAGCAAGACAGTCTCAAAATAAAAATTTCTCAAAAGGCCTGGAGATATAGTAAGTGGTAATGCACTTAGCCAGCACTCATGAGGCCCTGAGTTTAATTCCTGTGCCACAAAAAAGGGGTCAGGGGTAAAAATAATAAATAAAAATAAATCAAGAATCATCAACCGCAAATAGTAAATACTAAAATGCACTAATACAGTAGCCTACAAGTGCATATCCACTTTTTAAACTTTCTCTGTTCCTTTACTCTCACACCCAAGAAACAAGTTTTTTTGTTTTTGTTTTTGAGACAGGGTATCACTATGCAGTTCAGGCTGGCCTCAAACTTACAGCGATCCTCCTGCCTCTACTTCCCAAGTGGGATTATAGATGTGCGCCACCACACCCAGCTAAGAAATATATTTTAAATGAGCTATTACACTGTCTCCTTCCTCAATCTAATGTACACATAACCAGAGAGCGCTTCCATCATTTTCAAAGAACAACAACTGACTTAAGTAGAAATGAATAATTAGTCACCAACACTTAAGTAGCCTAAAGTTTATTCAAGGATCCTAAGGCCAAACTGTGAAATTACAGGGGAAAACTATCTCCCAGAACTCTTCCCAAAGGTGGAGATCAGGAAAACTTGCACTTAAATTTGAAAAGAGGAGGCAGGGTGCACTTACTTAGAATGAATGAGATGTAGCACTGGTATCCCAATTAATTCATGTTAGAATGAGCATCTTAATAAAGGTGAGACATAGTAACAACTGTAATAACTTACAGATTTAATGAGAACACAGAATTCAATCTCTTAACTAGGCAGATGTGGTAAATACTAAGAAAAATTCAGACCCCTAAAATACAAGTAATACACCCATAGGTGTGTTTGAATTACACATCCTCAAATGGGGTTATATTTAGTAAATTACTATGAACATAGACATGAAATAAACAAGGGTTCTACAACGAAGTGCCTCACAGAAATCAGAATTAATCTCCAATTGATCTGCTGGATGCTTATTATTTAGGGACAGAGATGAAATTCTAAAAATGCAGAAATTGGCATGTGTGCACATCACTTACCCAACAGTTGGGTCCACGGCAACTCCTCTAGGGTGCCCCAAGTTTTCAGCTATGAGGGTAACTCGGTGACTTCCATCTAAGTTTACCATATCTATGCGGTTGACCCTAGTCTCTACTATGTAAAGTTTATTGTTAACCCAGTCAACAGCCAAATTCTCTGGAGTCTCAATGGAAACATTGACAATTTCTTGGATCTTTAAACTATTCATGTCAATTGAAAAAACCTGAAAGAAAAATCAAAATTATTATTCTTAAGCATGACTGCAGGCACTGTTTACTTCATTTGGTATGTCTACTTTGTAGAAATTAGTCATTTGGACCTTAAAAACAAATTCACTGGAGGCTTACTATTTAGATCACAAGGTTCCTGGAAGAAAACATAATCTTTTCAAAGTATAGATTTAATTTCTGTTTTGTTTTGTTTCGAGCCTGCATTTTCTATTTTGGTGGTTTTCAAAAGTTTAATTAAGGACTAGATGGGGGGGTATTTTGATTCTTGATGATCCTTAGTTGTAATCAAATCAGAGTTGCTAATAATCCAAATTCTCAATCTTTGGAAATTTTATGCATGTTATCATATAAGTTAATTAGAATTTTATTAATGGTATAAAAAAACTAAGGGGAATAACTAAATAAAATTCCATAACTCTTTAGGAGTCTCTAAAATTATGTCTTAAACATCTCTATTGCATTACTCAAAGTTCAGAAACTAAATCCATCACACTTTTCAAATAAGAAAGCATAATGAAATTTTGGCTGTTAAACAAAATACTGTCAATAATTGTTACCCAGTCCTCAATTACAGTTCCATTTAGAAGATGCAGGGAAAAATCTGATTTTTATCATCCAGAAAGCGGAGTGCTCTTTACATTTTAAATGATCAAGTTTCAAAAATTACTACCAATATCTATCCAGTTTTGAAAGAATGTCTACTATTTCTTTTAATTAGGCTTTTGGACTCCTTTTTGAATAAAATCAAAAGTTGCTCAAGGCTAATCCATATAATAGGCTGCTTTGTTTAATGGGTCACATGTAATACTATAGCATGGAAAAGGTGCTGATTAACATAAACTATCTCAAGGGCCTTTCTTGTTAGAAAACAAATGAACTTTTCCCTCTATTCCCCTAAAAATGAAAAGCTCTCAACACTTTGTGCCTGAAGTTCTATTCAGCCTCCAAGCCACACTCCTGAAATTTCTATTTACCTTATTTTCCATGAGGTCTGTCCAAAAAACTTTGTGCTCACGATAGTGAAAATCCACACCCATGGCCATTCCACGATTTTGAGAATGTACTAGAACCTCAAAGCTCCTTCCTTGAATATCACCAATTACCAAATCCCGACCATTGGAGAAGATAACAGAGGCCTCATTAACTAAATGTGAAGAAGAAAAGCATTATCACTCCTTCAGATGAGCAACGATGGTCAAGTAACTTAAAAACAATACATTTTCTGATTTTTTTAAGTGCACTCTTCTGTTATCTTATTTGATTCTAAAATAAACCTGAGACAGATAACAGTCATTCTACCCATTTTACAGATGAGCAAACTAAGACCCAAAGATGCTTAATGAAGTATCCAAAACCACAGTAATTTAGAAACAGAATACAGCAAAAATTCAAGTGTCCTGACTACTAGTCCAAAGCCCTTTCTCTGACAATGAAGAAAATACTGGAGGTATTTCCAAGAATCCTTGATGATATGGGCATCTTACCTCCATGTGCAACTTTAGATTGTGTTAAACACAGAACATGTTTTAAAAATTACCTGCACAAAACGTGGCAATGGTAGACCCAAACCTGCTTTGTCTATGTACTCGTAAGTATGCGAAATGACATAGGAGTAATTTTATTTGTTGCGGTCTTATTTGCAAGAGCTAAAGATAAAAAAAGATTTAAAAGTTCATCAGTAGGAAATTAAATAAGTTATGCTCATATGAAAATGGAATACCATGCCACTATAAAAAAGAATTTTATTTATTTTTTTTTTTTTTTTTTGGTACCAGGGATCAAACTCAGGACCTTACACTTGCAAGGCAGGTGACCACACCACTGAGCTAAATCCCCGCCCCTAAAAAAGAATTTTATGGGCTGAAGTGGAAAGCTTTCCAAAAAAAAATTTTTTTTTAAGTTTTTTTTTTTTGTTTGGTACTGGGGATTGAACTCTGGTCCTTGTGCTTCCAAGGCAGGCGACAGAATCACTGAGCCAAACCCCCGGCCCTTTTCAAAAATATATTAAGGGACATCAGCAACATGCAGAACTGTATATAACTTTATTAGTATACTCATAAAAATAAGGCTACATATATATCTTTACATTCTTATTTATGCACTTAAAGTTTCTAGAATTGAAATAAAGAAGCAGAAATTTAAGTCAGGCATGGTGACACATGCCTGAAATCCCAGCACTCTCAGAAGCTGAGGCAGGGAGATCACAAGTTCAAGCCCAGCCTGGGCAACTTAGCAATTTAGCGAGACAATGTCTCAAAATTAAAACCATAAAAAGGACTCAGAATATAGCGCAGTACAAAGGCTCTGGGTTCAATCCCCGGTATCACAAAAAAGAAAAGAAAAAAAAGAAGGAAGGGAGGGAGCGAGAGAGGATGGGAAATAGCAATTACCCATGGGAAAAAGAAGTGGAAACCTGGTGGAAAGGAGCAAGGATAAAGAGAGAGATTTTACTTTAGAGCTTTTTTTTTAAAAGTCTAAAATTTTAATGAGTATAATTACCTATTTAAAAATAAATAAACTTCATTAAAAATCAGCTGTACCTAAAAGTTAGTAAACAACAAATCAAGTATTTCTATGCAAAAACAATTAGAAAACCAACCATTCGTGGATCATATGAGCAGTGAAGCTTCAGAAGGCATGGAAGACACTTAAAAACCAAGTGTGACATAACAGCTGAAAAAAGCAGTTAATGCCTGGGCACGTGGTTCAGTGGTAGAGCAGGTGCCTAGAATCCACAAGGCCCTGGGTTCCCTCCCCAGCACCACAAAAATAAAGAGTAAAAAGGAAAGTGAGGGAGAGAGGAAGAGAGTAAATTGAGACCCAGATACCCACAGTGACAAAAATGCTTTGGAGTACCGTAGCACTACTAGACTGATTCCCAAAATGAGGGCATTCACACAAATTTTAATCCAAACTTAGCACACCTGTTTTGAAATGCCCCTAAATTTTACATAAATAATGTCCAAATGACATCTATAGATACTTGTCACCCAAATTTGTAGTAGGTAAATTAATCTAAAGTGAAATATCCAAGTCAGTCAAACGTAGGCCTAAGACTTACTCCACAATTAAATGTAGTGAGTGACAGAATAGCATAGGCAATAAAGAAACCAATACAACATATTAATAATGGTCACCATTAACTACAAACTGGTCCTCAATAAACTACAAATAATATGGCCCCATCCTTCCTGACAGCAGGACCCATCCCTGATCTATGATAAAACCTTGCCGCCAGCATAAATGCTCAGCTTTCGTCTGTCAACAGCTGCGGAAGGAGGACATCAGCAGCTCACTGTTCAGAGATAAACAAGGTCCAGAATGTACTCACAGGAAGTACTAGCTCTGCAATGCCGCTCACGCTCCATCACATATCCTTCTTCACACCCACACTGGTGATGGCCCATGCGGTTTTCACACTTCTGGTCACAAATGCCCCATATCTGGCAATCATCAAAAGCTGCCACAGGAGAAAAACACATTTACAATCATGCTCATCGACACCTCGTGTGTACTTTCAGACTAAAATCCTGAACAAGAAGTCATACCCCTGTCCTCTGGAGAAAGGCACAAGCTGCAGCAATGAAAAAGGGTACTCGACTGGATCTGCATCCAGGGAAAAGTCCAAAGCATTGACATCATTTATTTTTATCTACATGAAGGATAACTTTATGGAAGTTGCACAGCCTGCACGGATTCATGGCCCTGTGGCATTGTATTTCATTGATTACCATTGGTCTACAAAATACCTGTATATGAATTTTGGTATAAAAACTTCCCTTTAAGATTGTGCTTTCCACATGGCCGCCACTGAGCACTGGTCACCAAATTGAAGAGTGAAGATACAGAATTATTTGCATCACTGCCATCTCTCAGAATAAAGTCAGACACTTCTTATACCCAGCCCCTCAACAAGATATAATCTGTGGCTGCAATGAATGTTTGGAAAGCTCTGTGTACCCAGCTGTCTTTCCTTTGAGAAAGAAATGTCATAATCAAAATTAAACTTATTTTCAAGACATGAAAATATCAGCTACTTACTCACTGACTTTTTTTTTTTTGGTACCGGGGATCAAACTCGGGTCCTTGCGCTTGTGAGGCAGGTGGTGGAACCACTGAGCTAAATCCCCAGCCCCATCATCACTTTTAATGACTAAAATTTCATCCTTTAATTCCTTATGGTGTCCACCATCAGTCAAAGTAAAAATAAGAAAATGAAAGTAGAACTGAGGATTTTCATGAGAGTAGAAAAGACTATAGAAACTATGTAAAACACTGAAACAATACCTTACCATCCCCCACACCCACACAGCCCATTATCTTTATCTGTTTTTCTTTCCTTTTTATTCTTTGCCCCCTCCTACCAACAAATACTGCTTTGAAAATCATTCAAAAACCCCTTTTTGGCTTAGGCCCCTTTGGACACCCCCGATCCATCTGCTGCGTAAAACCCTGCCATGCTAAATGACCTCCCTGCCCCAACTCTGGGCCACGATGTCATTCTATCAACAAACAGCATGTCCTGTCAATCACAAACAATGAGGCTGGTAAACTGTCTCAGCACGCCACCGAGGTTCCGAGGCCAGGTCAGGCTGACCAGGGGCAGATGAATGGTGGAAAGACACCACATTTCATGTCAGGATTATTCAATTCTGTTCTTGGTTACCATAGAGGCACTCACTGGAGAGCCATATCTGAGATGATAAATGCTGCACAGGTTCCAACACCTGGAGCTGCTGCAATGAGTCAGGCACGCAGAAGGCTGCAGCCATACTGACAGAGTTGTTGAATCGAAATGCTTGACAGAGCAAACCAAAACAAGTCCCCTCAAATTTCAGCTCAGCTTAAACAAGCTTAACATAATGTTATATATTTAAACTAAAGACTTCTCTTGTTTGAAACAAATATGAAATAAATGTTAAGCCTGCTTCAAAACTCAGGGACAAATCGTGCATTCTTGAAGAACAGGGAAGGTCACAGGAAAGGTCTCTGCAGGTGGCAGGGGCCTCATGTTCACAAAGGCCCTCAAACACAGACTTCTGCACTTATCTCCAAATGAGGCAGGCTGTCTGTGGTGAAGCCTCAGAAAAGCATCAAGTGGACTGAAAAATGTCTGTGGAACTTAAAACCTGCAGAACAGAATTAGATCACATTACTTTCAATACACTATCCTCCATTTGGCACATCCTGAAATAATCATTTGCACAGCCTAATATTGCAATTGTCTGTATTACATTCAGTGGAAGCTTACATGTACATTGTTTTTCTTAACTCTTTTATTGGTACATCTTAGGTATACAACACATTTACATTTCTCATTGGGAACTTGTATCTTTACATAATGCATCTTGATTCTTGTTTTTTCCCCATTCCTAGCCCTCCCTTCATGCCCTCCACCCTTCCCTATTTACAAAGACTTTATTTCCATTTTTTCCATTTCTCAGCATTTTTCCTTTCCCTTCTTTCCTTTCCCCTGCCCCTCCCACTACCCCTACCCCTTTGGACCTTTTCTTCCTATTTTGCATTATCGATTATTCATTCTAATCATTGGTACATTTTAGGTATACAATATAATGACATTCATCATTGGAAATTTGCACCTTTACATAGTCTCTCTTGGTTCTTATTTTTCACCCTTGCCCAGCCCTCCCTTCAACCCCTCCAGTCCTCCCTGTTTACAAAGATTTTGTTCCTATTTTTTCATTTTCTCATATTAATCCCATTCCCTTCTATCCTTTCCCCTAGCCCTCCCACTTCCCCTACCCCTTTGGACCTTTTCTTCCTATTTTACATTTTCAATTATTCATTCTAATCATTGGTACATTTTAGGTATACAATATAATGACACATGTAAATTTTTATAACACAGTGATGTAGTTATGTCAGCTTTTCATTTCTTAAGAGGCTGTGGAAATCTCTGACATCTAAGAAGTCCTTCACACTTGGAAATACAACCCAAGGGCTCATCAGACTCACATACTGAAAAGGAGGGAAATGTGCCAACTGTGCTCTACAGTGGGAGAAAAAGACTGAAAACAGCTTGTGGGCATCACAGGCCTCAAGTAGGAATTCTGTAAGAAGTAATCGCTTTTACTGAAAAGACTTTGAGGCCTATCAAGTTTCAACTGAAGCAGCTCAGCCCAAGCTCCTCTTTGTAGGCTGAAAAAGGAAAAAGAGAAGAGCTGATGTAACTCTGAGAACATGGCTTCTAGTGTTTCTACTGGAATTCCCCTTCTACTCAGAGAACAGGTGCCTAGAGCACTACAGGACGGGAAATCAACTGGCAGCTGGGTGGCAGTGAAGAGGTACAGAGAGCCTGACATTCGCCTAAAACAAAGTGGCAGCCTCATCCCCCATTTAGCATCACTCCAAGAAAGAGAGGGTGCTGCCCGTAGAGAAATAAATGCCAAGGCATAAGGTCAGGGCTGCCCAGTCTGAAAGCCTCTCCCACATGAGGACGTGCATGGGGGTTTCGAATCCCTTGATTACATCACCAGTTCAACAGTAATGATAGTAGGGGCCCGGGATTTAGCTCAGTGGTTCCGTCGCCTGCCTCTAAAGCGCAAGGTCCCTCGTTCAATCCCTGGTTACCCCCCCCCAAAATAAAAAAACCATAATGATAGTAATAATAACAACAACAGAAAATCTTTTCTGAGGTCAGTTGCAGATCACAATGTTTTCTTTACAAAATGTTCTGAAATGATTAAGAATTGGGGACTTTTTAGCCAGTTGTGGTTGGCACCTGCTTATATTCCCAACACTCAGGGTGGATGAGGCAGGAGGATTAGGAATTTAGCCCAGCCTGGGCAACTTAGCAATTTAATGAGATCCTGCCTCAGAATCAAAAGGTAAAGAGGGCTATGGAGTAGCTCAGAGCATGAAGGCCCTGGGTTCAATCCCCTGTATCAAAAAAAAAAACCACAAACTCAAGTCTCCAGGACCTCTCAGGCTACTTGAATGAACCACTTGATCTGAACACATCTTGCCAAACAGTTACTTAAGAGGAACATTTAGGTCACGGGCAAAGCTTGAGATGTGGCCTTACCTAAAATTACCTACTTTGAGCACCACAAGGACAACTTCAATAGGATTGTTTCACCAAGTGTAAAAACTCCAGTCTTTCTTAGTATATGATGGTATACCAACCCCACTATGATAGTTCTCAATAACACTTAGGAACAAACCTTCTCAAGAATCTCAAGTTAAATTTACAAACCAGAGTTTACTTCTGGTATCAAAAGGTTTTCCTGGTTACAAGTAGTTACTCAGAGCAACATTATAAAGGTATAATTATGTTGGAAGACAGCAGCTGGAAGTAAAACCTGAGTAACTTCATTAGGCTTCCCCAAATTCAGTTTTTTGTTTTGGGGGTATTTTTGGGTGGTGCTGAGGATTGAACCTATGCCTTCACGGGGAGCTACATGCCCAGCCCTTTTTATTTTTTGTCTTGAGACAAGGTCTCACTAAGCCACTAAGTCACCCAGCCAGGGCTGAAACCTGTGATCTTCCTGCCTCAGCCTCTCAGTGTACTGAGATTATAGGCATATGCTACTATGCCTGGCAAATTCAATATTTTTTACCAAATCAAATCAAAATTTTAGAAATTTATTTCAGAAGAATACTTTCATAAAACTTTTTTATGCATATCATGTTTCTCTAGAAATCCCTAAAGAACCTCACATTTTAGGACTGTTGAAGAACATAAATCCTGGGAAAATTCTGAGTCATCCATGTTTTAGAGATCCATAAATAACAACCAAATTGAATTTTATTGAATAGTTCCAACTGCTTCTCAGATTCCTTATCCCATCACCAGGAAAAGTAGTCGTTTTAAACTTCTGTGATCTCACTCTGTAAATGTTTGTTGTTCATGTATCAAAAAGCAGAATGATGGAAATAGAAATCATAGCATTAAAGACTCACTGCTCAAATCCTAAGAAACAGAACACTACTGACACTGTCTATGTTGAATTCTCTCAACATAAGGCTCTATTCTAATCATGGTGGAATATAAAGTTGGCATCAGAATCAAAAAGACTTCCAGGGGGAGAAATCACTTTTATAATTCGAGTAGAAAAGAGGTGTGGGAATATTTGGTGTCTACTCAAAGGCAGTCACTAGCTGAAAACATCGCGATGAAGAATTTGCTGTCTTGAATGCTACTTCCAAGCAGAGGTGAAAATCAGTGGAATTCACACTCAGTACAGCACAAGCAGTGGCCCGCCAATGCAGTCACCTAAGTGTAGTCACCTGGTGGTCCTCTGCTCTATCAAGTGGCAAGTCTGTATCTCCTGGATCCTACAGACTTGTTGTTTGTTTTGCTTTTTGAAATAGTGCCTCAACATGTAGCCCAGGCTGGCCTCAAACTCACGATCCTCTGGCCTCAGTCTCCCCAGGGCTGGGATTACAGGTGTCCTGGGGACATTTGTGTACCTGGAGAAGAGGCCGGGCAAACTAAAGGAGAAGTACTTCATGGGCTCAAGAGAACATCTATTTACCAACCACATGAATGGAAGCATTTCAGTATCCAGTAACCAGCAGAGCTGTACCAACCCTGCTTCCAAACCCTAAAAAGGAAACTTAAAAGGACCACCTGCATTATCAGGTAGTGGTCAGCTCCACTTGGTGGAGACTGTGATGAATGACTAGGAGCACCCACCTCTCACTTACCAACACAGGTTCGGCTATCATTCTGGTTGATGACATAACCTGGGGGACAAAAACACGATCCTCCATAGGGTGTCTTATGGCATTGGAACACACAGTCTAAGACAGAGCACAAACTAGTACCTACACAGAGAGAGAAAAAAGGGTGTTAATTAAACAGTGACCTCTGGACAAGACTAATCTACGTTAATAGCTTCTTTTCCCATGAGTAAAAGTTTAGTAAGCACATAGTAGAGGTTTAGGAAAATGTTAAAATCAAAATTTACTGCCATATTATGTAGTAAAAGAATAGATCAAATTTTTTAAATTCCTTTTTGAAAGTTATTACTAGTGATATATACAAGTATAAATCATCAGAAATGCTGTTTATGCAAAAATAAGATTATACGTCTATCTCAATGAAATGGAAAGAAAATGCCATAACGCCTCAGCAAATTTAAACATTTTAAGTTTAGTCAGGGGAAAAAATAATCCTTGGGGTTACAATTACATGGGCACTTCTAGGCAACTGCTGGTTGAAATAGTGTACAATTGAGGAGACTGGAATCATAAACTGTGTTCCTACAGGACAATCAGCTCTCCACAGAGTGGACAGGCTGATTGCAGGGAAATACTGTGGAATATTCTAGCCACAAGGAAAAAAAAAAACCTAATTCCAGGCAGTTCCCTCATAAATAAGAGTGATTACACAAGACCTCAAGTAACACTGCATGACCAACTCAAGTTTACTATAGGAAAATAACTTAGAATAATCCAGGAACCTGAAGCCTTTTAAGTCATCACATCTTTTTTATTAGTAGGTTTCATTTTGGCAGATTTGTACATACATATAACATACTTAAATCATTTTTGTCACCCCATCACCCATTTTGCTCCACCATCTTCCCCTTTATTTCTTTCTCTTGCCTAATTGTTCTGGCTGAAAGAACTCTACTGAGTAGGAGTGATGAGAATGGATATCCTTCCTTCTTTATTCCTGGTTTTTGGTTTTTTGTTTTGTTTTGTTTTTTGCACCTGTAGACAAGATTCTTTTCCATAAGACAAGGAATGAAACCTGTGGAGGTACAGCTCAGTGATAGTGTGCTTGCCTAGCAGGCAGGAGTGCCTGGGTTTCACCCCAACACCACAAAAAAGCAGTAACTATAATTAAAATCCTCTGAATACCTTTAGAGTCATCAAAACTGCCAGTAAAACAAATCTACCTGTTTTAGGGGAAGCCATAGATTTTTAAGCTCTTCCCATCAAGAGCAAGAATCTACTTCTTCCATCCTTTCTGATCTCGTGAAAGTGACATGCTGTGGTAAGACATTGGCAAACACAACATAAGCCAACACTTAAAAGTGCTTCAGCAATGAGCTTTGCTCTTTCTACCACCATGAGACAGTCTTCACTTAGCTTAAGCTTTCTTTTTAAAAAAAAAAAAAAAAAAAAATTTATTTGAGACCTTTTTTGCACCCACCCCCCATTTCTCTAGCTTGGAGAAGAGAGTGAAGGAGATTGTACATAAAGCTTTTTGGGCCGGGGATTTAGCTCAGTGGTTTTGCTGCCTGCTGCGCAAGCGCAAGGACCCGAGTTCAATCTCCAAAAAAAAAAAAAAAAAAATTTATTTGAAGGGTGGGGGAAGAGGGAAGTGAGATGGCAGACAGCCACCCTGGACAAGTAGGGAAATATTCTAGCCTAAGCTTTTAGCAAAACATCCAGATGTGTAAATGACCTGGTGTGGGCCAGAAAAACTACCCAGCCACCCCACAGAACTGTGAGAAATAATAAATGTTTGTCATTTAAGCCACTAAGTCTTGGAGTATTCTGTTGGGCAAATGCCAACTGATACAGCACTCTGTGTTTGAGAATGTGTTGTAGAAACACAGAAACATTTTTATCTGAAAGCTACTCTGATAAATTCCCATACTCACCACAAGAACTTCCGCTAGCAGTACTGTTTTCATCTTCTCCTCTGGGACAATCTGAAATCCCATCACAAACTTGATAAATGGAGATGCAATGTCCAGAGTGTGGGCAAGGCCACTCTCTGGGGTAACATGAATGATGACGCTGGTTGCTTTCTGTGGAGGGAAAAAGAGTCAGAACAAGTACAGTCAGCTCTTTTTGAATCTATGACTAAGACTGGATATAGGCCGGGTAGATAGAAACCCACAAAATGACCTATAATTTATAATAAACTTGTAGTTTCTAACTCTACCACTAGCTTTTATTGAGAGGTGACAAAATGGAATAAAGTTGCACTCTTTCTGGAGGAGGCAGCCCTCCTTTGCCAAACTATAAGGCTAAGAAACAAATATGGGCCTGAATTAGCAACAAACTAGATTCATAAAACCCTAAGAGAAGATGCAGTTATTTTATCACAAATTATAGAACTAGGGCCTTCAAAGTACCTCCAGGCTTCCTGAGATTACATTTTGTTTTATTAATTTAGTGAAATGTTGACAGTTCAAGAAAAGCCATAACTCAAATACAGAAAAACTAATTCCTGGAAAACCAGAATATAAAGTAATGGACAATTTTAGGACAAGCATCACCCTAATCATATCTGAGATTGCATAATCTCATGTCAATCTCCTAATCATATCTGAGATTGCCTGCAAGGGTGCAGGCAGTTTGATATATGGTAGGGGTGTTGGTAATACTGCTGATGATAGAAGCAGAAGGAAATGAAAATATCATTAGCAATTTCCTTCTCAAATAATCTTCTTTTTTCTCCTGGTACTAGGGATTGAACCCAGGTCCACAATGACCTGGGTTTTGTTGTTTTTTTTTTTTTGGTACCAGGGATTGAACTTGGGTCCTTGCACTTGCACAGCAGACAGCGAAACCACTGAGCTAAATCCCCGGCCTCTGGTTTTTATTTTAAGACAGGGTCTTGCTAACTTGCTAAATTGGCCCCAGGCTGGGCTTGAACTTGCAGTCCTATCTCAGCCTCCCTGAGTGCTGGGATTATGTATATGCACCACCATGCCCCACTTCACTCTCAAATAATCTTTAAGTATGTCCCTGGATAAAACACCCTGAGCTGCCCCTACCAGTCCCTAGCATCATCCTACATGTTCCCAATATGGCTTCTTCTTCACCAATGTCAGCAGCTCCTCTGCAAATCAGAATTTGAAAAAAAAAAGAACAAACTGAGCTTTTATCCAGTTCAAAGTCATTTTAAAAGATTATAAGATCTAAAATTGAAGCACAAAATAAAAGAAACAGGAAGATTGATCTTTTGCAAAACAGAAGGAGACCAAGAGATGAAAGGGAGTAGGAAAGAAAGGGAGGGGAAATGGATGAAAAAAGAATTAAGATGTGTAATGCCCATGTACCAACTTCCAATGGCTCATGTAATTATTATGGACTCCAATCATGCACTAATAAAAAATAAATAAAACTTTTTAAAAGGTTATAAGGTCCAAGGCAAATCATGTTTTACCTTATTTTTCCCTCCTTCCCAGCCTAGGACTTTCACACAGATAAAACTGACAGTCTTAAAAGTAAAGTTGGAGTGGGATGAAGAAGGAGGAGAGAAGCTCTATCTACTTTGCCTTTATGATGGGAAGGAGGAGATTACAACTGACGCTATATTTGAGTTCAGTCTTTTTGGGAAAAGCTAATACAGTCATCTCCTCCTGATTCTTCTATTAAATCCCTTACCACCTCCTTAAACCCCAGCCAATCCTGAGGAAAGGAGGAGAACCTCTGTGAAACTGTGCCCTCCCTTACCACATCCATCTTCATCTCCAAAGTCTGGGCAGTCGTCCTGTCCATCACAAACCCAGTTCTGATGAATGCACTGGCCGCCAGGGCAAGTGAACTGGTTACCGCTGCAGGTCTCATAGTCTGCAAAAAAGGAACAGCTGTACTCCAGAGACACAAATTACTCGGAAAAATGTCGGAAGTCTCACCTCACTGCCTAAACTGAGCTCCTAGAATCTGAAATTTCTCTGACAATTAAATTCCTTAAGTATCTTTACAGAAATGAAGGGGGGGGGGGGCAACAGCAACTTTGGGGCCAGGAAATGAATTCAGGTGCCAATGTCTGTTTCTCAAGATATTTTTTTTAAAAAGCACAACAGGTTGATCCAGAATGGAGAAGGCCAACCAATTAAGATGCAAAAGACATACATACAAATGGCAAACATCCTCCTCTTTTGCCACAAGCACTGTAATTACTTTCATGGACCAAATGAGTCACCCATTCCATGAGGTCATATTCTTTTTAATACAATCACTGAAATAAGCTCAGGTTCCATAAAGGGAATCAGGTACAGCTCAGAGAAAATTGGAGTGATACTGGAAATACTCAACAACCCCATGAGGCAAGAGTGCTAACCAATTAAAACAGGTGTAAAGAAAATCATTCATTCTGTGCTGGGCAGCAAAGCTTTCCTGACCCCCCAACTTTAATGTAAGAGGAGAGATGGAACTGTTGCTAGTTGGGAATTCCTTTCCCTTTCACTCTCTTCTGTCATCCTGCTATCAGAATTATCAGAACCATCTCTGCAGTAGGGGTAATTTCAGAGTTCTGTGATACAATACAGAACCTAAGGAAAGAATACAAACTGCCCATCAGCAACTCTTTAACTCTGCATATATCACTGGAGAATAAAGGAGCCTGGGTCCTAAAATATGGCTAAGCCAAGAGCCATATCCCTAACAGGACCTTTTTAGCTCCACTGCCATCAAATATAGTGACTCTTTTCCTTGAAAAAAGTGGTAGGGGAAAAAACAAACAATACTCCTAAACATATGACCCAGTTTAAAGAAATCACCGTACTGCAATTATGTTCATCACTGCCATCTTCACAATCATTGTCATGGTCGCAGAGATAGGGGCGAGGGACACATTCTCCGGTGCCACACTGAAATTCGTCGTTCGAGCATGTCTCAGCTAGGACACAAAGTTAAGAAGGGAAAGAAGAGAGCATTTCAATTCTACTACAGCCACTTCTCTCAAGTTTAAAAAGAGATTCTTATTAGACAGCAGTGTGCTGAAGAATGTCTAACAATCAGTTTTCCAGGAGCAAAAGGGCCCTGATTTGTAGCATCTACCAATGTCCATGGTGTAAACATTCCCAGGTGTGCTTGACTTCAAACTACCAACATGAATTCACTGAACACAGGCTTGGGAAGAGACACATAGAACTGGGTCTCTCAAGTCAGTATCAGCTGGCTTCACACATCACTGTTCCTTGGCACACAGGACTTACTGCAGTTGACTTCATCAGAGGAGTCCCTGCAATCCACTTTTGAATCACACTTCTGACTTGTGTTGTAGCAGGCTCCATTGGCACAGGTAAGCTGCTCACATACTGGATAGTCTATTTAAAAAGAGAAAGAGAAGGGCCGGGGATTTAGCTCAGTGGTTCCACTGCCTCCCTCCCAAGCATTAAGTTCCCGAGCTCGATCCCCAGTACCAAAAAAATAAATAAAAAGAGAAAAAAAAGAATGATACTAGCAAACAAACTCCAAGTCTTTCAAGCCTGGCGTGGTGACAAATGCCTGTAATCCCAGTCTGCTGGGAGGCTGAGGCAGAAGGATCCATGATGGCAAGACCAGTCTGGCCTACACAGTGAGTTCAAGGCCATCCTGAATTACAAAGCAAGACCCTGTCTAAAAATACTAAAAATATTAATTAACTAAATATTTTTAATGTCTGCTTTTTATGGTCTTTGAATCCCCTCCTTCCCACAAATATAATATCTTCCTTGATCTATTTTTTTATTAAAGATCATTTTCTTAGTAATTCTCAGATTATCTTCAGATTTCTTTCTTTCTTTCTTTCTTTTTTTTCTTTTTTTGGTACCAGGGATCAAACTCTGGTCCTTGGGCTTGTGAGGTAGGCAGTGGAACCACTGAGCTAAATCCCCAGCCCTTCAGATTTCTTTCTGATCAAAGGAAAAACATACCTTTGTTAAAATTTCAAAGAGCAAATAACACAGTCTCACACTGGAGCTAACTTTGCATTTAAGAACCCAATTTGAGGTTTTACAGACATTTAAAGATAGTTCTTTGGATGGTCCCAAAGCCTTTCAAGCAGAAACTGCACAAAATTTTATGCTAAAGCTGCATTATACTTGTTCCATGTTAACAATTCATAACTTTAAAAACCATAGACTCCAAATGACCTCTCCCCACTTTTGTATAGTAAGGGAAGAATCGTCTCATCTCCAGAGCCTCAGAACTACTCCATGAAGTGTCTTTAAGTCTGTAAACTGCCGAAGTCACACACAGTGCCTGCTACTGCATCGGGGGATTCCTGCTACAGGCCAGGGAGAAGTCCAGAAAGTACGGGTCTGTCTGGGGTACGTCCTGGGTACCCATCTGGATGCTCTTCATATGGGCACTGGGGGAAAGAGAAGACAGTTTGTCTGGGCTGACTGATACCTTTGTGCCTCGTCACCTGGGGACCAAGAGTTGGCAGCATCTGCCAACCAACCTTTTGACTTCTTCCCAGAGGGTGCTGTCTGCCACTGTGCTGTCAGAAGCCCTTCTAACCTGGGACTAAAGCATCAAGGTGCGGCATCTCGTCACTCCAAGTCCTGTGACACAAGTCCAGCACATTGCTCTGAAGAGCGAGTGTGCTCACAAGGAAATGTGGAAGATGCTGCAGGAGAGGGAAGAGGGTGGAGGAGGCCAGGAACAGACTGTCCTCTCTGAGGACTTCCACTTATAAATAAACGAGACCAAACCTCAAAAAAAGGAAGGCCTTTTTTAGTAGCTGATTAAAAGCTTAATTTTTTTTTCTGGAATTATATATTTTAATAACCCAAAGTGAGCTAGTGCTTAAGGGGACTGCAGTCCTTTCATCACTGACACGGTATGCTCTGTCAAAGCAACTTCAAACAGGTGGCACAACTGTTTACTAATTCTGCCTTAGAAGGTGCAAAAGGCCAGGTGAGGCCAGCATGTGCTTCCTCCCCCGGTGTGCCAGGAAGCTCCTGGATCGGTGTGTTATCTCTCCTTTTAAGAGCAGCGGCAAGCAGGAGAAAAAAAAAAAATCTTATAAAACCCAGCTCCTAGCAACAGATAAGGTACCTGTCCAGGGAAATTTATTTGGGCTTGGACTGTGGCTACCTCATTTAAGGTGATTATTAGAGATATGAGGGATTGGGGATAAACAACCGGCCAGGGCTCTTATTCTCTCTATCCTGCTTTTTTGAGCACCAATGCCATAAAACCGAAAGAACTAAAACAGGGTCTGCCCACACGACTGCAAGTTTACTGGTGCGGCTCATTCCCCCACAGCAACTCAGCCAGCTTGATGTCCTCAGGAAGGGTCCTGTGATGGGCAGAGGTCAGCAGTTTGACGCCCGGCGTTCTTGTCTCCATCTGTGCTGATAATGAATCTCTCTCAATCAACAGAGGCGCCCCCAGCCCCTGCACACCTCTGCTCTTTGCTGTGCACAGATAACCTAAGGTGGAAGCCCGCAGGAGGGATCGTACAGAGCTCTCTGGCTCCAGTGAATCTGTTTCCAAATGCTTTTCCTGTATGTTGGAGACCCACACAGCAGGGACAGGTCCAAACTGTTCACCTCGAGCAAAGAGTAAGCAACAGACTTTACTTCCTTTGCTAAGATGTCAATTCATCCAGGAAGCAAGAAGTCACAATCCTTTGAGCTTCCCTTTGGGAGATATCCTCAAAACCTTATTTTTTTGTTTTATTTGTTTGGCAAGCCTGAATCTAACTTCTCCCTCTATGGAACAAATCCATCCCATGACTGAAATGTCCTGCAGCATTCTAAGTATAGGCAAAGTACAAAAGAGAGGAAATGATATAAAGGATGCCAAGAAAACTCTTCCTTTAGAATTTTGTTTTAACAGAAAGACTGACAAAAATGCCTATTAACCAAGTTCCAGATCTTTGAAGTTTTATCTGACACAAAATGTGAGAACACCCTTCCTCCTACCACATCTTGCTTCTTTATTTTCTTCAAGTTCTAAGTGAACTAGTTTGTTTCCCCCAAATTGAGAGCTGCCCCAAAATACACATCCAAGATGGGTACTTGAAGATTTTTTTTAAATGTCTTCTGTTAATCATTTGGTTTACATCAAGGAAGCTGGGCGTGATTGCACATACCTGTAATCCCGGCACTTTGGGAGCCTGAGGCAGGAGGATGACAAGTTCGAGCCCAGCCAGGGCAACTTAACAGCTTAGTGAGACCCTGCCTCAAAATAAATAAAAAACGGCTGGGGCTGTAGCTCAGTGTGAAGACCTTGGGTTCAATCGCCAGCACTAAAAAGGTTTCATGCTATAGTTCTTTTTATATAATTAATAAGGAAGATGGAGGGAAATCGTTTAAGGATCTTGTAAACTTCCCAGAATGGAAATCATTTAAAGCAAAATAAGATACAAATACAAGGCATTATTCTTTATTATCCTGTCAAGAAGGCTGCAAATGTATTTTGTTCTCACAATTTGGCAAGATGGCCAAATAGAATATGGAGTCTGGCAAAGTAATGTAAGATAAGGAATCTTAAACACGGGTTTAAAAACTTAACCCCAAGATTGAAAAGAAAACAAGAAATTGCCAATACAAGTACAACCCAGACACTAAGGTCTTGGAGCCCTTTTACTCTGTTTCTTACTCTGGCTCTCAGATAGGTAATTCAGTCAAAGCAATGATTTGCTAGGAGGAAAAAAAAAAACTAGCCATAAAATTCAATAAGCAATCATCGTCATAAACAACATAGTGAAAATGTGTCCAAAACATGTCAAAATGCTCAATGTGTATGAACTTATAACAACCCCATGAGGTAGAGTCTATGATTGTTCCCATTTTATGGATGAGAAGCCTGAGATACCAGGAGGTGAAGGAATTTGAAAAGATCATGCCTGGTCAACTGGAGAGCTACAATTCAGGTTCAAACAATGCAGCTCTATAAGTCATGCTCCTAAACACTGCAATAGATATAGCTACCACTGACAGGCTTTGGAGTCAGTAGGAAGATGCAAAACGTTACAGAAGAAAAAATGAAATTGGATGAAATGGGCATGGAAAATACTTAAAAGACAAAATGAAAAGAAAAGGGAGGAGGAGAAGGAAGCCTGGAGAAGAGGGGGCAATTCCAGGTTTCTGAAATTTACGGTACATTCTATGAAAGAGGCCAAAATGACGTAATTTAGGATTCTAGGAAGCCATACGCCAGGAAACATAGCTTCTAGGAGGACCAGGACGAAGTGCAGACATAAAGTAGCTGGGCCACAACTCCCCCACCCACCCCCTAATCCAGTCAATTTCAAGTCCCCAAAGCAGCAGCCATCAGGGACTGGCATAGAGGTGGTATGCAAGACAACAACAGAAAAGTGTCTCCTCCTGATTCCAAAACTGATTTGAAGTGACCTTCAGTAAAGAAATCTGTATATGCGGTCAGAAATGTTTATGAAAACAGCACCTTGGAAAGAGAAAAAATATGGCCACCCCAAGGGCCAGTAGAGCTGGACTAACATCAGGTTTTGTCTGAACACTTAAGAAGCCAATGCCAAAAGGGAAAGGACATTATGTTATCTGGTTTTCCTATCCTACCCCAAATTCCAATCTACTCTAGTTTCTACTCATGGTGACCTGACATCAGCCTTTAAAATGTGCCTGAGAGGAAGCCAGGTGTAGTGGCATACGTCTGTAATCCCAGCACTCAGGAGGCTGAGGCAGGGGGATCACTGTGAGTTCAAGGCCAGCCTGAACTACATAGTAAGGCTCTGTATCAAAAAACAAAATAAACAGAATTAGAAAACAGAGATGCTTTCAAAGACTAATTACTCAACAAGAGACCCTGTCTCAATTAAATCAAAGAAGAAGGAGGAAGAGGAGAAATGTGTCTGAAAGGTCGCTCCAAGGATTTTGGATCTATAGCCCCTCCTTCTCCCTATACACAAAGCTAGATACCAAAAACTGCAAAGGAGATAAACACTTTAATTCTACAGTCAAAAAATAAAAATCACACAGAAACTTTAATACAGAAATGAATGAGGAACAAAATTTTAAATTGTGCATTAAATGCTGCACAGAACAGTGCGAAGAGGATGCCGTCTTGTGGGTGAGCAAAGGTTTCTAACATCTACCATACTTGGTGGCACTGTTCTCTACAGGAGGACTTACGAGGCTATGTGCTAGCCTTCGGGGCCACAAAAAACCCTGCGCACATTACAGTCCTCTCTTCCTTCTGGTCATTCCCATGCCTTGCCTGGATAGAACAGGCAAAGCCTCGCCAAAGACAGACGAAGCCATGCTGCTCCCCAGGGTTACACTGTAAGAGCAGCCCCTTCCAGTCACCAGATGGCTCAGCCCCTCTTCGGGGAACCTGGCCCAAGATGATTTGA